TGGTGCTTCTAGGGGAGCAGTGTGGTAACAAGTTGCATAGTGGTGACTAGCGGAGCAGTATTCTGATGGGTGTTTTATGTCTAGTGAGCAGTGTTGTGATTAGTGCAACATTGCAATGTTTAGAGGAGCAGTATGGAGTCAAAGGGAGCAGTACTTTGCTAATGGAAGCCAGATCGTCTAGCAGAGCCTCCGAGTGTCTAGTGAGTGGCAACTAATCGTCAGTGTTATAGACTACTTCAGGCCATCCAACATGTGATAATCCTTGCATTCTATGTAGCATGTCAGTCATACAGACACTCTGTTTAAGAGACTGTCAGTCAAATCTAGCTAGAAGAAGAGCCAGAAGAAAGCATACCCAAATGACATGATTTGACATGAGATATGACATACGGATGCTAGAAATACAGAGAGTATACAAGTATACAATACACTTAAAGGAGGCATGCGTAGAGGAAGACATAACTGTAGCCTACGCTATCCGATCGATTACAACTGATTGTTTCTACATAAATTTTTTTTAGATCGATTCCTTCGTACGAGAGTTCAAAAAGATACAGAAATATCGATTCTTTTTTTTCTCTGTGTGAAATCGAATTTCATTTTTGCTGTTGTCACTAGAAATAGATCTAATGATTATCTAAGGTAACTTTATAGAGTTTAGAGTCTACTAATGTAACGGTAATGATCAGTCTGTTCCCAGTTAGATCTAGATCTAGAATCGAGGGAGTCTAGGTATTTTTTTTTAATATTTGTTATTATTATAGTTCGAATTTTCATAATCAGCTGCTAGACACGTTTTATGTTCAAGAACCTACTATTGCTGCAGTTATAAAAAAAAAAGTTGTAGATCTATTATTATTTACTCCCTACCCACTTTCTATTCAGCAATAGATCTAGATCAGATCAAGATCTAGATCTAGATCTAGTCTATATTTAGTTAAAACAACAGGAAGTAATACAATAACTATGCGGAGTCGAGCCAATGCCATTGTTTATCTTTTATGCGGTGTCTAGTCAATTTTATATCCATTCTAATTGTGTCCTATTATTAAGTTTTTTTTTATTCAGTGCATCTATAAATGTTCATGTTTCGTTGATTAACTTTTTTGCGTTTATTTAATTTTCTTTCATTTTATTCATGAGCATTTTATTCATCTTTTATCTAATAACTGTTCAAAATAATTGTATGAAGTAGTTTTAAGATCTACACAAATAATATACAACTATTTCATAAAGGTACGACGAGTCGTTCGTAAATGGTGTCACATCAGAGGCGTTTGCAGTGAAGGGGGGGGGGGGGGGCTAGGCCGCGACATCACGTATAAATGAGGTTGGGTTTCAGGATTTTATGACGATTCGCTACGTTGGGAAGTGGTTGGTTAAAAAATATGATTTATTACAGCCTATATTTTGTATTTTTAAAAACGAGCTAGATTGTGGGAGGGGGGGGGGGGATTTCGAGTTAGATTTATGCTAATATTTACGGATAGGCTGGAAAATCAATTTAAGCGGGACGACATTTTGAAATAGACTTGTTAAGATAAAATGGAATCAACATAATCCATAGTGATTGGTACTTATTTTTTGCAAGCCGTTTTGTGGCACGTTTTCTAAATTTTCCGGACGTTTATTTTTCTAAGGATATTTGTGTTCATGCAGTGCATTATCTCCCTTCTACTGTGTGAAAAGGAGTAATAGAAACCAAGTAAGATACACGTTATCTCCCATTTTTATTATGCTATTTAAGCCACTAAATTGCCAACTTAAGCGAAATCGATTTCCATTAACATACGCGCATAGTTTTGAAAAACAGAAAAACAATAAAACCAAGTGTAGTTTATCCTAGCACAGCTGTTACAGATTTTTATCCCCAACTGTCGCCTCCAACTAAAGATATTAAAATATTAAACACTTAGAATATTATGTTAAAAGTAACTGTTTTGTTATATTATCTGCAATCGTAATTCTATGAGGGATGGGGTTAGAATAATAAATATTAGGTACTTACACATTAGAAAATCTTCAAGACCCCCAAGCAAAATCTAGGCTTCATCGTCTCTTCACCCCCCCCCCCCCTTACACACACAATAGGTCTATATATATATATATATATATATATATATATATATATATATATATATATATATATATATATATATATATATATATATATATATATATATATATCATTTTTTTTAACTGATAATACATCCAAATAACTTGTCATTGTATGTGGTCAACCTTGTACCTGGCCAAATCTCTAGCAGATGCTATAGACCTACCTGGCCAACCTCTAGCAGGTGCTGTAGACCTACCTGGCCAATCTCTAGCAGGTGCTGTAGACCTACCTGACCAACCTCTAGCAGGTGCTGTAGACCTACCTGGCCAATCTCTAGCATGTGCTGTAGACCTACCTGGCCAACCTCTAGCAGGTGCTGTAGACCTACCTGACCAACCTCTAGCAGGTACTGTAGACCTACCTGGCCAACCTCTAGCAGGTGCTGTAGACCTACCTGGCCAACCTCTAGCAGGTGTTGTAGACCTACCTGGCCAATCTCTAGCAGGTGCTGTAGACCTACCTGGCCAACTTCTAGCAGGTGTAGTAGGCCTACCTGGCCAATCTCTATCTTGGCCAACCTTTAGCTTCTATAAGGGGAAAGCTGCACCTGGCCATTCTCCAACAGGTAAAAATTGTACCTGGACAACCTCACACAGATAAATCTCAGTTTAAGTAAATCTACTACGTCCACACTCACCTAACCCCTTACCCATTCCAACCCTCAGATGACATAACTGTCCTCTTCACCAACAACCATTTCATTCCTTTCATATCAAATGTAATTGAAAACATCAATTTTTTTCAATGTATGGCATCTCACAATGTCTTTCGAGGTATGTATATAAAAATCTGCCATCCTTGTATATACAAGTCTGATCATCAACCATCAATTTCATACATATAGGCTTTCATCAGCATGAAACTTTTTTAAAATCTACCCCTTTCAGTCATTACTTCTTTATGTAAAGATTTTTGTGTAATTTATGAAAATTATTTTACAAACATTTTTGTTTATCAAGTATAACATTAGTCTCCTATGTTCTTGTACAAGTTTATCATGTGAAGACACCCAATGCTATAGTGTACCCGTACCATGTTCTATGGACATTCCAACTAAGTAAGTTATCTTGTGTACATAGTCTTACAACAGGGGAGGCTACTACAAAACACTCCCCAACAATTTTATATCAACTGATTTCAAAGCATTTTTTATGACATATTTATTAAAGATGGAAAAAAATGCATTTTAAAAGACCAATAATTGTGTTGTTGAATTTTTCAAATTTGTAACTGTCAAAGTTTTGTTTTTTAACTTGTTTTGATGGTTTTTTTGTAAACAAACAAAATTATCAGCTAGGGCAACGATCAATAGCAAGATGCTGCCCAAGGCCAAAGATCAATGACAAGGTACAACCTATAGCCAACAGTCAGTGATGTAGGCAAGGATGCAAGTGTATACACACACATACACAATTTAACACACACAGATATACATATATATATATATATATATATATATATATATATATATATATATATATACATATATATATATATACACACATATATACATATATATATATATACAAGTACACACATACATATATGTATGTATGTATAAAATTGTGCATCCCCCATACTTACCTAGGGCATACACAATTATTTATAGTGCTTCTGTATTTAACTCTAAAAATTGTGCAATATCCAACTATACTTGCTTTAATTATTTTTAATGGTTTCCATTTGTTTAGAAGTGACACACACACAAAAATAAACCAGAGCCAATTGATTTTTTTTTCTCTTTATGCCATAAAATATTGATAGCTATTAGAAGTATCTTGAATCAATGGTCACATTATATTACACATGATAAGATCAAGTCAAGTCTAACATTTGGCAAACATGAAAAAAATGAGTTTATGTTACAGTACAGGATGACAAATGTTGAGAAATACAGGATGAAGGATGTACTGGTTTTCACATTAGTTACATGAGTTGGTTAGTTCACTGTAAAGATGGTGGTAGTAGGTTTACTAAAAAGCTGCAAGACATCAGGTTAAACAAAACAAAATAAAAAACTTACATGTGAATTAGCAATAAATGTAAATATTACATCAAAATGCACTTATGACAGAATGGTTTTAATCAACCAATCAAAATGTACAGAAAAGAGTGGAGTGAGTGAATCGACCAATCAAATTGTACATAAGAAAGTAATTCGAGTAAACCAACCAATCACAATTTATATACCAAAATTGAGTGCACTGACCAATGATGTCCTTATTAGAACCTGACAGCTGTTTATTATGCAGTTATAAAAGTCTAAAAAAAGGGTGGACAGAGTGACAGTACTCCATTTATGAATCAACTTAAGACTTCAAAAATGTAAATATACAAAATGTAAATAAAAAACTTTGTGCTTCAAAATAGTAGTGAATATCCACATTATGTTAGTAAACCATTATATACAATTCATTAAAAAAAAAAGTTAAATTCTTAACTGTTTTAAAGTATTACACAAATTTAATTATTATTTATGCTGGATTTTAAATAAATGTGTTTATGGATAATATGCTTAATCCAGTCTATTTCTGTTACACACTTGCACGTAAAGTTTTGCCATACTTTGGTGGATTGAGTGTATTACAAGAAGACAGAGATCACAAGTAGGCCCTAACTTCTTATAAAGACCCAGTCTGTTTGCCTTACAAAAGATATATACCGTCGCAAAGTATACCAGTCATGACAATATTTTGAAACAACAAACTAGAAGAAATGAAAGAGACTTGAAGGGATACTTCTATTTCTAAGGCACACAAAAAAAAACTTCTTTCTTACTCAAGCAGTATGGATCAGAAAGTACTACATTCCATATATTTTATTTAACATGCGGGTTAACTTTAATAATATGGAGAGGAGGAAGGCAGGTTAGATTAAAATAAAATTAGTCTAGTCAAAGTTATGGAGTAGGCATCTTATTCTAAAAGGTCTAGCCAAAAGCTATGCAGTGGTCATCTAACCTTTAAACAAAGTTAAACAATAACATTCAATTAATTTTATTTTTAAATTGAGATTTATTTTAGTACTGGCCAGATTTTTAGCTGTCTTTGGTGATTGGGGGAATCAAGACTAAGAATTGACTAAGTTGATTTTTAGCTCAGAGTTAACATGACAATAATAAGATATAAACAAGGTAACGAGCAGGGTGCAGATGAAATGACACCACATGTGAAATAGAAAACAAACAGCCTAAAAGTTGGATGTGAGTGAAATAGAATCAACCAGTCAAAGAGTTGGACATTAAGTTGGGCATCCAAGGAGACAAAGCTCATTAACAAACCAACAAATAGCTCTTTATAACTTCTGTGCATTTTCAGGATTCCTGAGAAGTGTTATTAAAAAACAGATGTATTGGATACAGAAAGGGACAATACCACAATTAGCAATTGTTCTTTCTTTATCATGTAGGACTTCATTGTGTGGAATTTTATTGGTGTGTTAATTTAAACTGTGGGTAAGATTTTCGCGGGTATGTTTTATTGGTGTTTAAGATTTAAACTGAGGGTATGATTTTTATTGCTGTTTAAGTTTTATTCCGAGAGAAGATTTTTACTGGTGTGTATTATCTGTGTGTTGAGTCCTACCCTAATCACAATGGATTCATAATTCAATTAAAATTATCTAGATCTAAATGACATCAATGTATTGATAAGTGAGTTGTATTACAGAAATATTGATAGAACTTACCCTATTCACAGTGAAAGAACAAATGTTTTACCACTACAGTGTTCTAAAACTGTATTAGTATTCAAACATCCTTAATGTTAGCATAATATCACTAAGTATTTTTAGCAGTTGAATTCCCCATATGAAAACTGATACTATAAGAATGGTAACGATGCTACTAACAAGAAAACAGAGTCAGGATCAGTCTAAGTAGGTTAGATATTAATTAACAAACATTCCAAGCTAGAAGAAACAAATGTATTCAACAGAAGTCGTTTTAATTTAATTACATAAAACTGGTGTTTACATACGACAGTTTTGACTTATAACGTATATCAGAAATAAGAGCATTTATAAACAGTCAACTTTTTAACTGACACAAAGAAAAAATATTTACATACTTTACAATAAATTAAAACAATACTTGGGGAATCATAAAATACTTGAATCAACCCACCAGATATATGCAAGTTTCATATTGTGATACCAACAAGCTTGAAATTTTTAAACCTAGATATAAAAAATGTCAGTTTGTGTTATGTATTTCTGTACAAACTATTAAATGCTTGAAAATATATTAACTAGTTTAAATATTTAAAAACTTAAAAGGTTTGGTGTCTTATTTTTTTTTAAATTGCGTTAATAAATTTGTTAACCCTTGACTTCCCATGAAAATAGTATGATGAGTGGTTAAGGAATAGTGCTATCAGGGCAAGGTTGAATGCAGCTGGTTTAAACAAACCCCTCCCATCCTCAACAGGGACTAAAACTATGTACAAGATTCTCATATACTTTAACATAAGGATGTCATCACTTAAAAAATAATTCAAAGACTTAAAACTAAATTTAAAATTAATAAAAAGTACAATTGCATCAGTTGACAATTCTAGTGAAACAAAACATTATGGCACTAATTGATTCTCATTTTTTTTTCTTTAAAAAATGTATGAGTTTTTTATTCTCTTTTATGCTTTGACAAGAACTATGACTGGCAGCAATATTAGCCTCCCTTGTAATAGGAAGTTTTGCTAGACAGGAGTGAATGAATAGTTGTTTTTTTTAAAATTCAGGTGGTGTGAAGTAAAAAACAAAAACATGCAACATTTGAAGTAAAAATAACATCCCTGTAGTAAACAATGGATGGTAGATAAAATAGTGGGTTTATAATTTATATCTATAAGTATTCACTATAGGAAGAAGAGAGTTATCACTGAACATGAAAAACAAATTTTAATATTCATACTGCCCACAGAGGTTCCTTCTCCATCTGACACGACTGACTACCCACAGAACTTTCCACTCCCCCTAACCTTAAAGACTACCCAAAGAATTTTCCACTCCCCCTAACCTAACAGACTCCCTACTGAACTTTCCACTCCCCCTAACCTTAAAGACTACCCACAGAATTTTCCATTCCCCCCTAGCCTTAATTAAAGACTACCCACAGAAATTTCCACTCTCCCTAGCCTTAATTAAAGACTGCCCATAGAACTTTCCGACCCCCTCCCCCCTACCCTGACAGACTACCTAAAGAGTTTCTCCATTTCCTGACAGATTCACACATCTTCATGCAATCCTCTACATCAGGGGTCTCCAAACTGCGGCCCGCGAAGTCCTCTCATCCGGCCCGCGGAGATCTTTTTGTCCAAGGAAAAATCGTTTGTTGGTGATGGCTGAGGAAGTTTGCCCAGAAAAATCAAAGACATGCCTGGAAGAAACTGGCCCCCGAACTGAAATTTGATAGTTAATGCGGCCCTCGGACTGAAAAGTTTGGAGACCCCTGCTCTACATCCCTACACAGCTTTACCCTATAGATAGACATCAACCCAAGTTTACCAAAACAACGCATGATTCATGTAATGACCAGATCTAGGTGCATCTACATTCCAAATTAGCTTTAGATATGGCACAAAGAATCCAACATAGATATTTATATATAGCTGCCAAAAAGTCTACATAACAATAACATGCAAAATCCACTATTAGAGAAAAAAAAAACATTATGTACAAAGGGGCGTGGTTATTATCTATCAGGTTACCAAACATGTTTACAACTTATTACATCAACCTTGACATTTTGGCAACAAACAATACAGTTTTCACAAAGAATCAGAAATGTGATCAATAATAAAATTGACAGTTTAGCACATAAAAAAAAATAATTTGTTACATGAATTAAATGATAAGTTACAGATATGACAATGTTACTCTGAATTTTAGTAAAAAAAAATTTTATCACAAATTAAAATAATACTAAGAAAATTTTTTAATGAAATTGAAAAACCATAAAATTTCATAAGATTCATTGACACCAGAGATAATTTCTGTATTAAAACCTGAACTACCTTTGTTAACTGGTTTGTTCCTAGCAGTACTCAATAGTAAAAAAAAAAATGTCATGTCCTCACTAAAAGCTCTGAAGACTAAATAAAATCACAATCTGGTAATAACAGAAAGACAAAAATCTAGTCGATAAAACCAAAGCAGTTGGGGAAGGTTGTTCACATAAAAAAAATTGATACTAAGGAACAGGGGCGTAGCGAGGGGGGGGAGGGGGGTGCGGACCGCACCGGGTGACACCATTTAGGGGGGTGACACCAAGGCAAAAAATAGCAAAATATATAGAGAAAAACTCGAGGGGGGGTGCAAATTGAAAACTTGAGGGGGGGGTGCAAATCGAAAGTTTGAGGGGGGGGGGGGTGAAAATCGAAAACTTTAGGGGGGGAGTGCAAATCGAAAGTTTGAGGGGGGGGGGGGGTGCAAATCGAAAATTTGAAAGTTTGTCCCTGGGAAGGGTCTCTATGCCTCTGGGGGGTGACACCATTAAGTGCCGCACCGGGTGACACCCGACCTCGCTACGCCACTGCTAAGGAATATAAACTTGATAAAGGATCAAAGCCATTTTCTGTATTCTATCTTTTAATTTTACCAAAAACCTCAATGTGACTGGATATAATTCTGCTGACTTTTCATTTAAAACAGGCTCAGAGCTCAGGTGTGAACTGGTTTATAAAGAAGCAAAGGACAAAGTGCCTTACAACAATATAAAAAGTTCATGTGGTTTGTTCATCACAGACAGCAGCCAATGGCACAACTAATCCAAGAGCCAAACAATTTTAAAACAGGAAAAAAAAATGTAAATTTAACTTAAGCTGAAATTCTAGAAAAACCTGGCCAGCCAGAAAGTAGAAACTATTTGCATCCTTGTATTTTTCTACTCAAATTATTGTATAATTTTTTTCTAAATCTTTTTTAAAAAAAAAAAACAACCGAATCAATATAAATTTTGTAGCACTATCGTCAAAATAAACTCATATAAAAATATAAAATGTGTATCTTCTATGGGGGTGCATCTCTGCTAATTGTTTACTTTATGATGTTACAATTTTAAACAGGCATACTATGCAATCAACAGATTCCTTATTAAGTAGATACAGGAAGAGAAGAATTTTAAAGTTACAAAACAAAACTTTAAGGGAATAGGTTACCTCATTCAAATGTTTATAACTCTCTATAGAAACTTATTTATGTACAAAAAAATTAATATTTTAATAAAAGATTAAAAATGTATTTAAACATTATTATAATTATGTCCAGTAAACACAAATGAATTTAAAATGTTTAAAAATAATTCAGCTCATAATTCAATTAATCACAAACCAGGATCTTAACCTTCTACTGGTAAATCTATTTCAAAAAAATATTTTTCCTAAATGAATGTTAATCAGCTCTGCATTATTCTTTCACTAAAAAACAGCTCGTTTCATAGATCAGATTAAAAAATTCAAGCCAAAAATTTTAACTACCACAGTTGCATTTGTTGCTTCTACCCAACCTTAACCTGGCCTGATTTAAACCAGTGGTTCTTAACCCTTTTAGAGGCACCAAACCCCACCAGTATCATATGCGCATTCACGGGACCCTTCTTAATAGCTTAATTGTCCGTACTAATTAAATCCGATCGCAGAACATTGTGTCTTGAACCAACTAAACAGCCGAAGCTAACTTGTCAAACCCCTGGGGTTCGATCTAACCCAGGTTACGAACCAGTTTTATACAAAGTCTAAGAAAAATTGAAATATAAAGAGCAGAATGTTTTCGTCACAGAAATAAAGTATAACCAAATCGTACATACATTATAAATACAAAAAATATTGATCACTGTGTTAACAGGCTGTGTTTTTATAAGTACTCTTCTACCGAGGAAGTTTAAGTTTTTGTCACATGCATCATCAACAGTCTTACTATTTGTTAATAAATAAAGCTTTAACTATCTTGTAATATCTTTTAAAATTGTGTTAGCTTTATATCTGTATATATCACAACAATGAGCAACATAAACTTTAAGCCCAAACAGCTAGTAGAGCTGCATTAGTAGTGACATTTCACCTCTAACTCTTGACCTCCAGCTGTTTATGTTTGTATAATATGAACACTAACAATCAAAGTATTATTTTTTTAAATATTTACATTAAAAAAAATTTATTTTGACTAGGACATTACAACCAAGGGCTTTACATCAACGTTATTGTACAACTTGGTACTATTCCAGCCGGTTGACAAACAGTTGAATAGAGCGGAGGAAAGACAAAACAGCTTGAGGCACTCCATACTGCATGTAACAGACCAGGTTGAGCACACAATAGGACTGGTAAATAGGTCACCAACCAGTTCTATGGCTCATGCAGGTTTTATTGAGCCTGGTTGGTGACCCACTTACCAGCCCTATTCAAAAGAGGAAAGAAGACTGACAAAACTCAGGAAACTCTCATCAAAACACCTCAACAATCTACTACAACTTTATAGTCTGGGCTTCAATGTGAAACACTTCTATAAAATTAAAACATCTCATTTTGAAATGGAGAAAACACAAAAATATTCAATCTTATGTTAAATTTAATTTAACTCTTGCATTAATTTTTTTAGAATTTTTCATTATCTTCAAAACCGTGTTAGTTTTTTTTTGTGTTACCTATCCCTTTTTTTTCTCTAGAAAAGGTATGAAAAGATAACTGCAAAAAAACCTGAACTCTCCATTTAATGGAGTAAAATAAAACAGTATGTGTGTGTAAATAGCACCTTGATGATAAAATGCACAGCCTCAACATTTGACATCATCAAAAATTATAAAACGTATAGCAGTTTTAATTTTTTTTAACCTCGCTGTAATTTAGCTGTACATATTTAATTTTTCTTTTTTTTTTTAATAAATTCACCTTAAGAACTTAAGTGTAAAACAAACTTTTTGTACAAAAAATAAAATGATCAGAAAAAAATAATAAATAATCCAAAGTTCTAGCACCTCTCCTGGGTGTTAGTTTTTCAATATTATAAGAACATATAACTATCATGTCACCAGAACATGTAACAGGTACATTGTTCCACCAGAACATGTGCCAAACACAGCTATGGCAACTGTAAATCAGGTTGTCCAGGAATGTTCTACCAGAACATTGGCACATGTGCCAGACTAACCTGTAAGCTGACTCAAGATGTCCCAGAACATTCCACTGGAACATGTGCCAAACACACCAGTACAACTATTATCTACAAGCAATGAGCAATCCAACCAGTGTTATTATGCTGTAGTATCAACAAAGTAACAGCTAAAACATGAACTGTCATACAAGAATTACTGGAACACCTCCAACTCGCACAAAATTATACCCAAAGTGGTTGGAAGAAGGGCTGGTTGCATCACTAGCTGTTTCACATGTGTAGACTATTTTGATTTCCCTCTTTCAACAGAAATATATGCAGTAAAAAAAGGATACATTAGTAATGATCTTTTTCTTGGTGCTTGGGATGAATTGAAACTTTAATCCAGGAGAGCACTAAGGAGTAATAGTAGTTTATGGTCATATATCTTGTCATTGGTTTAGCCAGTGCAGTGTTTACTAGGATGATAAGTATGATGGTAAGGTGGTTTAATTCCGTGTGATGTGGTGCACTGGCTAGGCTGTAGGACCAGTAGAACAGGTCCTATTAAAGGACCCCAGTATGACAAGTCCTATTGAAGGACCAGCAGGACAGGTCCTACTGAAGGAATAGCAACAGATGCTGCATAGAATGAGATTGTACCACTCCGCTGGTAGAGTTGAGATCAAAAGTCCAGCCCTCTTGGCAACAACTGAGGCCTAGGAGCTGATAAATGATGCATTGATTACTGCCATTTCTGGTACCTTCCTCTCATTCTGGGACTGCTCCGCAATTTTGTGGCTCTTCATGTGTGCACTGCGACTTTTCACTTTAGCAAATACCCTGAGGAGAAAGAAATTCAGATTAAAAACTGTTAAGTAGTTCACCATTAAAATTATAAAATCAAACGCATTTAATATCTCCTAAATCATTTTTCTTTTAAATAACTGTATTAAAATTATTTTTAAATGTTTCAAATTAAATAACAATGTTTAAAAAATTATGAACTCAACGCATGTAATAGCTTCCAGATAATTTTTCTTTTAAAGAATTATTAAAATTATTTTTAAAAGTTTTTAATTAAATAAAAATCTTAAGTACTAAGTTTATTGCTTCAACGATTTCTGTTTAAATTCTAAACTTAACAACCACAAAGAAAAAAAAATTATATTTAAAATAGAAAAATCTCAAAATTATTTTCTTGATTTCAATCAAACTGAATCAATTAAAAAGAAAAAGAACACACTATCTCTTACCTGCCACATATTCTACATGGAAATATTTCCTCACCAAACTGATCATACACAGGTGATCTACTTGGTGTGCTGGGCCGTGGCTTGCGCTGGGCACTGGGGCTGGACTGTGGTTTATCCTGGTGTTTGCGCATGTGCCGTTTTAAGCTCTGTTTCGATGAGCAAGCCTGTTGATCAATTAAATAAAATTTTAACCAGTAAGAACCTATACTGAAACAATGTACCAGTCTGTGGATAGACATAAGTCTACTTTCTAATGTCAGGCATTCTTATATTGTTCTGTTAAAAATATTTTACAGAACAAAAGGTGTAAAAGAATTTAACAAATCTGCTGTTAGCAATTCTCTGCATAATAAGTAAGACAACTTTATCATTCAAGAAAAAACTATTCAAGGGATAAAATGCAAAATAAAGGACTAATATTCAGGAATATTACTTTACTAATCGTAAATATTTCCATTATTTTTCAATATTTAATTACTAAAAAATTGTTTAATTAAATATTATAAAATAACTTCCTAAACAGCAGCACTCACCACATTACAGCCCTCAAATGTACAATGAAACTGTGGAGGGGGTAGAGGAGACTCCATCCTAGTAGGTGTAGAGTTGGCTGTGTTAGGAGCTGTGCTCTGGATGGACTGTACAAAACAAAAAACTAAATAATTTTTTTTTTAATGAACCTTTTCAAACATGTTATATTGTAACAAAAGGAAGAGATATTTTGGCCATTTAAAAAGCAACTGCTCTATTGTTTTTATGAGCTTATTATTATTAAGTTTTTTTTATTTTAAATGTTTCTTTTTCAATGGCCCACATGTTGAAATTTCATGTAACAATTTTTGAGATTAGTGCAATAATGCTTTATTTTCTAAATGCCTCCCAGTCTTAGAGAATTAATGGTTTAATAGTGTATTTACTACTGTATGATGGTGCATTTTTATTATTGTGATTTTGGTCAAAAGGTGAAAGCTTAAAGAGAATTTCTCAAATCTTATCATAAATATTTAAAATATATTTTTATAAGCAATGAACTGAAAATCCATCTTAAGCTAATAATGTAGTTTTAGGATGTATTCAAGAAATGAATGAAAAAAATTACAATGCCACTATTTGCATGTTTTGTCCTACACAAGAGTACTCACATCAGGGGCAACACTCAGATCATCATTATCAGACATAAAGCTGGCAGCATCAGAATCAACAGCCTCCAAGTTCTCCTCAGGTATCTCTCTTGGGGCCACCATAATGGCAGGGCCCTCCGACTGTGACTCAATGAACGCAGCCTGGACTGTCTTTTCCACAGCTGCCTGCGCTGCGGCCCTCTCTGCCTGCCTGCGTGTGTTGTACTCCCCCTGCTTGTTGCGTGAGTGGCGCAAGCGTTTGTAGTCGTCAGGACACACTTTCTTCCACACATAGTAAAACTGAATACACTGCTTCACGGACTTGGTCGCCACCTTAAAAATTTTTATGGAAAAGAAACGAGTCAATAAAATTACTTTTTTGAGAACACAATAAAAAAATTATAAAAATTAAGAAAAAAACCCAACCATTGGCCTGCTGTCCATAGACTAAGGGTACTAGATTAGTCAAGAATCTCAAGTAATTAAAAAATACAAAATTCGTATACAAATACAAATTCATGTGGCATAGTACCTATTGGGGAAAGGGGGGTGTTTAGGACCCATGTCATCATAGTTAATATATTTTTGCCTCAAGCATAGTTACCACCAACTCACCTCTTTAGCAACTTTAAAGAAATCTTTATCATGTGTCATTATAGACTTGTAAAATTTCTCCATCTCATTTGAATTCCAGGAATCAGATTCTACAAAACAGACAAAATTGTATTCAGAACCAGTTGAAAAATAAAAAAGGTAAAGATGTGTTTGTCTATGAAATATGGAAGGTTCCATTCTACTAACCCTGATACTTGTAGTCCAGCATTGGATGACCAGGGGGTAAGTCAGGTGGGTCTGCCATTAGCATCAACATGGCATCCTAATAGAGGAAAATACACAATAGCTCAATGTCCTCAGTAGTATTTTTCTTATTTTCCATGCACATATAACATGAGTGTACATAGAAGGCTGTATACACAACATTATTAGATTCTAGAAAACATTGTGATTAGTTAAAAATAATAGTAAAGTACTCTTTCAGACCAGGCAATCCATGGAGCAGATGAAGTAGAGTTAATCTGTTTCTCTGAACTTTAGATATCAATGGATAGTTGACTGAAAATTATGACCAGCTTACTTTCACCAACTCAATTCAGATACTTATCAAAGCTCAGGGTACTTAAGTTTGTAACAAACTACTTGAGACTTTCAAATAGCAGTGAAATAGCTTCCAAACCCTCTTCAACGTAACCATTTAACCATGCTGTCCCACTAAGTAAAACATACTGAGAAAATAACTGAACTACTCACACTAATCTCTCCATTAGCTAAATGTAACAGATGTAGAGCATATTCCACATTACACCCATTCCCCTTTATGGCAGCACTGCAGGAAAACTCCTGGTAACATTGTACTGCAAATAAAAATGTTATAATTCAATATGTGAACTATCAATAGTGCAAAACTAATTCTAAAGGAAAGAATGTTTCTGGGTTTTTTTATACACATTAATAGTTAAATACAACTGAATGTTGTATGAATCTAATAGTATGTATGATACAGCCAAAATAGATGTTCTTGTAAAAAATGTCTCCACACTGAAAGTAGTTTTGCCTTCATGCAGAAGTGCACTCTGTGGATTTTAAAATGAATTTAGGCGCCTAGCTGATACATTGTGAATGAACTCTGACCCCTAGCTGCTACTTACATTGTGCATCAGTGTTGTCCCCCTCAGATGATGGATCCCATAAAAGATTTTTCTTCTCATCAACAGGTGTAAACAGGTTAGCTTTAGATTTGTCTGCACATATAAATTAGTGGTCAAGTTAAAGCAGATTAACATTTGTATTTTAATTAACATGTGTGCTTGTGTGAAGTTACTTCTTTTTTTTAAAAAAACAACATGTTAAATGAAATCATAAATGTGATAGTTTATGATGAATATTTTGTGTAATCAATGTACTGTAAATAATTTAATCAACAATGTACTGCAATATCTTGGATATGGGGCAAAATGATCAATTAGATAAGACAGTGTTGAGATAATGAAGGTAAACTAAAAATAGCACACACCTCTCAGTAAAGGCAACACAGCTTGATAATCTGGGCCAATGTTGATATGACTGTGGAGTGGTCAGTATTTAAATTTTTTTTCTCTCAACAACAGGTTAGAAAAATACAAACATTCTCAAAGACAAAATGTTATAGAAATTTATATTTTTGCTTGGTATTAAGTCGAAAAATAAAGCTCAAACTACTCTATGATGTACCAGGCAATAAAGTCAACTGTAATAAGGCATTGCTTTGATTACAAAATCTTTGCATGGCAAGACAAACACATGAACTCTACTGTGCCTACCAATGGCTCTTTAAATAAACCAAATTATCAAGTTACCATTTTGAACCTGGCATCCCATGAAGTAGATGAAGTAGAGTTCACCTGCTTCTGTCATTTCAGCAACATAAAGGTAAAGTATGAAGGGTTAGTACTATGCCCAGCCATCTTTACTTTCCCTAACATGGGTCAGGTTACCCATCAGAGCTGGGTGGATTCAGGACATCCTACGAACTCTAGCCTCGGATCCAAATTCACGTCTGACCAAGCCATCCCCATAAAACCATAAGCTAATTTGCAGCTATCTTGGTTCTAAGTGTTGCATAAAACAAAGAGAACTTTGTGTGGTCCAACTCACGCTTCAGTGTCTGTCTCAGGAGCTGGCTCTTCCTTGGTTGTCTGATCAGCTAAAAATTCAACAATCCCCTCAGTTTTACCGCTTCCTAAACTCCCTTTGAAAATAAGTAAACAAAACTTAAGCAATGTCACTAATTACAGATTCATCAACTAAAAATTCAATGCTACCCTCAGTTTTACCGCTTCCAAAACTCCCTTTAAAAATAAGTAAACAAAACTTAAGCAATGTCACCCTCAGTTTTTACCGCTTCCAAAGCTCCCTTTAAAAATAAGTAAACAAAACTTAAGCAATGTCACTAATTACAGATGCATCGGCTAAAAATTAAACGCTAGCTTTTGCTTTAACACTTTCTTAACTCACATTTACAAGAAGTAAACAAAACATAAACATTCTTTAACCATAGACAAATCAGCTAAAAAGCTTAATGCCCTTCTTCTTTCTAACCACTCCCTAAACCGTGAATCAAATATTTAAAATGTTATTCATAAGATCAATAATTTGAATCTGTTTTTAATTTAAATCCACAACAGAAACTAGCCTACCCATAACTTGGAACAAGCAAGTAAATAGTGTGCAAATGAAAACAAGAGCTAGCCACACTAGCACATGAAAGTGAACATGATAAATCTGATAATGATAAGAAGAAAGGCAGTTCAGCAATGAAAATAAAACAGGCCAGGTGATGTAAGCCTTATTAAGGATCCATCTGACTGGGAATTCCCACAAAAACCTGGGAGTAAACATCTAATTCTATTGAAAAGTTCTAGAATTACCTCTTATTGAATGGCACAAATGATTGCAGCTGACTTTGCCATACCAGGTAATTTCTAATGTTCTAAATTTACCTCCCACATTTACTTCCTCCAGAGTATTTAAAAATAAGATTGAGGGAATTCCCCATGACCTGGCAGTTTAAAAAGAGCTAAAACTAAATCTTAGGAAACTTCCAAATTTCTTATAAATTAGTCTTTTGAGCTACGTATAAAATAATCTCTAGAACTGATTTTAACAAACTGATATTTATCCAAGACGTTTGACAGATGTTACGATAATTTTTTTTTAAATTCTTTGTTACAGCATTTTTATGAGTTAAAATTGTCCTAACATGTGAATTTCATTTTGGGGGTTTAACCAGCCCTAAAGAAACAAATAAAAAGGAATCCTTTTCATTGTTTTGTAGTTTTTTCCTAATTACTGTTATCATAGTTAACCAACAGCCAACTCCCTCATTCTACATTACACCAAACCTCAATAATTAAATAAAAAAAACTGCAACAAACACTATAATAGCAGTACTCACCTCTCCTCATGAACAGAGCTTTCCCTGAGACAGGAGCAGACCTCGGAGTTTGTGGCTGAGCTGAGTGCAGCGTACAGAACAGGCCAGATCCACTACGAAATGGGCTCAACATTGGCGGTGGGGTGTAGGGTGGTGGAGTGTGACCTTTACCCCTCTCCAAAGAGATATGACCCTCTTTGTGTAACACCCGAGGAGAACGCAACCGGCTGTGGAAGAGCCCGAACTGGGGTGGGATGTACAGGGGCGCTGGTCTGTGCTTGCGTTTTATTTTGAGAGGACTGGAGCTAGGATTTCTGAAGACGCCCGACCCGTCAGGGAACAGGTCCTCGTCGGGGTTAGATTTAACACTTTTGATGAACGTTTCCTCCAGCCTGGGGTTGGATCTGTACAAGGATTCCTCAGTGAAACTACGAGGCCTCATTGGTGAATGGTCCACACTTTTGGAGCGCACATATTTGTAGTTTATGTCTCCGGATTTACTCCGTACTCTCACCCTGGCTGAGCAGATCCCCTCAACCTCCATTGGGTTGACAAGGGTGGAGTGAGGGTTTATGCTAGCCTGGTTGGGTTTGTTAAGTATTGAAAAAATGGAAGAATGCCTGCGATGGGATTCAAGATCTGCAGACAGGCGTCTTTTATTACCTTGTCCATTGTAGTGTACTTTAGTAGGTTTTGATGTATAAGGCACATCATCTTTTGCCAAGGGTTCATTGCATAAAGAATGACGGTTTAAATCTGACGTGACCGCGGATGAAAGCATGACATCCTGTTTTATTGAATCTTTGAAAGTTTTTGAGAAAGAGGATGGATACCCCTGGAAAGGTTGATATGTTGGTCGTTCTAAAATATTCTCCAAAGCTGACCCGCGCGAGGAAGAGTAGTCCATGTTATCCGCGTTACTGCTCTCAGCCATGCTGTTGCTGATGTTCTTAAGTATCTGCGCCACAACAGCGTCTGTGGAGGAGGTGGAGGAGGGGTGGTGGCCTGCAGGGGAGGAGGATGTCAGGAGAAAAGAGCCTGGGTCTTGCTGAATACTATTGCTGCTGCTGCTGCCTTGGATTATGCCATCCCTGAGTTGATCAAAGTGATTCTGAGGAAAGAAAAGTCTTCTGTACTAAGTGAGGCTAAGAAAAATGTTTTGTACATAAAATATACACTATACTTGAAAATGGTAAATATTTTAAATATTTAAAAAAATAGAAAAAATGGTTCTTCAATCTGACAATTTTTATCTTTAAATTTTTATTTTCAGTTTCTATTAGTAGCCTTGAAATCAATTAACTACATGTTGTATACTCAACTTAAAAAGAATACTTAAATTAGACCCATTTGTTTTGATTGCCAAAAAAATTTTTTAGCAAGATAAAAATGGAAAAAAAAGAGTTCAGTTTAATTCAGTATGCTATGAACATTTTTAATGCCGACATTACTAGTATGAGATTTTTTAACCTATACATCAAAAAGCATACCTGTGAGCCCAAATTTGAATGAGTTGATGGTGCTTGAATGTTAAGGAAGTTAGGTATGCCAGTCTGGTCCAGATGATTAGTCCGAATCATGCCGGACTCCAATGTCTGAACCAGGCTGGGGTGAGCGTGTGAGGCCATCAGCGCTTCTTGCTGTCTCTTGGGTTGACTGGCCATTAGACCATTTTGTATCCGCTTGATTTGTTCCTGCTCAGACTCACTGCTAGCTTGCATGACTGAGCTGGAGTCACTCCCCAGAACTACTGACTCGGGGATGGAGATCGTGGGCACTCCGTTCATATCGTCAGAATCAGGCGGCTGCAGAAGAATTTGTGGAATTTGACCTATGTGTAAACCAGAGAGTATGCCTGACGGGTGGGCGATGCCGGTCACCTGGGACTGGACTTGCAGCCCTAACAATTCCTGCTGTGTTTGTTGCTGTTTCTGTAGCTGCTCAAGTAAGTGTTGGTGGTCGTTCAAGTTAATCCCAGCTGCTCGAACCACGGATGGGTCAAGAGCGGCTAAAATTTGCTGCACTGACGTGTTCAAAGCGATTTGTGAGGATATACTAGCTCTGTTGTCTGTGGGTTCATTGGTTTGGTTACTAAGCTGCAGGATGCTCTGGGCAGGCAGGCTTAAGGGCTGGGAGCTGATGGCCATGCTGAGAGGTGCTGATGTGATCTGTGTGGTGTTCAGCTGTTGCAGGAGACCCGGGTGGTTGGCCGCCATGATGACCGCACCTTGGTCCAGCTCCTGGATCTGCTGCTGTTGTTGTTGTTGTTGTTGTTGCTCTTGCAGCTGTTGTTCCCTGATCTGCGCCTGCAGGAGCTGGTTCTGCTGCTCCTGCAGCTGGTACTGTAGCTGCTGCGGATTGAGTGGTGGAAGCCCCAAGAGTTTGTGCTGGTGTCGGATCTGTTCCAGCTGTTCAGCACTTAACTGCGGCAGCTCGTCCTGTTGCTGCTGCTGTCTCTGAAGTTCCTCCACCTGTAACAATATATAACAAAATATTGTTGTATTTTCGTTGCAAAAAAATTTATCTAACCCCACAAAAAGAACCACGACAATAACAAACTATTAATAAGTTTCTGCTACTATATTTTAAAAAATAAATTATTGTAAAATTTTAGGACCATTAAAATTAAATCTGCTAACATTTTGAGAATGTATCTTATGTGTTCAATAAATTTCGGAAAAGAACTATTTCTACTTCAATTTTGCGATCGATTTTTTTTCAATAATAACTCTTGCATATCAAAAAAGTGTACTTGTTTACAAAGAAATAGGGGCAAAGCATATGTGATAAATGCATAAACATTTTCTGGCATGAGTTAATGTTTTAACATACTGTTTTTCCTCAAATCCAGGCTGGCATAGAAAGCAATTAGACACTGAATATAAGACAAGCTTGGTAAAGAAGCTTTACCTGTTGGAAACTTTGAACCAATCTCTGTATATGTTCACCTTGGTGGGGGGATGCTGTTCTAACAGGTAGTGTTTCTATGGTCATAGGAGCTGAAGAAGAATCTAGAAGCTGACTTGCCATGAACTGAAACCAGAGAAGGAGAAATGATTATAACATTCAAAGGGGACAGCACACATACAATGTAAATATCTTAGATTTGGATGAAAACAGAAAATTTAGTTTCAGTATTAGAGATACTTGCCTAATAGAAAATGTTTAAAAATTTTCTTTTTACAAACTGGATAAATGGGGATTTTTTTGCAATGTTTCATAATATTTTGCAGGTTTTTAAAACATTTCAAGGACATGTAACAATTGAAAAGTTAATAATCATAGTAGGCCATTATTATTTTGTTAACCTCACTCAACTTAATAAACTGATTTCATATAGCCAGTGTTTGCTGGTTTCATACATAAAAATTGTATTAACATACATTTTCCTTTTTATTTTGGTAAATTAAAATAAATCTATCCATCAGGTTGGTTCTCAAATCCTAACTCTGGTCTAGTCACCAAATGCCCCACCAACTCCCCACATACCTGAATATTCTGCTGGACCACCAAATGCCCACATACCTGAATATTTTGCTGGACCACATACCTGAATATTCTAGCTGGACCACCAACTCCCCACATACCTGAATATTCTGCTGGACCACATACCTGAATATTCTACTGGACCACCAACTCCCCACATACCTGAATATTCTACTGGACCACCAACTCCCCACATACCTGAATATTCTGCTGGACCACCAAATGCCCCACATACCTGAATATTCTGCTGGACCACATACCTGAATATTTTGCTGGACCACTTACACCCCACATACCTGAATATTCTGCTGGACCTGCTCCTGGAGCTGGTTCTGCTGCTCAAGGAAACACATCTTGTCCTGACTCAGCTGCAGGTGTTGCTGCGTGTGTTGGAACTGCTGCTGCTGCTGTTGTTGCTGTTGTAGAGTTTTCTGCTGTTGCTGTTGGCGCCTTTGCTGTTGCTCTTCTGACATTCTTCTCTTCAAGATGTGAGAGGATAACTGCTCTTGCAGATGTTTGTGTTTCTGCTGGGGCAGAGCTGTGTCAGTAAGGCTTGGGTCAGACTTGATAGTAAACTGGGGAAGAAAAAGTATACATTTAGTAATGAAGCTATAACTGCTTATCTTAACACACCAGAAGGGCAACACACTGTATTGGATCAAAGATTTTCCATCAGAACTGCTGTTAAGTGTTGGGGGTTAGATTGAGAGTTACGGCCAGAGTTAGGATAACAATAATATCAACTCTGTAGATTACTTTTAATGAGTCTACCAGAAAAATGTAATGTATCATATGAGATTGATTTTCTTGAATAGTATTATACTATTTTTTTAAAGATTAATTTTAGAGTATATCTATAAAAAAAAAAAATCGTTTGATATTGTAGTACACACTTATATCAAAAAGGCTATATGGGTAATTTATTTTTTAAAATTAGAGAATGGTTCATTACAAACAAAAAGGTGTATCACATTTTATCTTACGATACTAACATTTTGTAGCTGTTGGTCAGATGGTGATCCAACACTCATTATGTCAACAGTGCTGTATTCTACTTGCTGACCAGCCACAAGCTGGGTTGGAGAGAAGGTCAAGGATGTGGGTGTGGTTGGAGAGGTTCTTGGGATGGCAGGCTGTGGGGATGGGGTGGATGTGTGGGGAGGCCTTCTGAGGGGAGGGCCCATTTCAGATAAAGATGATTTTCTCATGGGTGACTTTTTACCCTCTTTTTCCTAATTCAAAGAGAAAAAAATGTTTAAAATGTGTCTAATTCTGTCCAAATATAGAAGGCTAAATAAAAACTCAGTACATACTCCACATTAAACAGCATTTAATTAAACCATTAATGTGACTTATACTGACATAAAATTGCAGAGTTATTGAAGTATCAATTACTAAATATGAAGAAAATATAAGTGTTCCTAGATGTATCTAATTCTTTTGTTGCAGTATCTAGTATCTAAATGTTAACCAAGGTGACTTAGGTTATTAAAATGTTAAAAATGTGTACCTTTCCTTTCTTGAGAAAACCTCCATGGCATCTCATGTGTCCATTCAGAGCCGCTGCGTTTTTAAAATATCTGTCACAAGTTGTACAATAAGCTTGGGTCTTGGGCTGCTCTTCCCTATTTGTTGTGTAAGACAATAATAATTATCACATAAATATTTTTAAAAGGTTGAAATAACTTGTGATTTCTAAACAGATACAATAAAACATGTTAGGTAAATAAAAACACAAATTTGTATAAACCTAAATATGTGTCAAATAAAAATAATTATACATTTTAAAGATGAAGGTGGCATGTGACTTGTTAGATGAGAACATGAAACAAGGCTAACATACAACTGTTAAACAACAAAAAAATTGTCCGAAAACAGTAAAATAAAATATGAAATTGAATTTTTTTTTGAAAAATACTATGAAAAGGAGGAAAAATAAGTTTAAAAAACTTACATTTTGACTGAGGCCGAGTTATCAGCATTGTACCAGATATTTGTCCTGTTGGACTGACCAGTCAATGGACTGACAGGCTGGATGGTCACAGGGGAAACTGGGCTGCGGGCTGGTAGCTCACCAGACAATATCACTCCGCTGGGAGATTGGTCATTTCGTGAAGTTGGGGACTGCTCGTTAGATGTAGGAGTACCCACAAATGTGTACACCTGTAATGATTAAATCGTAATGAGCATCAATACAAAGTCTATAGTAAGGGACTGAACATCTGCTTCATACATAGAATAGCCCTTCAAATTAATGGGTTTTTTCGTTATATTTTGGAAAGAGGTAATATTGTTAGCTTCTAAATTTTCGTTGAGAATGTTTTTAATTTAGTTTAAATGATATCTAATTAATCATCTTCAGTCTTTTATCCACGAAAATCTTTAGAAGGAAATAGATTTTTTGAGAGAAATTTTTATTATCTTAATAAAATTATTTAGAATAAAACCAGTATATGAAATGACAACAAGTAATAATGCTATTTAATGTTTTTATCAATTACAGCCAATTCTCAACATTTCATTTTAACAAAAACTATTTACTTAATTCAATTACTACTGTGGAGATGTTATCTTTAGAAATAATATATTATTTTTGTTTTAAAATGTTTAGTTTCAATAAAGAAATTTCCTGTTCTAATTTCTTCATTATCAAAAAAACCTGTTTAAAAGAGAAAGAATGTTGCCTACTCCTGCCTTATCCTGCCAGGAAACATCCTGCACTGAGCTCATTGCCACAGAAGTTAAGTCCTTCTCAGCAGCTGCCTTTTTCTTCTGAGCCTCCAGCTGGACCTGGTGTATCTGCTGGACTTGCTGGATGGCTGCAAGCATGTCTGTTTGTGGTTTTTGCCTGTGCTGCTGGAGCTGCAGTTGTATTTGCTGGGTGACTGTGTCATTTGATTGGAGTGACATCATTTGTTCCTTTGCCTTCTGCTGTAATGTAATTTATGTTTTTAACATGACCCAACTTGAATTTTTTTTTTTTTTTGGATATAGCAAACAAAATTACAACCTTGATCAAAAATGCAGTAAAAAAAAAGAATTTTAAAAAAAATTAAAACAGATTATAAAACAAATATGAACTAGACGTTGCACACAAACTGTGACTATTTACCTCTTCCTGTTGCTGTTTTTGTTGCTGTTGTTGCTGCAGAAGCAGTTTCTGCTGTTGGTGTATCTGCTGCACCATTAGCTCCTGTTGTTTTTGCTGTTGCTGGCTTGTCTTCAGTTGCTGGGTGTCAAAATGGAAAACATTCCCAGCCTAGACAGTTAAAAAAACATTCATTATAGATCATCACATAAGATTTTAAACTGTAATGTGTGAGTGTTGAAAAAATATATTTACAAACCCATTGTCTTTTTAGCTTTAGAGGTATGTTAGCAGCCTTCCACACTATGTGTGTTTACAAATATATTCGGAAGCATCTACTACTCAATAAGTACGCACTTATGATAAAAATATGTTCAAATATCAAAAAGAAATGTTATTGTTGGTCATCATTTTGCAGATTGTTAGGTACCACATTGCTGCTGAGTCCGTTTACAGAAGTAAAGATTCATACAAAGCTCTCTATATCATGAATAGCAATGATATCAATACAATGAGTACTTTTACGTAAAAATTAAATGCACACACCCCTGAAGCTCCAGGACTTGGTGTGGGGGTAGCAGAACCCGGACTATAAACAGGGGAGCTAAGATGTTTATTTCTCCCATCTGAATTTTTCTTGCCACCATTCCGAGGAGCAGGCGGAGAAATTCCTGCTGCGGCCATACTTGCCTGGACGTGAGTTTGTATAGTCTGGGGATCAAGGTGGTGATGTTGTTCTAAATGGCGACGTAGCGAGCGGGCATCACAGTAGCCTTTGTCACAGTTTGCCAGTTGACATTCGTATGGCTTTTTATCTAAATGTGTCATCAGGTGGCCGTTCCTGGTTTTTTAAAAAAAATTTAAAATAGGCTAGTTCATTATGTAATCAAATACAAACCGCCTTAAAAATATCAACATCTACAATAAAGATTTTTTTTAAATTAATTTTAAAATGTTATTCTTAAGTACTTAGTTTCATGATTCATCGTTTTGTCTAATATACATCTTGTAATAAGGAGAGCATGGTCAAACAGTAGACTAATTTGACTAATAATCTGAAGGTCTCAAGTTCGGACCCTTGGCTCGAATTTGGAGGACATCCCTGAGTCCTCCCAGCTATGATGGATACCTGACTCAGAAGGCAGCTGGGTAGAGTGCTGACCACACTACCCTTTTGTACCAAGAGGTCACAGAAACAGGTGATCTCTACTTCACCAGCTCCATGGATTGTCAGATTCAAAAGATAACTTTACTCTTTTTTTACATCTACTTTAAACGGACTGTCATATAGCTAACATTCATTTCACTTTATTAACTTACAAGTGGTCTTGGCGCTTAAACCCTTTGGAACAGACATTGCACACATATTTCCTCTCATCAGAGTGCGTTAGTTTATGCTTGGCAAGGGCCCCGATGTTGCTGAAAGTTTTGCCACAAGCAGAGCATTGCGATGATCCAAACTTAGACTGGTCACTAAGTGAGCCAGTTGAATTCTTCCTTCCTGGTGATTTCCCACCTTCATCCATGTCACCTGAATGCTGCATCAGACCTGTAACATAATATTAGATATGTTACGTATATATTAAGCTTGTAAAATATCGGAAGCTGCTTATACTTTTATTATTAATTACCAGATATGGTTATTAAAACTTAATTTTTTGCAAGAAAAACAACTATAAAGTTAAAAAATGAAATGTATCTCACTATTGTTTGTAATGGTTTATGAAGAATTTAGTCAAATACTATTTTTAAGGCAACAAAACAATGTAAGTGTTAAACAAATTATTGAAGAAACTATTTTAAGTATGAGTATTCATATCCTCATAAAAATTAAAAATACTTTAAAAACTATTCTTGAACCATTAATTTTAAAATAAATTATTTTTCTATGATTTCTATGGTGATGGTGGTACATATTCACTGCCAAAACATTTTTTAAATGTTCACCAACCTGAATCCAGTACCGATGAAGCGCTGTCAGATATTAAACTAGTCTCAGGAAATGGCTGTGGTGACAAAGATAAACTGTCTGTTACACCCCCATCAAACAGGTCAAACGATGTCCCCCCTGGTCCATCGCCCAGCCTCATCCCTTGCCCAGTGGACCCCAAACTGGACAGCAATCCATCTTCAAACTGTGGCAGACCACTGGAGGAGGTGGAGTCAAAAGCAGAGTCCCCAAGCATTTCCGGGTCATTAAAGTTCAGACTGTTGACAGCACTGAGCATCTTATCCCCGCCACTAACAACTGAATGAAAGTGTAGACCTGAATGCATACTCGACTGTGTGGTTATCACTGGGCTACTCTGACCTTGGATATGGATACCGTCAGCTCCTACCATGATACTAAGGGGGGACTTAGCATCTCTCTTAGACATTAACTCTGATGAGTTTATGTAGCTATTATCAGACATTTTATAAATATTTGCATCTGTCAAGCTGTTCAGAGAAACTAGTAGATCGTCAGAGGCTGCAAAAGTTATATTGGGAGTGCATCCATTATAAGCAGAAAAAGATAATGGAAGATCAATTAAATTCAAACCACTGTTGTGATTATCAGACACTGATGACATCAAATTAGACAGGTAAACAGATCCATTAAGTCCCACAGCAATAGGGGATGCCTGATTGCTGGCCCCAGCTGCATGCTTTCCTTCCATTGCTCAATCCAATAACAAACCCTGATCTGCTGTCTACTTCCATCAAGTAACTTGTATATCACGACATAGTTGTTTTTAAAAACCTGAATTTGCCAGAAACTACATGGCTGCAAATTGCTGTATTCTGAAAAAAGAGAGAAAAATGTATTCAAATTGGATTGTAAACATAACTGTTTTGAGTTTATATTTAACTCAATACAACAAGCCCGCCGGCTCATTCTGCCAGGGATTCATAGGGTCCATTCTAAATATGATCCAACATAGCGTGTTATTTCAAATCAACGCCTAGGGTACAGTATACAGATCTATTGCTAGAAAAGTCAGATCTGTTTCAAGCCAGATAGGATCTGAGCCCACACTGCATGGAACTGCCTTACCTACTGAACTGTGCATAACCTAACCAAATGTACAAATTCAGTTCAGAGTTCTTGTCATTTTTTCTAGCCCATGTTTTTTTCAATTTAAGAAGTAAGATCAAACTAGATTTTATATTATTATAATAAACAAAATTATAATTATAATTATAGGCCATAGGCCTATCTATCTACAATATTTTATAGTTAGGTCCTAGCTAGGCCTATAGCTAGCCGCCTATAATTAAAACGGCTAGGATCCATCAATGCTAGTCTATACCTAGATCTACTTCTTTTTAATTTTAATCCAAATAATTCAATAAGCCTAAAAACTAAAAAATGTTAACAAAATATTAAAATAACTTAATCAAGAGACATCATTCATTAGCCAGATGAGATTAGAAGATTAGCCTAGCAGCCTACTGCTAGGACAGGTCTAGACTCTAGTTTTATTTAGATTTCTAGTATTTTACTAGAATCTAGGCTTACTAGAGTCTATTATTACTTAATTAAGTTCAAATTAGTAGGCCTACATATCATAATGTATTAAATTTAAATCTTACGCAAGCATCTGATTGTACTTCTTGCGTTTTGTAGTACATGATTAAGTTTTGTATTTTACAGACTTACTTCAGTAACTTCAGTCTTTGGTCACAGTCAATCTTTTGGATTATTTTGCTAAATCCGAAAATAAATATTCGACCGTTAACATTTTAGCAAGACCGTAAAAATGATTAAGCAACTTTTTATCCACCGCTTATTATTTATATTAACAAAGCAAAGCTTGTATTACCAATTGTTTTTTAAGAATTTTTAGTCGGCATCATCCGTGAATATAGGTAAAGATATAGGCCACTGGGGTCGGCCATTAATTGCCAACACGGAAATTAACTTCTGGTTGTATACAACTTCCGAGAAAAAGTTCAAATAGTATAATGGTTTTATTTAGATTCTTTTAGTGCATAAATCGTATCCCATAATTGAAACAAAAAAAACACCACAAAAGTAATTCTATCCCATTTAAAGTATAAAGTTGTTGTTATCGAACAGGTAGCACATAAAATCGTTTGTAAGTTTTATTAGTAAACAAGAAAGTAGTCCATGACATCATTTCAACTTTGCGCATGACAATCTAAAAAATATACAGGGTTAACAATAATATATATTATTATATAGATCTAGTCCTATATAAAATATTACTTGCTATAATTTATAGGCACTAGATCTATATATAGACTATATTGGAAAGACTATATATTTAAATATAGCCAATAAATATGGGCTAATACAAAATCTTTATTTCATTTATAATCGCATTTACGGAAATGTAGGCTATTAAATTACTTATTAAAATTACGTATTAACGTTTTGCATTAGGCCGTTAGGCCTATTGATTCTAGTTTCAAACAACAATATTTTTCTATGAACATTTAGAAACAGTCTTGTGAGGCCCTGAGAATACAAACACTTTAGTAGAACGCACTTTGAATAAAAGATTGATTTATTTCTTTTTTAAATATATATAGGCCCTATTTGTAGGCATTTGCATAATCCACTTCACCAAAAACCATAGACATTACAATGATTACATATCTAGGTGTCATCGATAAACGACGTCGCACTTTTTAACTGATTTTTACCCCCCCCCCCCCCCCACACACACACACACAAATCGTCACAAAAACCTAAACCCGATAGGCCTAAAACAACCTCCTCTCCCCCTAAAATTGCATTTATTTATTTTATTATTTTTTTTTTTTGCAGTTTTTTTAAACATAGAGTTCTTTAAAAAAGAATTAGCCACATAAGCTCGGCCAACATTAATGGCGAATCCAGGGGGAGAGACACCCACACCCCCCCCCCCACACACACACACACACACGCGCGCACCTGCGAGCGTTTTTATGCCAAAACGGCTTTTTCGGGGGGGGGGGGGATAATTAAAATGAGCATTTTTAGAACAGTGGCGTCTTTTTTTTTTTTGGGAAATAAAAAAAATATTAACAAAAAAAAACAAGACCATGTAGTGATGAATAACTAACTAATGCAGTAAGGGGTCGTCCATAAATGACGTCAAACTCGTAGGGGGAGGGGGTGCGTAATTTTGTGACGGTGTGTGATGAGGGGGGGGGGGGGTCAGATGGTGCGACTTCACACTTTCGCATTATAAAATAGCAATGTTAGAAAACGAATTTTAGACGTTATTTCGCCTTTTAGAAAACTGTTTTGATAAATTGTTATAGGAATTGATTAAAATACTCTATTTTGACAGAGTTCAGACAAGATTTTGGAAAAATATCGATGTTTTAAGAAAAATTCAACTGCATTTTTGAGGGGGTGTAGACTGAGGTGTGATTTCATTTTAGGGGGGGGGGGTCTGGCTTTTTGTGACGATGTGTGGCGGAGGGGAAGGGGAGGTACAAATCGTCAAAAAAAGCGTGACGCCATGTATGGATGACCCCTAAGTCAAATACATGCGCCTATACTTGTTGGAAATGAAGTCGCCTTTTTTGAGATCGACGTTTGTATTAAACTTTTGTTCAACGAGGGCGCCAATTTACCACATGACTGACGCATGTTACCATATTTTTATATGCAGTTGGTTGCGGGATATAAGAGAGGTACAGTGTTTCCTCCAGACTTTTTTCTCCCGGGGTGCACTTGAAATTTTCGGGGGGGGGGGGGGACAACAATTTTCGGGGGGGGGGGGGCGGACACTGTCAAAAGTATATATTTTCTATATAAATTCCATTTCGTTCGGGGGGGGGGGGGGCGGTGCCCCCCCCCCCCCCCCCCGAAGAGATGCCTGGAAGAAACTCTGGAGAGGTATGAGTGTCACAAGTCATACTTCAAGTCGTCAAGACTGAGCAGAAAAATCTATTTGCTCAAACAAAAATAATCGAGACATGCTCGAGAAAGAAAAAGGAACGGAGATAAGCTGAAAAAGTGTTTGTATTCCATTTGAATGGTAGTAAAGTTCCCTTTCTGAACCTGGCGGTCAATGGGGCAGGTGAAGTAGTTCACTTGTTTCTGTGACCTAGGCATATGAAGGGATAGTGGGGTCAGGCCCAGTCGCCTTTACTTTCCCTAACATGAATTAGGTACCCATCAGCTGGGTGGACTCAGGGACGTTCTACTGACTTGAACCTGTATTCGAACGTGATACCTTTTAGCAGTCTAGCGATCTCCCTCTAGGTCACGCCGTCCCTTTTAATTGTAATACCGTTAGTAAACAATTTTAAATGCACAATATGCCGTGGTTGAAACTTTTTTTTAAAATGCTGTTGAGTTTTCAAAACATTCAATAGCTAAGATATCACACATTTTTTTCAAATCGATAACATTGGTGAGCAGTATTTGCTTAAGTATGAATATGATGCTGCGGAGTTCAACATACGTTTTGTTGCCATCCATTGCTCTACTTTGCGTGTAGTAATCAGCAAAATGGTTGTCAGTTTGGTAATAATAAGTTTTCTTTGCTGAATTTAGACTCTTTATTCATCATTGCCTTTCCCGTTATTGCCCAAGACTCGTGGGGCAGATGAAGTAGAGTTCATCTGTACCCAGAGGCGTAGCGAGGGGGGGGGGGCGGGGGGGGGGGGACATATGTCCCCGTGCGCCGACCTTAGGGGGGCGCCAAATTGAAAGTTTGAGGGGGGTGCAAATGAAAAGTTCGAGGGGGGGGGGGTGGTGCAAATCGAAAGTTTGAGGGGGGTGCGCAAATGAAAAGTTCGAGGGGGGGGGGGGGGGTGCAAATCGAAAGTTTGTCCCCGGGCGTCGGGAAGGGTCGCTACGCCTCTGTCTGTACCCATTGAAGCTGGGTGGACTGAAGTCCTCATACAGATCAGAGGCGTAGCTAGCTTTGAATTATAAACAGTAAAAGTTAAGAAATTAAACGGCTACAAACCTTTACTTGATGATTTAACCGCTTTATTTCTTGATTGAGCAACTGTAAAATAAATACCCTTAAAAACAGTGACCGGCTAACACCGCTTTCCTATTATTTCCTAGATGGTGGGGTGGGATGGGGGGGGGGGGCTTTTTTCCCGACTAAAATCGGAAAGATTTAGCACTGGATTGTTGAGTATATAAATCTTTTAACACTTGGAAAAGAAACCAGTTGTATTAAAGCGTAGTGTACGATTGTGTAACAGTAAAATGAGAAAAATGTTAGGGGCGCTTTTTAAAATAATTGAAAACTGTAATAAACTAGTTTTTAAATTTTCTTTTAAGACACGACCAAAAGTGGACCGAATGATCTTGCACCTTCTTCCGAACAACCCTCTAAACCAGTGGTTTTTCCCACGTTTTCTTTAACTTGCTTTCTCTGTTTGTTTGTCTTTCCAATCAAATCTTGCGATCGAAATTTCTGGCACTTCCCAGTTAGCTAGCGCGCTGAAATTTTCAGGGAAGCTTTCTTTTGGATGACCATTGAATATTCAATTGTTATTATTACTAAATTGATCAATGGAAACATTTTATTGAGCATTTTAGACCGCTATATAATCTATATATATAATTCTCCTCTGCTAGCCATTAGAAAAAAAACCAGCGACGCGTACCTCGCGCGCAGTGAAGCGAACGATCACATGTCGCCACAGGCTTAGGGGCAGAGAATTTAGCTTGAACCGAGTTTAAACTTACAGGAGGTAGGCCAGTTTGGGGGAGACGATATGGTCGAGTGGTTGGGCACACGATTGCTATCCCACTCGACACGGGTTCAAATCTATGTGTTCTAGTCAGTAACGTATTCAAACAACGAGTTTTTTACGAGTTGTCTTTTTACGAGTTGTCTTTTTACGAGTTGTCTTTTTATTACGAGTTGTCTTCGTTTACCCAAAAAAAGTGAAAAGATAAAATCGATAGCAAGATTTTAATGCAAACAAACAGACAAAGACTAAAAAGTAGAAAATAATAATCATTAAAAAAGTTTTAAAAAACCCACGTTTTCTGATTGAACTAAAAAGTAGAAAATAAATGCTATAGGCCCTACATCACAATAATGCAAGCGATCACTCTACTATAAGCGAGCAAAAACGTGGGGCGCCGTGATTTTCTTACAGTTTCTAATACTGTTGACTCTCTACAAGCTCCCTAATAAAAGTCAATAGTATTATCTAATCAATAGTAATATAACTTTTACTTCGGCGCCCCACGTTTTTGATCGCTTATAGTAGAGTGATCGCTTGCATTATTGTGATGTAGGGCCTATAGCATTTATTTTCTACTTTTTAGTTCAATCAGAAAACGTGGGTTTTTTAAAACTTTTTTAATGATTATTATTAACATTTTTTGTTGGTACCGAACCCCACCAGTTTCATATGCGTGTTCACCAAACCATTCTTAATAGATCTATCGTCCGCACTGATAAAATCCGATCTTAAATGATATGACTCGGGTGTGTATCTTGACCACCGCCTAACTACTGAGAACAGTGTTTTTTCCAGACTTTTTTCTCCGGGGGTGCACTTGAAATTTAAAAACCTGCCTTAGGAGCATAGGCGTAGGCAACACTTTGACAACTAACTTGATTTTTATAAAGACCTTCTTTCTTCTTCTTCTTCGTTCTTAATTATTAGTGTTGAGGCGGATCGAGATTTATCTGCCAGTGGGTTTTATCGAGACTTTGTTCGAATTTATCAACCATGAGCTTTTTGCCGACTCGACCACGCCTCCAACACAATTAAGCGTTACGTGTCAACTGGTTATGCGCCATTGAGGCCATTGACTCCGATTTCAGCCTGCTTTTCTTTTTGGATTTGCTTCCATAGCCTTTGTCCAACCAAGAACAAACTACAAGGCAGCAGTTGTTTAATTTTGGAGTTGTCTCTCCTAGAAGAGTGTGTCCCCAGCTAACGAACCTCATCTGCCCGAGGGTTCGAACTCGAGACTTTTCGGTTTAGCAAACATGAGCTATACCGACTCGACTCGACCAAGCCGAAACAGAAGCAGCGGAATAACTTGGAGTAATCACACAGAGGGGGGGGGGGGGCGGAGGGTGCGGACTGCACCGGGTGACACCATTTAGGGGGGTGACACCAAGGCAAAAAATAGCAAAATATATAGATAAAAACTTGAGGGGGGGGGGTGTAAATCGAAAGTTTGAGGGGGGTGCAAATCGAAAATTTGAAAGTTTGTCCCCGGGAAGGGTCGCTACGCCTCTGGGGGGTGACACCATTAAGTGCCGCACCTGGTGACACCCGACCTCGCTACGCCACTGATAAATACAGTTGGATGTAGTATTGTTTTGTATATCGTAATTAGGCTTACGTCATGGTGTCACCTCCCCCCCCCCCCAACCTTGTTGAGATTTGTCAATTTTGCTCAAAAGACTGGAATGATCGGTTTTTTTTCTATATATATATATGCTACTTTTGCCTTGGCGTTAACCCCATAAACGATGTCACCCGTTGCGGTCCGGACCCCCCCCCCCCCCCCCCCCCCCCCCCCCCATCGCGACACCTCTGCATATAATTACATCCTATTTTTATCCACGATATCTATCAAAAAGCCAGACTTTCAGTCCATAAATTTCCCTATTCTCTATCTTAAATCTAACAGAAATGAACATTTTTACAATGTTTATACTAAATTGAAGGAATCTATCTTATATATATATATATATATATATATATATATATATATATATATATATATATATATATATATATATAATTCTGTTCTTGGAGACAAGAGAAAACACCAAGCTGTAAGCGCGCTCCCTACCACCCCCACCCCTACATGATCTGGTGAGCTGTGGTTCACGCTAAATGTTTACAATCATAGAGCCTGGTTTAGTGACGGCTATTAGGGGTAGATAATTTAGTTTGAAACGACTTTAAACTTAGGGGAGGTAACTAAGAGGAGGCTGCTTTCACGGGGGTGGAGGGGGATAGGGGTTGGGGAAAGGAGGAGGGGGGGTTATGGTCCTTAATGAGCTACTGATAGTGTTTTAAAGCAAATATATTATGCAGTGGCAGCATGTTGGTACTGTCGAATTCACATATTATGAATTACTGAAAAGTAGAAAATAAAACAACAAAATTGCGGCTTATGATACGCCGCGGGTCGGCTCGTATATATATAATTCTCTTCATGGTGACCATGCGAGACACCACATTAACGTACGCCGTTACTCCCCCGATCTCTAGGCATATAGCTTCTGACCTTTCTGGTGAGCTAATGTTAACTCCGAATGAATCGTAGTCAATCGTAGAGCCGGTTCGAATTAGTGGCGGCTATTAGGGACAGATAATTTAGCTTTTAAACGATTTGAAGGAGAGGTAAGAAGTTCTACTTGATATTTTCATTGTCGTCCGTAAACTGTTGTCCCGGACGGCTGCTTTCACGGTGCCGGGGGAAGTGGGGGGGGGGGGGGGTGGAATGGAAGGGAGGGTAGTGTCGAATTCACTAACTATGTAGTAGTGAAAATTAGAAAATAGAAAAAACTAAATAGCGGCGTATGATACGCCGCGGGTCAGCTCGTACCCAAAGTTATATGAAACTATTGAAACCTAAGATATGTGTTTAATAATGAATAATACTATTGATATGACCGCAATCATTTAAATTAAGCAGTTATTATTTTACTAAAACTAGATCTAGATCTAGGCCTATTCATATTGATGATATTCTTTTGTTTGTTTCAATTGTTTGGCTATCTAGAATCTAGATGTAGAATGTTTTCCATCTTTGACATTAAATTGTCAATTCAAATTTTGGCGTGAAGATCTTTAAAAAACTGGCACTTACCCTCCAAATTTAGTAACTGTAATGGCGGATCTGGATAAGGCTCACAAGATGCAGTCAAAATCTAATAACAACATTGGGCATCCTCAGCCTAGCCCTGGTAAGTCAACTGTAAAGGAAAGACATTTAGCCCCTTTTCAATTAACTAAAGATTTCAAACTCTTTTGAGTACTAATTTTGCCATAATAATTAAACTATACAACTTTTAAAAGTAAAAAATACAGGCGCAAAAGTTAAAGTGAAAATTTTAAAAGTTTGTTGACGTGAGCTCAGTGAGGAAAGGAGCAGACTAGAGTTCACTTGAATACAACATTCAGTGCTCTATAATTAAGTAAATCTAGATATCTAGTTCCATTGGTGGTCACTGAAGTAGTACAGTAGCTTTCTGGGGTGTTTCCATATTGTCACAGTGGAATTTTCCAGTCTGTCCAGTGGGAGTTAAAACAAAAGGTGAGATTGTAAAACACAAAAGGTGTGAAAGCCAGTCCCTGAAAAGTTTGTCCCACAGTTTACAGCATACCAAGTGGTAGAATACCAGTAATATGAAAAGATGTCTACAAAACTGCGGACCATAAGGTCTAATTAAAAGGCAGATTCTAGACGGAATAAAGACATGCTACCGCCTTCATTTGCGGTGATGTTTTCTATGGTACTACAAGTGGGTGTATTTACAAATAAACATCAAAACCCTAAACCTAACCCTAGCGCAGCTGTTACGGTCACTGCGCTTTCTCAAAATTATCTTCTGCCAACTAGATGGAGACGCTGGGGCGAAAAATCTTTTTCCGAGTAGTCACTTAGTAATTAAAATCTACACCATTTTAGTCGCAGTAAGAATAAGCCAATTTTACTCTCACTTATCTTCACCTCATCAAATAGGGAAAAATAAATATCTACAGGAACATATTTTTCTTAATATTCAGTGAGCATTTGGCCCATTTAATACATCTTTTAAACTAGACCTAAAGATATTTGTTGTAACTATATTGTGCTGCCTATTGAATAATGGTTTAAGTAAATAAAAAGTAGGCCTAAGCCTAATTAGTAATTAAAAAGTTATAGAATTAAAATGATTCATCCATTATAAAGTTTCAGGGTTTGATTTCTCAACATTGATTATATTTTTTTTATTTAGGGATTAAATTTCATGACAGTTATTATTTTTATGTTTTACTAGGATTATTTTTTTTCCTCAACTTTTTGCAGTACCTTTGCTGCAAAACAACAAGTATTTTTTTTTATCCAATTACATAAAACCGACATAAGACTGATATAAACTAGGCCCAATCATAATTGAATGCCCTACACACTAATATGAATTTTAAGTAGGGGCCTAATTATTTATTTATTGAAAAAGAAAAATAACTTAATTCTAATGTAGTTAAAAACAAATTTAGTTTTTTCGGAGGGAAATACAATTCTATGGAGAAAACTTTAGGTGAAAATAATTTTTCATGAGTCTTTACTCACAGAAAATAAAAGTATGTCAATTTTTCTACCAAAATCCTTGACTGGATTAGTATTACATTACATTAGAGACCTTAATTTTGGTTAAGCGCCAACATAACTATGTAGATGCACCAGCTGAATGGAATTCCACAGTGTTAAAAAACTGCCATATTGCAAGTTGTTTTATAAAAAAGATTCTATAATTGGAAAATGAACAAAATACTACTTAAGATGGCTGCTTTAGGGATAGCATGACCTAAGTTCAGTCAAAGCAACAAATTAAGTGGGAAAATGTTAATGGTCACTGTGACTGCTAAAGAACTAATTAAATTGGGAGAATGTTATGGAGTACTGCGAGCTTTGTTACAGTCTTAAAGAGTTCAAAAGGAATGACACTCTTGAATTAGGGTTATGGGTTAGAGTTAAGTTAAGCCTTAATGATGAAAAACATGGGGCGCCGTGATTTTCTTACAGTTTCTAATACTGTTGACTCTCTACAAGCTCCCTAATAAAACTCAATAGTATTATCTAATCAATAGTAATATAACTTTTACATCTTATATTAACAATGGCCGATAAAAAACTTTTACTTCGGCGCCCCATGTTTTTCATCGCTTATAGTAGAGTGATCGCTTGCATTATTGTGATGTATAGCATTTATTTTCTACTTTTTAGTTCAATTAGAAAAAGTGGGTTTTAAAAAACTTTTTTAATGATAATTATTTAAAGACTCCGCCATTGTGAACATTATCAGACAATTATATAGAAAATACACTGCGCCTGGTATAGACCTGTTACATTTTTCTGGCAAAGAAAGATCACCCTTTTCTTCCTTAAATTCATGTCCAATCTCTGCATTTAATCATTTTTAAGTCTTATATTTTGACCTAAAAAACCCTAGTATTTTAGCAGCTATGGGATCTAATGAAATGTTCAATCTATTTAGCTTGAATATCAGTATGAAAATATAACCTGTGTGGTCATCATCATGTTATGATTATTTAAAGGATAGGAGTTGTTTATGTTGCTCTGATTAAAGTAAGGAATTCAGGGAAATAAAATGGTTATGTTTACTTATCTTATAAGGTTTGAAAACTGGTCTGAAAATGTTAGCTGATTATTAATTTCTCGGGTTAGTGGCAAAGTCTACAATTTATCCATCACATTTCACTGCCAGCCATAGGTATATTGTTTTGTTAGGGTAATTTATCGTCTCAATTAAAATCCCAAAACTGCTTGCAACATCGCCCATGTATATCTGAAGTTTTTTTTTAAGATTATGAACAATTTCTTTTCCTTCATTGCCGAATTGAATTCTTTTACAGATCTATCAGATAAAACTTTGAAAATGGGTAAGATTTAGTAGTATTTGTTTTTTGTTTAAAATTGTAAGTTCTTTTTATTCTAATATTTAATGCTTTCAGTGTTGCTACAAATTTTAAAGCTAAATATATTTCTAAATAAATCTTAAAGCTAAATATATTTCTGAATACATTTTATTTAGAATTAAGAAATTTGAAACTAAAATTTTAATAATATATACATTTGTAACAGAGGCTACTAGTAAAGAAAGTTCATTTTTAGTTGTCATATTTTTTGCTTTCTATTAAAATGTTTAAGTTTTGTGTTCTGAAAGTATTAGTTGCCCATTTGCCATTTAATACAGTTCAAAACTATTCAACGTATAAATATTCTTTAAACTTGGTCTAGCTTAGCCTATCCCACCCATATTGAATACTTCCAGCCATCCAAATCATTATACAATATTTTAATATCTATCTCTCTTTACTTTTTTTTTAGTTTTTGTCTGTGGTTATGTAAAATGGTAAACAATTAGAAGAATTTAAATAATGTCTTGTAGGGTTTATTTGTGCTATAATTTTTTTTAAGCTTAGATTAACCTATTTATTTTAGTATCTGAAAGGGAATTTAGATTTTTGTTTTTATATTTTTCTTGTAATAAGAATGTAAAATATAATGGTTATAAAAAAAAATCCATAATGGTGTTTTGACATTTGGTGATGAAAACATGTTTTTTGTCTCCAATAGTTTTTATTTTATTGTTATTATCTGATTAATTAAATTATACCTCTTATTATAACATTACAAGACATATTCCCAAACTTAGCAAATGTATTTACTCTGTAGACTTATAAAAATCAAACTGGTTGACAGAAAAAATCATTTTTAATCTAAAAATAAAATTTGTCTAGATGCCAAAAAGTAAGCATTTTTCATTATATTATTCCTTATTTAAAATCCTTTAAGTACAATGCATTAATCATATTTTTCATTTGTCTTGATATTGTACACATATAACAAGTGATCAATTGTTAAAAATAGCATGACTGTATAACATTTGCATGTTGTATAAAATGTTTACAGGACTCAAGAGCACTGAAGATTCCTTCTTGATCTTGTATTTAAAACAGCACATTTTGTTTACAGGTGTCTCCACAAAAAGTATGAATTTGGTCATTAGAAAAAAAGTTAGATTTGTTGATTTGTCGTTGCATTTGTATAGTAGTTTATATTAATTTGAGTTTTCTATTAGTATAGCTACTGTTTTAGTTTTATTATGGTCAGCTTCTGAGTGGAGTATTTTTAAATTTTATTTTGTGGTATAATAGTCAAGCCATCTGGATTCAGTGCAAAGTTCTCCATAGTTTGTCAATATGAAATATTTAAGTGATTCTGTGACCAGTGCAGTATATAGTTGCCTTAATGTTCACTGGCATATATTCTCTTCTCTGAGGACTCCAGTAGACTGCATTAGCAAACTCTCCAACCCTTTCCAGTCTTACCATAATTTCTTTTGTTTCCCATGTCTTCCATAACCCTCAACCTAAAGCATTTATTTAACCCAGACAAAAAAAAAATCACCATTTGCATTAAATATTAACATACTTAAACTCTGAATCATTCTATCAGCACCCAAATGCCTTGCTTAACCTAATTTACCCTGTCACCTTTGCTGTAAATCCTACAATCACTTTCACAGACTTAAAAACTAACTTAAAACATTGTGTGCTAGCAAGATGAGCTTCATTTTTGCTTATTTAATAACAATGATAATATATTGGTGTCAGATACATAGAAGATCTTTCAATACACTGACAATAAAAAATCCTCATTACACCACCTTTTGTATCCAAAAAAAAAGGAATAGATTTTAACATTAAAACACAAATGCTTTTATCTGTTGTTATAGATCCTCCACCCATAAAATGCAGTTAGTTACTAAGTAATGGCTGCATGTACCATACATATTCCTTATTGACTCTGTTTGTTTTTTTTTAAATTTGCTATTAGATCTAAAATCATTTAATTTTACATTCAATTTACTATATGAAATGAAATTAGTATCTTTGTTAATGATCATCTACTAAATCAAGCTTATACAATCACTGTCTGGGAAATCCCAATTTTCATTGAAAGTAAAATCTTATACATAATAACACCTTGAAAAATATTGTCTTACGTTTACAGTATCTGCTAAAGGTACTCCGCTGAAGGGCGAGCCTGTTCAAATTGTGATTGCTTGTGAAAACCATACATTTGAACTTGATGAAGAGGCTTTAGAAAATATTTTACTTCGAAAGGATGTGCAGGACAAAAAAGTTGCAATTGTGTCTGTTGCTGGAGCCTTCAGGAAGGGGAAATCATTCCTTCTTGATTTCTTCTTGCGATACCTTAGTGCAGGGGTATGTTTTTTTTTCTCTTTTTTGTTTTTTTATTATAGATTGTTTATGCAAGAAGGAAATGAAAATGTATTTTAATGTTAAATGACATAATTTCCAAGTCTCTAAAAATCCTCAAGTAATTTTGTCTTATTTTCAATTTCTTCTTTCTGTCTGTAATCAGGCACATGTAAGTATTTACTCCATTCCATGTTGTTGTTGTTGGTTTTTTTTTTTTCAATTTTTTTTTCTGTTTTTAGTGTTTCTATTTAAATCTGCTTCCTGCAAATTCATTTTGTTTGCTATCTTTTGTTCTTGTAAAATTATCGTCTATTGTTACCTCAAATCATTAGTTGTTTACTGTAATGCAATACAACTTTTGTGGTTCTTAAGAAAAATACACTTTTATAATAGTTAAATTTTGTTTTTAAAAATTTCTACCATATATTTTGTAATAAAAGGGTGACCCGGAATGGCTAGGAGATGAAAATTCTCCCCTGGAGGGTTTTTCGTGGCGAGGAGGATCAGATCGGGACACAACTGGTATACTTATGTGGAGTGAGCCATTTTTTTTAAAACTTAAAGATGGTGAAGAAGTAAGTCTGTGTATATACTTAGTTTTTATTTACCTATCATCTTGAAATTATATAATAATGCCAATGTTGTTGGCCCTATTGAAATAAGATCAGCTGGAATAATTTGGGAACATTGATTTTAATGTTGAAAACGTGTATTACCCTGTACCTAACTGAAAAATATATTTAGGGGCATAAATATTGAGAAAAGATAGTATCATAAACAATTTTATTACTATTACAACTTGAATTATACTAATTTAACTAAGTGTTTAAAAATTGTCTTTTTTAAACATGTTATAATTTGTCTGTTTAAAAATTGATCAGATTGTTGTGCTACTGATGGATACACAAGGAGCGTTTGATAGTGAATCCACTGTGAAAGACTGTGCTACAATCTTTGCCCTTAGCACTATGATCAGCTCTGTTCAGGTCAGTTTTATTTTAACATACCATTGCATCTTTGATGCTCCTTATGAGAGATCACTGTTAAGTACACTATATGACTAACAGCTCATTAGGACTGCTAAGAGGGTTTGTTTAGCACCTGTAGGCAGATAAAGATCAGTACTGTGCCCAGCCACCTTTGCTGGGCGGACCTAGTATTGTCATAAGAGCTATCTTTTTTTTTGTTTTTGATGCATCTGCTGAAAAGTCAAGCTCTCCATAGCTGCTCAGGCATTCTTCATTCTGGACATGGCAGACTTGATATCAAGTTAACAGTGCCCTTGACCTTCACTTAGTAAACCGTCCCCTTGACCACCACACTTACTTAACAGTGCCATTGACCACCACACTTTGTAAACGTTCCCCTTGGCCACCACACTTAGTTACTAGTGCCCTAATTGTATTTAACAGAGCCTTCACTTAACTGGTCTTTAGAAAATCATAACACATTTTAAATAGCTTTTAATATTTTAACAATTATTTAAAAAGCTTTAATTGTGATTTCCTCTACAGGTATTTAATTTGACCCAAAATATTCAGGAAGATGATTTACAGCATTTGCAGGTAAGCCATTATAAATTCACTTACTTGTATACTAGTGAGAGATACTTCAACCACATAAAAATAATTGTTTTGCAACAAATTTGATTACAATTTTTAAAAATATAGTTACTTCAGTCTTACTGTATGATTTATTATAAAAAAAAAATCTTTCCTTAGCTTTTTACAGAATATGGAAGATTAGCACTGGAAGCCAACGACAACGTTTCCAAGCCATTTCAAGTAGGTTCTTGCTCACTGAATTCTATATAGAACGAATTACAACATGGTTTAATCACAATGCAAGTCTGTATGTGTTAAACATGTATTGCTTTTTTTCCTCTAGTCCCTTCAGTTTCTTATTCGTGACTGGAGTTTTCCCTATGAAGCTTCATATGGAGCAGCTGGAGGGAGACAAATCCTAGAAAAGAGATTAAAGGTAGACATATTTTGTGTAGCTTACTTTTAAAATAGTATAGATAATTGTATTTCTCTCTTTAATTATTGTGCGATGTATTTGAAAGCATGATGTGATGTGTTGTAATTTCGGAAATAAATTTGTTTTCAGATTTCAGACAAGCAACATCCAGAATTACAGCAAATCCGGAAACATATCAGCTCTTGTTTTGACAAGATCTCTTGTTTCCTTCTCCCTCACCCTGGGCTGAAAGTAGCCACTAATCCTCACTTCGATGGGAGACTTAAAGGTGGGCAAACTGTTCTGTCAACGTATTTTTAATATTTACAATATCTAAACGTTGAATAAAGATTCCTCTTTAGACCTAATTATCCATTGGGCAAGTTCATGTTTCCTGACCTTGGCATAGGAAGGGGTGGTGTAGTCAGCACTATGCCCACCCTCCTTTATTTTCCCCACGTAAGTTAGGTATCCATCAGAGCTGGGTGGGCACTTGGATGTCCTACAGTATCAATTCTGAACAGAGATCTGAACTCGAGACCGTCGGGCTAGTAGCCGAATGCCCTACCAGTTTATCACATTATATAACTATTAATGGTTCCTAGTGGTAACCCTAACTTTTCTATACTTATCTTTTAGGCATAACTACATCTGTAAAGTTAGAATAGCTAACTTTAGAAATATTATTAACAATACAATATTGTGTTTTATCTAGTTCTAATTAATGTTTTTATTTGTAATATTTTCCATTCTTCTGACAGAGATAGAGAGTGAATTTTTATCACAGTTGCAAGTCCTAACCCCAATGCTTCTGGCAAGCGAGAACATAGTTTTGAAAGAGATGAATGGACAGAAAATCAGGTGCAAAGAAATGCTAGAATACTTCAAGGTATTTTTTCTCTAAGTACATTAATTATTTTTAACTTATATAAACTTAATTGTTTACTTTGTATTCATCTATTAATCTGATATTAGTGATTTAGTTAAATCATTAATCTCATAAAATAAAGGTGGAACAGAAAGCTGCAAGTAAAGTATTTATTTAGTTTTAAATCAGTTTATAAACAAAAGAATCACTTTGTCTTTATTCTACAATGCCTTCTTATTTTAGGCTTATATCAAGATTTACCAGGGTGAAGAGTTACCAGAACCTAAATCTATGCTACAGGTATTCACATTTACTGCAATAAGTTTCAGAATTTCAAATAGCTTTTTTTTAGACTAACACATGATATATTTTTTTACTATTGTACACTTGAGAGTTGTTTTTTAATGTTCTTCCTAGAGTTAACTAAATCTCAATATAAATTATATTATTTTTTAAAATATTCCCTGTCAAGTAAAGATTTAAACTATTTCTTTTTAGGCAACTGCAGAAGCAAATAACTTGGCAGCAGTAGCTAATGCAAAGTCACTCTACACAAAGTTGATGGAGGATGTAAGGCTTTATTCATATTTAAATAGTTTTGTCTTTTAGTTGTTTCATTTTTAGTATTGGAAATTGTTTTATTCTTATTTAAAATCAGATTTTTTAAAAAAGAAAGTTAATTTTAAAGTTTTTTTACAAACTCCATACTATGCCCACCCAGCTCTGATGGGTACCTTACTCAAGGTAGGTAAAGTATAGACTGCTGGGTGTAGCGCTGACCACACATTAAAAATCTTTATTTGTTTAGTTAATTAGCCTTTTTATTCTAGTGTTGTTTTTTTCATGCCATTCAGTCTGTTTTTTTTTTAAAATGTGCTGCACTCAAACTGTGATTCTGTGTGTTAAAAAAACAGTCGTCTATATTTAACATGGTCTTATTTGTTGCTTTTTTTAGATATGTGGAGGAGATAAGCCATACATGAAACCAGAACTCCTCAATCTTGAGCACAGGCGCTGTGTGGAGCGATGTATCGACTTGTTTCACTCCACCCGTAAAATGGGTGGCCCAGAATTCAGTCAGGCATTTGAGGACAAGCTCAAGTTGGATCTCACCGAGGCTTACGACAACTTCTCCAAACACAATGACTCCAAAAACATTTTCAACGCGGCACGCACCCCTGCCGTGCTGTTTACCATTGTGGTGATAATGTACATCATATCAGGGTTCTTTGGAATTATTGGGCTGGAGACAGTGGCCAACCTGGTGAACATTGTGATGATCATTTTTATAATCTTGTTGCTGACATGGATGTACACCCGCTACAGTGGGGACCACCGTGGACTGTCCATGGCTATAGATCAGCTGGCTGATCTCTTGTGGGATAACGTAAGTTTTATTTCATTGTACTATCTTGTTATTACCTGTTTTATTGATTGTATGTTGTTTCTCGTGTATAACAGATTCAATGTCGTCATTTTTAGTCTGTTAAGATTTTTGTCCTCAAAGTGTATTCAAATTAAAAATAAAATTTCTTTGAATACCATAATATACTAAAATAATTTTAAAAATCATTTAATTTTAAGTTGATTTTCTTGTTACCCATCAGTAAATCTTACAATTTAGATTCTCATAGTGTGGCCTAGCTGTAGAGAGCTAGACTTCTAACCCAAAAGTCTCGAGTTCAAATCAGTGGAACGTCCCTGAGTCCACCCAGCTCTGATGGATATCCAACTTATGTTAGGGAAACAAAGGCAGCTGGGCATGGTGCTGACCACACTATCCCTTCATATGCCGAGGTCATTGAATCAGATGAAATCTACTTCATCTGCCCCATGTGTCTTGGGCACAACGGGATTAAGAAGAGATTCTCCTAGTGAAGTTGTTACTCATATGTTCTAATATTTGTTAAAAAGTAAATTATTTTCAAGTTTAAGTACAGCACAACCAATACAAAGAGATGTTCTATTTCAGGTGTTGTCACAAGTGTACACAAGAATAGCAGAGGAGAGTATAAATGGAGCACTAAGACAGCAAGGCTTGCCTACAACCAAACACCCATCAGACAAGAAGAAGACAGCATGAGATATTTTAGACTTTTTCTTTTCAAGTTTTGAGCAGACACTTTTTAAAATGATACCCTCACTGTCTAGTTAAAAAGAAGTTAAGTTATAAAGTTGAGAACTTTTTTTTAGTTTAAAAATAGTGATAACATTAAAAGCTTAGAGATTTTATATAAATTTACTAACATGTCAAATTCTTGTCCTTTGCTGTCAGATGTATATTGTCGATGTTATCATCAGCTGTACTATTTTCCGAAAATAATTTCAGTTCTTCCTTGGAGAGTGAAAATAACATTGATTGTGGAAATTTAGTGTCTTTATGCATGTCATGAGTTTTTTTTAAACACACAGTAGCCATAGACTTTTTATCTTGTGAGATGTTTTAAAACCAAATGCATTTTTAAGTTGTGTATTTTAAATTGAAATACTTCTCAGAGTTGATAACATATTTTTAACAATTGTTTTGTGTTTTATATGCATGTGTTGCCAATCAAACATAAAAATATTCACAGAGATATTATTTTTTAAAGTAACTTCTATTTAAAAAAATATTTGAGGTAAAAGATTTGACTATTCAGATTTGAATTAGAAATTGCTCTAATGTGGACCCACCCGTAATTCACTGTGTAATTTAGATATAGTACAAGCCTTTCATTAGTTTATTTAACATGTTTGTGTGGTTCATGGGACATCTATCTATCTAATTGTCATATGTATACAAATTGTGCCTTAAATAATTTTTGCTTAAAGACCTCCAAATGTACAACTGTTTAACTTTTGGACATATTTTGATTTTGGACTTACTTTTATTTGAAAAAGGAAAAATATTTTAAATAACTTTTGAAAATATTTGTTGATTTTTATAGTTATTTGATCAAATTGCTAGTTAGTCTGTAACATCATGATGTCATTCATTATGTTGACATCTTATAATAAATTCTTCCTCTGTGCAAATATTTTTCTTTCAGAATGGATGTGCTAATTGTCTCCCTTGTGTAAAAAATAGCTCTGTAAATATCTGACATTCCTAATTTATTTGTCTAGTTTGTTTTACAAAAACATTACATGATTGTTACAACATGGTGAATAAATAGTGGTTGCAAGCATTTCATTCCAGTTCTACTTCAAAGAGTTATGAGTGCATAATCAGTTGTTTTTAAGTTCCAGCAAAATATTTTTTTTATCCCCTGTGAAACATGACTATTAGTGAAAAAAATGTTTGAAATTTGTCCCATGGACTATTTAGTGATTTGAGGAATTTTTATTTTGTAATTATTATGTTGTCTAGTAAAGCCAAAAAAAAATGAGGGCTTTGACTTGAGAATGTTGATGGGCATTTTTTTTTCACAAGCATCCTGAATTATTAATTGTTGAAAATGTACATAATTTATTTCCTCTCATATAATACTCTAAATTAATAAAAATGAATTGATTTAAAAAAAAAGACTGTTTACTTTCTGTATAAATAAAATTGACATAATTCTATTACTTGTGAGTAAGTTTAGCCTGCTAGTACTTCAAACTATTCTTAAACAGTAATGGTTTTATATTAACCTCTAATTAGGTTTTTTTATTTCTGTATGCAGCTACATGTTTTTGATTTAATAATAAAATTTGCTTTTTATTACTTAAAAGCTAGAAATTCACATTTGTTAATAATTTTATTCTCTATTATATTTGGTCTGTTAGTTTCAAAATGAATAACATCTATGCAAAATGTTTTTGTAGTTATTATGTTTGTGCTAATATTTTGTTTTGCGTAAATTTATAGAATTTTAAACTATTTACTGAACATCAAAATAAAAGAGTAACTGTTTGGTACCATTTTTTAAATGGACATCAGAATGAAATGATAACTTTTTATATAAATATATTGCTTTTAGTACACACTTAAATATAAGTTCAGGTTAAGAAAATATACTTAATTTCTAAAATATTTGTTTAAATTAACAGGAATATTTTTAAAATACTGGTTATGGTTTTTTGTTTTCTAGTCCTTTAAAAAAGTGTCACTTGTGTGTTTAAAATTTTTGTTCATTAGATGTGCAATAATAGTCAACCTGGTTTTTTTTGTCCCTTCGTCATTCCTAGACATCTCTACCCTTGAATTTCAAAAATGCAAATTAACTTTAACACTCCGCTTTTGTCTAACCTGTTTACATGGTAGAGAACTTCGTGTGTTAATCACAGTATATAATAATTTTAGATACACAAATTAAAAGAATTGCCCTTCCCCACAAACTATATTTTATAGGCCTTAAGGTGAGATTAGCTCTAGCATTGAGCATTTTTAATTTCTATTTTGTATGATGATCTGTGAGTGTTTTTCTACATGAACTGCAAATGTGATTTGACCTCTAAATTATTTTTGACTTGATAATATTTTAGATTACGACTCAAAATTATTTGTTTGGAATAAGTGTTTTAGAAGAGTGGGAGTTTTTTTTTCAAATTATGATTCCAGATTTATTAATAGCATGATAAAAAAAAATTAAGACAGATTATTTGGAACTCTGATTTTGTTGACAGCATGATTATACTATAAGGTTAATTTTTAAAAATAAATGTCTTTGACTGCATCCAGGCTACTTGATTGATATAAGGAACTGTAAATAAGTTTCATGTAATTAATGTTGAATTTAAAGAGAAAAACTGAATTTTTAATAGGCTAGAATGTTCACTGTTTTCAGGGTGTTACTTAATGATTTCCCTATTTTTCACAATTAGTATAATTGACCATGTTTTCTTTGAATAAATTCTACAAGAACCCTGAAAGCACTTTGTTCTTTTTGTTTTTACTGTTATGTTAAAATCTTCCCTTCTAGCCAAGAAGTTGTGTGAGGCAAATGCAAGAGTACTGTTTCTGCATTCACTTTGCCATAACTTGAGCTAGTTGTGATGTTTGGCCAGTATGTATTTACAGTGTGTGTATCTAACCTTCAAATCTAGAAGAAACCATAAATGCAATCCTTGAAAAAAAGAATTAAAGGTTTAACTAATCTTTTAAGATTGCCCTAAGTGAGTTAAAACTATTATATATTTTTTTTTATTAAAAAAAAAAAGTCTTTGGTAAGCCCTTTGACATGCCCATGACCCAGTCTACGCTTTTGCCTGGAACATGTAATATTTAAAGGTATCTTACAAGTAAAATATATACGTATTTTATTTTTGAACGGGTGGTGTGAGAAGGGAGGGGTGCTAGCTTTTCTTTTACGTAGGACGATTCTCAATAGGGCATTGCAGCTAGTTTTGAGACTTCATAAATATATACTGTTTAAACAACTACTATTGTTATATTATAACGTAACAAGCACTAGATTTTAATTTACTTAAAAAAATACTTTTATTTGCAATTTAGATCTACTTTTGATCCTGCTTGCATGAATCAACCAATCACTATCACTAACTATCGAGTAATTTGGCATACTTTGCTAAAGTGAGACAATCTGGCATAGTCAGCAGCTGCAGCAAAATACGGAATAAAAAAAAAAGATCAGATTTCACCCAATGAAAATTGTTTACCTATGGATGCACTGCTTATCAAACGTAGACTAAAATGAATAAATATTTAGAAATCTAGATCTAAGTTTTCCAGATCTGGATCTCTAGAACCCAGCTTTAAATCTATATTTCTAGATCTAGCGTTATTTAAAGTAGACTAGCTAGCTAGACTAGAGTGAGAGTGGGTAGATCCTAGAGTCCTAGACTAGAGGAGAGAGATACGAAGTAACGAACTTAAACGAAGCTTAAGGCCTTGAGTTACACAACAACTTTGTGCAAGCTAGGCTGCTGCACTAATAAATAAATAAATAATTCTAGATCTAGATCTAGCTACTGCTAGACTGGGGAGTCTAGATCTAGTCTAGAGATTAGAGATCTAGTCTAGATCTAGATAGATCTAGATTCTAGTCTTTGTCATTTAGAGTTAAGAGAAATGAAATAATTTATAATAACAGAAAAATTATAGATCTAGATTCTAGAGAGAGGCAATTTTTGGTAAGTTAAAAAAATTTAAAAATAAATTCAATTAAAACAGGCCCCTAGATTCCCAGAGCTGCTAGACAATTTTAATTTTAGGAAAAAAAGTCACAGGAAATAAATATGATAGATCTAGAGGAGTTTACACTTTTCGGACACACACCAAAAATTACGTAGGACCGAACACTTCGTCGGTTTTTGGCTCATAGAAACTTTAATTAGCATGTCTCACGCGAAACCACGGCGCCTGCACGTAAACTGTTCATTTATGAACACTTCCGTGTCAAGTACTTCCGTTTCCTTTCTCAAGAATTATTTTTAGAAATTTTTTAACGTTGCATGGTACGCACATTTCTATTTTTACACCAGCCGGATGAAGTGACCTAGGGTTGGACTTAGGGGCAAAACTTGAACCAATCAATGCTTAGCTAAAAGGTTACACTATAAATAGCTTCTATATATGTATGGAACATCGTAAATGTCAAGGTTAATGGGTTTTTTCGTGCTTGAACAATAAAAAAGGGGTGTTCGCTAACTTATTTGGCCTTACATGGGAGCGGACAGCAACACAAAAATATTATTAAATAAGAATTTAGAGCATAAAAGGGGCTGGTTATTGAAGGGAAAGGGTCAAAATAAGGTCAAGAAGGCAGTGGAATGCGAAAGAGGAGGGGGAATCATGTGACCTGGCTGGCTTAGCAGCGTACTGCGCGAGCCGCAATGGCTGAATGGGATGAACTTTGGGAGTGTGGGAAAAAGGTTTTATACTATTAAAATTACCTCACAAACAATCAATAACACAATATAAATGCATATAATATATGTTTTTATTCATTAAATTGACTTTAAATTATTCTAAATGAACAAAAAGTGCTATGTCCGATGACGGGTAAAGGTGTCCGAACACATGTAAAACTGTATTACATGTGTTCGAACACACGTTAAGACCCCCCAGTCACTATAACAAGAATAGCTTAAGTTCTATGCGTATGAATACAAAATGACACACACATTATTAAAGTAGAATGGTTGCGGATAGATATGATACTTTTTTTTGTTTTCTATGTTAAGCGGTTACTGAATGAGACCGCATGGAATTTTTACGTTGCGTTTTTTCGCTATGTGTGTCCGAAAAGTGTAAGCTCCTCTAGTAAATTATTGCTAGTATTAAGTATGATAGGCCTAAGTAAAATTATAAAGTCACAGGAATAATTCAAAAGTGTTTAGTTGTAGGCTTATTTTCATGTAATTTCAAAATTTATTATTAGGACTTTTATAAAAGTTTTGTTTTCAGAAAGGGGTCATCCATAAATGACGTCATGCTTTTTTGACGATTTTTACCTCCCCCTCCCCTCCATCACACATCATCACAAAAAGCCAGACCACTTCCTAAAATGACGTCACACCTCAGCTTACAACCCCCCCTCAAAATTGCAATTGAATTTTTTTTAAACATCGATATTTTTCCAAAATCTTGTCTGAACTCTTTCAAAATAGAGTATTTTAATCAATTCCTATTACAATTTATTAAAACAGTTTTCTAAAACGCAAAATAACGTCTAAAATTCATTTTCTAACATTGCTTTTTTAAAATGCAAAAGTGTGATGTCGCACCATTTGACCCCCTCCCCCTCATCACACCATCACAAAATTGCGGACCCTCCCCCCTACGTGTGTGAAGTCATTTATGGACGACCCCAAAGTGCATATCATCTCAATGCAGCAAGCCCGCTGGTTGGTTGAGGCTAAGCTGGGGGTTCGTTGTGATAGGGATTCAAAAGATCAATACAAAATATTTTTAAAAATATTTAGTGGGCCTATAGGCTAATTGATTCAATAGAAGAATTAAGTAGAATGTTCCAACCTACTAATTTTTCATCATGTTTTTTTAAAAATACAAACCTTGAATCAGTGTGAAATGGGAAGAAGACAAAATTATTATGATTTCCTGCTCTCAACTCCTTGCAACGATTAGTTCAACCACCTTACTCCCCACATTTATCGTGCTTATTACATAACAAAGCATAACAAAGACAAAAAGGCGACAGGGCACAAAGGCTGTTATCTACACAAAATATCCACAATAGGGGTCGTCCATAAATGATGTCACACTCGTAGGTGGGAGGGGGTACGGTGTGTAATGACAGGGTCGGGGGTCAAATGGTGTGATGTCATACTTTTGCATTATAAAAAAGCTATCTTAGAGAATGAGTTTCCGTCATTATTTTGCATTTTAGTAAGCTGTTTTAATGAACTGTAATAGGAATTGATTAAAATATTCTATGTTGACAGAGTTTAGACAAGGTTTTGAAAAAATATTGATGTTTTAAGAAAAATTCAATTGTAATTTTGAGGGGGGGGGGGGGGGGGGGTCTGGCTTTTTGTGACGCAGGGGAGGGGGAGGTAAAAATCGTCAAAAAAAGCATGACTTTTTTTCTGACTTTTTCTAGCAAAGACTTTATTTCTGTAACTTTTTTCCTAGCAAAAACAGTGACTTTATTTCCGTGTCTTTCTTCCGCTCATCATCTAGATTCTTAAGTAAGTAGATCTAGATCCAAGAGTAACTCCTAAACTACCAATATAATTTTATTATGTTAATTTTAATAATTCATTATTAAGTTGAAGTTCAGGTGTAGTTTAGTTACTAGAGCTCACTAAAACTCTAGCACACTAGTAACTTAATTAAGTTAGTGTAGAGTGTAGACTGAAGAGTTGATTAGACAGGCATAAACGATAGTCAAATGGGTAACCATTATTAACCTGTAGCCAGTGCAGCTAGATTTAGATTTTAGTTACAAAATGAAATTACAATTAAAATTGTCATACGGAGATGAGTCAAGTAAGAGTTCACACTTGTGACAGTGGTCTGTACGAATCAAAATTTCAGAGACAGCCACAAAGAGTAGATCTACTTAAGATGATTGTAAAAAAAATAGAATCTAAGCCCAAATCTCACCAAAGTAAAATTAAAACTCTTAAAAAAAGAAGAAACTAAGCTCAAGTCTACTGTAAGGACAACAGCCAGTCGGCAACCAGACAAAACTGGTTGACATAAATGTCCATATGTCACTGACATTGACAATTCTGACCAACATGTCAATAAGGATGTATTTGGATTTACTGTCAAGAATTGGAATGAAAGAGATTATATATTAGAAATAGGGCCTGATATAGTTTTAAAAGGAGAGAATGCTGTTAATGGGTGTAATCTAGTGCTCTGTGGTTGAAAAGTGATTATAAATGTAAACATGAATGATACTTATGAGATGTCTGTATAGAGAACACAGTAAATATGATAAGAACAATACTGTGTAGTAGGTGCCTTCTCTGGGTCGGGATACACAGTGTCACCTCACTCTATTAAAGACTATATATCTGATGTATTAAACTTAAAGCTAATGAAAATTTGGTGTCCCTCCCCATGCCTAATTGTGTATATAACTTGGGTTTTGTGTTATGCCAGTGTCAGATATAATAATGGAATCTTCTTAAAAAGGGGGTGTTAGATTACTGGTTGTTGTCTAAATACAAATGTGACTTGCCAATTCTAACCCTACCCCTAATCCTAGTCCTACCATAGCCCTAACCTTAATTTCTGACTATAACACTTAACCTGAGATTACAAAACTACTAACAACCTGACACCTATTTTCAGAAGAGTCCATTGTCAGACATCTGTAAACCCAATTATCCTATATCATAACTAAGCAATTTATAATACCCAAAAGCAGACACTCATTAAAAATTAGCTATTTTATTGTGCCCTTGGATGGTGGTACTTGTGTACGGTGAATTAGGGACATCTAGAATAGATGGTGAAATAATAAATAAGATTTATTTGCTGTACTGTGTATATGGTGGTATCAAAAGATTTTTTCAAGTACTCATACTGGTGTGAATTTATTGCTTTTTTCTCTTTGTATCTGGTCTGTTCATTTTGATATATTAAATAAGAGTAACTTAGATACAATTACATTTTCAAAACAAAATTATAAATATACACAATTTTATGTAGAAAGAATCAAGTTCTTAGCCTAAGAATGAGGTCAGCATGATACAAATAGAATTTTAGCCCTGCCTTTCTAAAAAAAGTTTATTGATTAACAATGTCTTTCAGAAGTACCAGACTGTTCATCATATTAACATTTTCAATTTTAAAAACATCAAACCTATGCTGATACTTAAAAATCACAATAATTTCTTTAAGGATCCTCAAGATGTGTGACCATCATCACCTTCGCTCCCCGGCTCCTGTTGGTATAGTGGATCATGTCAGCAGCCTTTCAGAAAACTTTGCAGAGCTGGTTGAGTCGGAGGATTATGCCGATATAACATTAGTGGTGGACAGGACTAAGTTTCGAAGTCATAAGGTTATTCTAGCTGCTCGATCTGAGTTTTTCAGGTAAACAAAGAGATAAATATTTACTTTCTTTAAAGCATTATTTATATGATGTTTTAAGAATCTTTATACAGTACAAATTGTATTGATGAGAAGTATGTGTGTGTAAATATAAAAATTATCATTTTTCTTAATGAAGTTGAAAGCCAAAAAAGTAAAACTAAGTCAGTTGTACGGTCATATTTTTAAGTAGGGATAACAAGCAGTGCATGAGGCATTAATTGTTTTCTTTGTTACATACTCTAATAAGTACCTTATAGCAGGTATGTTAGCTATTATCTAAAAAACTCCTGATATTAGTACTCATAATTCATTGACCTGCCTTTAAAATCCATGGAGTGCCTTAACCAAATAGGAAGTTTAAGGAGCAGAATATTAAAATATAAGGACAGTATGGTAAACCAGGAGAACATCTCCTGCTAAATCATTTCCCAATAGAATTTCTTGAAGTGTACTATTGATACTCAACATCAGTTCTTATATAAATGGTCATCAAGTGCCATGGTTAAGGGGAGTTTTAAAAAGACATTGTCAGTACAGAATATGACTCGTGATTCTTTTTCCTTTATTACCTTTATAAACATGATCATAAAATACTAACAATGAGTCACTTTAATTTTAATATCAGAGCCCTGCTATATGGAGGTATGAAAGAGTCACAGCCTGGAACAAGAGAAATAGAACTTCAAGACACACCCTCTGGGGCGTTTTCTTCACTCCTAAAGTATATCTATACTGGTCGTATGAACTTGACCGAGATTCAGGTATTATTAATATTGAAGATTTACTGTTATTTATAATTTATATTTATAATATGTCTACAATGTTTTATGTAAAATATTTAGTGTTTAACTTGTAAACATGTCTGCATATTTTACTTACCTACAATACACAGGAAGATAATCTCCTAGACATATTGAGTTTGTCACATAGATTCTGCTTTGTTGAACTGGAATCCTCCATCTCAGATTATTTGAAAGCAATCCTCAACATCCGGAATGTGTGTCATATCTATGACTTGGCAAATATTTACAAGTAAGTTTTATCATGCTGAATTTATAAAGTTGTATTTTTTAGACAAAGTTTTAACAGTGCTCTATTAATTGAGAATAAATATATTGCATATCTTTCTTTTTTTAATACTTTAAAAATTGTAATGTTATCACAATAAAAAATAAGACAAAATAATATGGTACACCTTATTGTTGGCTTAAAATGTGCAGATATATTAGGTCTGCATAACAATGTATTAATGTGCCCTTTGGGTTTCATATTTAAAGTAAAGTTTTACTTTCAAACCTGATGGGCAAGTGAAGTAGAGTTCACTTGTTTCTGTGACCTCGGCATATGAAGAGATAGTGTGGTCAGTACTATGCCCAGGCGCCTTTACTTTCCCTAACGTCAGTTAGGTACCCATCAGAGTTGGGTGGACTCAGGGACGGTCTACTGACTTAAACCCGGTTTCATATTTAATTTCATATTAATTTACTACTAAGATATCTTTTCATTGACAGGGTTATTTGTTTTTAAATTTTCACATACAAATACTTTTACATTGACTGTGTATTTTTATATACTTTTCCTGGACACATTTTTTAAATAGACTGTTGGTTAACTTTTATGAAACGAATGTGTTTTCAGTTTGACATCCCTGTGCAATGTGTGTAAAGATTACATGGACAGAAAAGCACTGGAAGTCCTCAGCAGTGAAAGTTTTCTTTCTCTAACACCGGTTGTTATATTTTTCTTTATTAGAATTTTGCTTCTATGTCAGCCAATCATTTATCAATTTAATTTTGTGTTTCTGAATGGGGCTGTTCTTAAAATTATAATGTTTAAAAATATTTTTGAAATATAGATAGTTATGTGTATTCAACTATATTATCAGAAATCTCGTATTGAATAGTGTGGGCTTGACAATTTTCCTGGTGTTCCATAATTGATGATTCCTATACACAAGCTGTTTAACTTGATAGATGCAATCTGTTTTTTTTAATTTAACGTCCACACTCTAAAATGACTGACATGATTGCATTTTGAGGGATTTCAGCTGTTTTTAAATGACTGAACTACGCCTCTAAAACAAATATTTTTTATCAATTTATTGCAATGTTATAGATGTTTACTTAATTAAAAAAAAACCCAGATTTTTTGTTAATACATTTTTTCTGACTAAATTTAATGTTAATTAAATCATTCAAAATATTTTTAGAATTATGTAAATAATTATGTAAATAATGTAATTATTTACTTACATTTAATAAAATTTAATTTAATTCAATAATATTAGTTACATTAATCAATACTTCTGCTTTAGACATCCATGCGAGATTTGATCTCACGGGACTCGTTCTGTGCACCAGAGATTGACATTTTCCGAGCTGTTTGCTGCTGGGCTGAACACAACAAGGGCCAGGACCCCACCCCTATTTTAGAAGCTGTGAGACTCCAGCTGATGGAGATGCATGAACTGCTGAATGTTGTGAGGGACACAAGGCTGGTGTCCTCGGATGCTATACTCGATGCCATTAAAGTCCAGACAGAGAGCAGAGACATGGATCTGAAGTATCGTGGATTTCAAGGTGAGACTAGCAACTGTAGTAAATTACCATTGAAATTTAAAACTAAGGTTAAGATGCCAAGTAATTAAAAAAATGTGTTTTAAGAACAAAGAATTGGGTTAAGGAGTAGCCTAATGTTGATTTTAAATTTATAGGATTTGACTTGCAAAAGACACTTTGCTGGTTGTTATTACATATGATTTTTATCTATGTATAATATGTTGATTTTGTCTTTATATTCAATGGAAAGTTTGCAGGGTGAAATATAAAACCCACTCACTCAATACATTTATAAAAAAGGATATATAAGAAACATATAGAATTTAGTATTTAGATCTTCTTCTCTTCTTAATCCCATTCGTGCCCAAGACATATGGGGCAAAAAAAGTAGAGTTCATTTGATTCATTGACCCCAGCATGTGAAAGGATAGTGTGGTCAGCACTATGTCCCAGCCACCTTTGTTTCCCTAACGTAAGTTAGCTACCCATCAATGCTGGGTGGACTCAGGGACGTTCCACTAATTGGAACCCGGATTCAAACTCGAGACTCTCTGGTTAGCAGTCTAGCTCTCTACCGCTAGGCCACGCCATTCCTAATACAATACAATTACACACTCAATTTTTCAAACAACTAATTTTTCACTTTTTTATAAGGTTTATCACTGTTTTACTAAAAAATTCATATAACATTGCTGCTTCAGTGCTGGAAGAAAATGTGGCCACCATAAGGCTTGAGGCTGCTGTCATTAGGGGAGAGATGAAAACAGCCTTATTGGATGGGGATGTCCAGAACTATGACCTGGACAGGGGATTCACCAGGCACCCCATTGATGGCAACAACGGCAACGGAATTGTCATTAAACTGGGACAACCTTATATCATCAATACAATCAAACTTCTACTGTGGGATAAAGACATGAGGTAGACTTTTACTATTACACATAATTATTTTTAAAAAAAAGTGGAATAGTGATTTTTATTTTTCAATTATTTTTTTTTTCTGCCTTGAAAGTGGATGTTTAGATATGAAATAACATAAATCACATTGACTCTTCAGTTCTTTGGTTTGATATTTAGATATTTAAAATATTGATCACACAGACTATTTATATTTCTTTCTTTGGGTATTTAATTTAATCACCGATCTGTCCAATGCTTTGAAAGACAATAGTCCTGTTGGTGATCTATTATGTCAGCTATGGCTGTTTAGGTCCATATGAGAGTTGCTATCTCTGATTTTCCAATTGCAGGCTTACGAATATGTTAGATGTTTTTTTCTATGAGGCAACCTGAAAAGAGTTCAATTAATAGAGGACAATATATTAAGATTTTAAGCAGGCCTACTAAACAAAAACCTGTCCTTGTTTGCTTGCAAATTTTAAACAATACTGTTACATTAAGGATAGGAAGTTAGTATAATAGTTTCTAAAGCTGTAAATTTGCTTCCGATTTATTTTTTTCGAGTTGAAAATAGTTTTTTTAATTACATATTTAATTTTTATCTCCCCAACTTTTTTCCAAAAAATGTTGCCGGGCTATTCTATGGGTTAATCATTTTTTCCCCAATTTAAATTTAGGATGCTTGTTTTAAATACCAAAATGTGTAATTTTTATCTTGTTTTAGATCCTATTCCTACTATGTGGAAATCTCTATGGATGACAAAGACTATGACAGAGTCATAGATCACACAAGCTATCTTTGCAGGTCCTGGCAGAAGCTTCACTTTCCAGCCAGGGTTGTCAGGTAGGGCTTTTTATTTAAATTTGCATTTGTTAGGCTTTTATATGAAATAATAAAAACAATATACTTCTAGTAACCTCTTTGGCATTAATTAACAAAGTTTTAATTTTCTGTATCTACTGCACTATAGTTTTTAATTTGTTTGTCAAAAATTTGCTTGATACATTCCTACTGGGAATGTACTCCATTTTAAGCTAGCATTTTTAATGGTTCTTAGAGATGTAATTATATGTCACTAATAATGAATATATTAGTTTTTACAATAAATACAAATCACTTCTTTCATTGTGCAACTTAAACCGTATATATTATTAAACGCCTCTGTATTCTTCTTGTTTTAACTAATGTTACTGTAATGATCTAAAATCAACCCCTCCTAAAAATCTGGCCGGCTTATTAGAGATTTTTTTAATTTGGCAATTAAACTTAAAGGCAAACAAGCTAAATTGTATGCTTAAGGAATGTGTTTTTCTTTCTACAGGTACATTAAAGTTGTTGGCACCCACAATACAGTGAACAGAGTTTTTCACTTGGTTTCATTTGAGTGTTACTACACCAGTCGTCCATTTAGCCTGGAGAGAGGATTGGTTGGTGAGTGTATATAATATAATTTCAGAGTGTATAGTTTAAAATATTCTAATAATGTCTAAAAAAAATATTTTTGCCTTTAAATCAAATACTCACACTCTGGTCCTTTTTATTTAAATTTAATTTCCTTATTTAAGAAAAAATTGAGTAAATTTCCCTTTTTGAATCTGTTGGTCCATCAGGCAATTGAAGTAGAGTGCACTGTTTCTGTGACCTCTGCATTTGAAGGAATAGTGTGTATTAGCATTATGCCTAGCACTTCCACTATGTGAGCTAGGTACCCATAAGAGCTGGGTGGACTCTGGGATATTCTACTGACTTGAACTTAGATTCAAACTTTTGAGTTAGCAGTCTAGCACTCTACCATCAGGCCACGCTGTCCACTTCCATTATTTAAAAATACATATATTTGTCATTGTAGGTCCTCGAACAATCCCCTAATTTTTTATCAGTTTTAAACATGTATTATATTACAGGTCTTTTTTTGAATTTTCAGTTCCTACAGAAAATGTAGCAACAATAAAAAACAGTGCTCTGGTTATTGAAGGTGTGTCAAGGACCAGGAATGCCCTCATCAATGGGAACACCCGTAGCTACGATTGGGATTCTGGGTACACGTGCCACCAGCTGGGCAGTGGTGCCATTTGCATTCAGTTAGCTCAGCCTTACATTCTATCAACAATGAGGTAAGTGTTGGCTTAAACAAAATGTAATCTAGGCACCAATAACATGATGAAGATCATCACAAAAAATTACTAGTCAAACACAGGAAGTAACCAGAAAAATGAATTAATAAGCCAGTGGTTCTTAACCTTTTTGACTTTTTGGAAATACTGAACTCCATCAGTGTCTTGGGCATTTGCCAAACTCTTTTTAATCGTTCTTTCATCAAAATATGATCATGAATCAAATGAGTCTGGTGTGCCTTGACCTCTTCTGAACCCCTGATATTGACTCACCGAACCCTTGGGGTTGGATTGAACCCAGGTTAAGAACCACTGAACTAGGCAAAGTAAGGAGTAGCCAAAGATAAATAACTGAATGAACAAAAAAGAAGATGACTAAACTAAACAAGAAAGTGGAATTAGCTTGAATTAAAATTAGACATGACACATACACAGTAATTTTTAGAATATTTGATTTTTGTGTTGTCCACATTATTTATGTAAGACTCCAGATCTTAAGACTTGACAGATGGTCATGTGTAAAACAGTTGACACATTGATCAACTTATTTATTTAGTTTACTTTCAGTAATGGGTACTTTGGTGTTTCCCCAGCAGTACTGTTACAAAGCTATTTTTTGCTGGCATCACTACCCTGATTGATTGTGACTATAAATCAAAATGTAACACTGACATAAAACCCTGATGCGATATTGTTTGCCTTTACAAAGTAAAATTTATGCTTCCTAGAAGATCTATAATTATGTAAATATATGAATGAAATGTTTCAGACTTCTATTATGGGACTGTGATGATCGAAGCTATAGTTTTTATATAGAAGTTTCCACAGACCAGCTGAAATGGACACAAATAGTGGATAAGCGACATGATGCTTGCAAGTTAGTATATTTTCTCACACAATTCATAATTCAAGTTTTTTAATATTTGCCTTGAATGTAATTATGATTGTTTAGAGAAACAAACTAAACTACAGATTTTTAAGCAAATCACAATTTCGTGTTTAAAAGAGGCCAACCAGTTCTCCCATAATAATAAAAATCTTATTTCAGATCCTGGCAGACATTTGCCTTTGAACCTCTGCCTGTGACATTTATTCGCATTGTTGGAACCCATAACACTGCTAATGAGGTGAGATCTTGTACTTAATAGCATTAAAAATATTTAAAATATTTTGAAATATAAGTGGTATAGCAAGTTGACACAATGCAAGTACAAGGTTCTTCCTATTAATTCTAAGATGAAGCGATGAATTATTTGCTGTAATTTTAGAAAGTGTTTCTCATATTACATACATAAGATTAATTTTTCTTTTACAAAGTGTTAACCTAGCTTTTTATGCCACAGTATTCTGCAAGTTTTTATTTTAGATACATGTTTGACGCTGATATTGTTTGGTTTTCTTTCCTTAAGGTGTTTCACTGCGTTCACTTTGAGAGCCCAGCGGACACAGCTGTGGGAAATTTGATCAACAGTGTCCCAGTGGTAACAGGACCCCCCAACAGTCCTCGTCTGGGACCAGCGTTTCCGGTTCCCGAGATGGACAGGGGACCCTCGCTTAGTCGCAGCACGAGCAGCACCAGCAGTCACAGCGAGAGCCAGCACTACAACACACAGGCGCGTGCGAACAGTGCACAGTATTTCACACCCCCACAGCAACAGCCGCCACACTTCCCCCACCTGCCTCAAGGCCTGGAGCAACCCCTGCAGCCTGGCCACTTTGACGGCAATGTGCTGCAACAGCAGGATGTCCCTGAGGCCGATAGAGTGGACACTGGTGCGCACTGTATGGATTCTGGTCCACACTGATCAAAAACAAATTTTCACTTTGAAAAAAACCATTGAAAATTGGGTAGGATACACAGATATGTTTAGACATTTTAGTACTGTTATAAACTTTTTAACTAAGTGCTTTAAAATTAACTTTCAACCCCTAATGTTGTTTTTATTTATTTAGGAAATAAAGCAGAGTAGTTGGAATTACACTTACAATCACATTACTTGTGCTGGATAATCATAAAATAATTATTCAATGCTTTCATGATCTTTATTATTTAAAGGCAAGAAATTTATCATTGATTGTATATAATCATGTTGAGCTTCTGAAGTTAGCTATTGTAGAGATAGTATTGTGCTTGTGTATAGGGATCTGCTAGGATTCTTTGATAACACTAAACATTGTGCTGAGATTTGCTTTTTCTAGTTGTTTAGAAATCAGTTGTTTACTATTCAAAGATTTACAGCTTTAACAATACACCACCAGACGTGTGTTGAAAGTGAGAAATTAGGTTTGTCTTTTTTTCTAGTCACGCTGCAAGTTGACTGCAGTCCACATTATATTTTTTTATATTATTTATTTTTTAAAAGGGATATTATGGCTAGGAGCATGTTAGCTAACCGAACTCTTGAGTTGCTTACATCATCGCACTTGATTAAACTCTGGAAAAAGCCAATCCGGCTGATGAATCAATCTATCAAATGAGTTCCCAGATTATCTATTTCACCTGTCTAAAGAAAAGGCAGAGGCCTACTTTGCTCTCTTAGTTGGAGAATATTTTACAGTTTCATGTTTTCATTTGTTAGACTTGCTGCAGTAATCATGCTGTGTAAACATTTCAGCTAAACAACTTTATGATTGCCATTAATTTTTTTTTACCATTATGTTTGTAAATTTTTTTTTTATGTTTCATCTTTAATATGTTTAAAAATATTTTGGGTTGAAACCTTGCTATTTTCTCAACGGCTGTGATCTCACCAGGAATACATTTTGGAGAACTAAAATTAGGCAAGTTATCTTTACAAGTATTTAAATCCTAAAGATCTTTGTATTGTATTTGGAAAATTCCAATTAAATAAGAAAAACTGAGTATACAAAATTAAAGATATTTTGGTTTGTCATATATATATATTTAATCATTATTGATAACCATTGACAATCATAGTTATTTTGTTTTTTCACTTTAAATATTTAAAAGTGCTATTAAACATTTGACCTTTTGTTGTAAATTAAAATTCAGTCATTTAAACAGCTGAGGTAAAACAGGTCTCTTAATTCAACAAACAGCACTAAAGTATTTAAAAAGCATTTTATTACAATATCATGGTTACAGTTTTTATCGCAGCCAAAGCTTGAGTCTCAATGCATCAACACCATTAAGATAGTACCGGAAAAGACGTTTATCCCTAACAAATCCCAGGTTTTCATATAAATGAAGTGCAGCTTGATTGGTGATCTCTGTTTCTAGTACTACCTGTTATGGGGGATACAATAAGTCTTAGTGAAACAGTAGACATATTTTGTATAAAGAGGATGCTTGAATAATTTGGTATCATAAATGGCTTTGACATACAGGTGTAAATATTAAACCCGTATTTGTTACCTTAAACTGTAGAGATATGTAGGAACAATTTGTTGTTTATTTATTTGTTTCATATTAAACTGTTCTTTTAATTTTTTAAAATCTTTGAGTTTATAGTCATAGCTACCTCATCGCACTCATCCCTTATCATGGCTTCTATTGCTTTTGTCACAAGAGATGAACCTACAAAATAAACACACACAAAAGTTAGGTAACACTGATTCTTATAAAAACTTATACTTTCCTTGCACACAAAAAAAAAATGGATCAGAATAATATATGCTTCAATTGAGATTGAACAGCACAACATGCACTAAACATAGATTAACTTAATGTATGTACATTTTAAAAGAAGTATTCATAATATTCTGAATACATCTTCAATCAGCTCAATGACATTTTTTTAAAGTGTGGCTGAAGAAACTAATTGCAATTTTCTACAAATATTTGGCCTAGGGGACATTCTTTTAAAAAAAAACAACTTTTTAACTACAATGCTAATCCATTAACACAAGTTGTACCTATTTGCCTTCGCCTAAACTCTGAATCCACAGCTAACATAGCAATATAGCCTCTTCTGACCATTTTTTTGTGTAAGTCAAGTTTGCAGACAATAGCACCAACACATACTTTGTCAGCCATTGCCTGAAATTAAGAACAGCAAAATCTATTTCAATAGAGATGATAAATAAAATTTGAAATCATTTTGGTTAAAACAAATTGTAGTCTGTTCAACTATTACAAGATAGTATATAATACAAATTCTTAATTAAATGGTAACAGCTATTTAAATTGTACTTTCATCAAATTTAAATGCACAATACAAATGAATCAATTAAAAAGTAGATCCAAATTAATTCATACCTACCAAAAAACATAACTTTGGCCAATTGTGAATAAAATATCTGTATGTGTAAATTGAATAAGGCTCTGATAAGTCTTTGGTAATCAACCTCATAATATCTGGCATTTGTTTCTCTGACTCATACACTTCATACATGATACCATCAATTGTTCCACATAATTCTGAGGGATTATTTTGTGGTGTCTCTGGAAATAACACACCAACGTCATTATGAGAGACATTACATTGCACTTGCGAAAGGTTTTTTTTTCTCTCCTCATTTTGCTTATCATCTAAAGTTGACACAGATATGCCATCTGCATTTGGACAACTACTTTCAGTACTTTGATTTGAATTGCTGCAGCTGTGCTTTTCCAAAGCAGACCTTTCCTCATTTGCAATGCTACACGCATTCATCAAATTAATCACAAGTCCATTTTCACCTAAATTATGCTCTGTGTAAACAAGTACATAATTTTTGAAGCATTATTAATAAATAATTTAAAATAAATATACTATGTAATAAATTAAGTAAACACTATATTTCTTTCATTAACAATTTTTCTCCATCTTACTATTTGAATTTTTAATACGAAACAAATATCACATAAGCATGGTTATCTCATAACAAATAGAAAGTAAAAACATTTAAATCTGGCAAATGAAGAGTTCATATTTGTGGTCCAGAAAATTCTGCCTCCACTAATCCCCCCCCCCCCCCCCCTTCATGAAAAACCTTCAGGGTTGACAAAAATGCATTATACAATACCATATGACTGATCTTGTTAAAAAAGTGTAATATATTATAGTTATTATTCTAGACAGTTTTCTTAAAAGATAGGAAATTAAGGCAAATATAAATAAGCAGATCAATTTTGCATATTTTAAGCCAGACTTATGCATTAAATTGCAGTAAATTTGGTTAGTTATTGACCAAAATCAGTCATATATTTCAATGCTAGACTCTAGAAAATTGATGATCTTCCATACTATTTAAGAAAAGATTTGGTTATTAATGAAGAAATACAGTTTTGTCTGTCAACTGTCTGTCTCTGCATTAAAATGTGAACAGTTGGCTCAATTTTGAGTGCTATGCGCCCTAGCTCAATGCTGAGCTTAAAAAATACACATACCTGAAAAGTCTACAAGAAATTTTGAAAATAAAGATTTTCTAATTAGAAAAATTACACCAAAAGGTCTATTCTTAGCCTGCAGAAGCTAATTAAAAAATTTCGGTTCTAATCTATACTTAATTAAAGTAAGGCTTAAAAAGAACTGCTTGACTTAGTCTTACTCTGGACTTAGAAATAGGCCCGGATCGTTAATTAACTGAATTTAATTAAAATTTAAGGGGGTTGGTGTGGCAGAGTAAGTAAAGCTCATGGCTGCTAGACCGAAAAGTCTCAAATTTGAACCCTCCCTAGGAGAGACAACTCCAAAATCAAACAACTGATTGTAGTTTGTGTAGGTTGCTAATTAATTTGTATATTATGTGTTGAATAATCATTGATTTGAATAATAAATAATAATGGAGTTTAAACAAAATTTAAATTATCCTAAGAACTAAGAATTCTAAGTACTAAGCAATATAAGTTAACTTAGAAATGAATTGTCTAGCAACCTTTTTTTTACTTTGCTACTTGTACTTGATGAAGTGTGTCTAACTATTAAATTAAACTAACCTAACTTGCTAACCCTGTGCCTCAGTGTCCCCTGACACTTCTTTAGTTCTCAACTCATAACTACTCAGTACTCAACAACATAACAGCACTCACTGACACTGTCAAAGAAGTGTCAAGAGTCAAGTTCTCAGAGTAAAGACTCAAGTCATTTTTTTAGTCAAGTTTAGTTGACAAGTGTCACTGATTCACTACTCTACTACTAGACTACTAGATCTATATACTACGACAGATTCTAATATATTACACACTTTCAAGATCCTTCATTTCTCTTATAAATCAGTTTGCCAAGATTTTAACTTTTTAAAGCTCTTTTTATTTTATTTGATAGAAATCTAGATCTTCTTTGATGTAGTTGCATCTGTTTGTTTTCACTGCGGATTTTCTAGTTAGCCAGGTTTTCTAACATCAGCAAAATACGTTGTCTACCGGAAAATTAAATATTCCCTGCAGAGAACAAATTTAGATTAGGATCATCTATGCATCTATTACATATTATTGATTATTTGTGGAATATATGGGTGGTAAATGCACACAATACTGAATCGGTACATTTTATACATTCCTTTATGAAGTTATAAAAATACAAATATGTGAGTTATAAAATGGTTTCGCCCCTTGTACTTAAACGCTTGGTCTAGCTAATCTAGTGTTGCTGTTCAATTTATGAAATTATCTAACAAATAATCAAACATTACAAGTATTTTTAAAAAGTTAAATTCTTTTTTTTTTACATAAGAAGAAATATAAAATTTAAAAAAATCTCTACTGTAGGCTAATATTGTTTGTGAGTTTTCAATGATTTTTAAAAACTTTCCTCATTAAGATTCGGCACTTAGTAGAACCAATTTTAAAGGGACATTACTTACTTTGCTGAGGTCAAAATTTGTAAACTGAAGTAGAGAGAGAGAAAAATCGAGAATCTCTTATTTCGTACTATTTGAGTATTAGCCATTGGTAATGATAATATAAATGTAAAATAACGCAAGAATAATAGGCCCAATGATATCAAATTAACTCGTTTTGAATAAAAAGGGTTACCAAAAAAAAAAAAAAAGAGAACCCTAGGCGGCTAGAGTAGAGTTAGACTACTTATTTTACTTAACTACTAGATTTCTAGATCTAGAATCTAGATCTATATATAACTACTGTCGGTAATCTATCGTTTTATTTTGGGTACGTAAAATCGCCAGCGGCTATTTATGTACGAAAACGTTACCTCATTGTCAAGGCTTTAATAGAAGTATATTGTCATACTTTTGTGTCAAATATTATAGATAAATGAATAATAAACCTAAATCAATGGCTAAATATTAAATATTAATAAATAATAAATATATCGATATAGGCCAGAAATTAACTTTAAACAGCAGTGTCTGAGAGCAAGATTTGCTATATACTATATAAACAGCAGCCATTTGTAAAATAGAGTGGCTTCCCCCTGAATCTGGCGCTAAAAACTTATAAAAATAAAACTTAGACAAGATGGCTGCTATAGTAAATGAGCATGGTTGCATCTGTTGGAAACATCGCTAGTCTTCATTTATTACGGAAAAGTTTTAATTCAATTGTTTAAAAACAGGCACATAAATGAATCAAGGAAACATTTTTGAATTTTTTAAAACATAAATCCTCCTCAAAATGTGAAATAATTATTAAAATTTAAGGAGTCACCTGTTTTTCACATTATAAATCGCGGGCGATTTTACGTACCCAAAACGATAGATTACCCTACTGTCTACTATAGGCCCTATAGGGGGTCGTCCATAAATGACGTCACTCGTATAGTGACGTATAGTCACTCCATAGTTTTGTGATGGGGGATGGGGGGTTCAGTTGGTGGGACGTCACACTTTTGCATCATAGAAAAGCAATGGTAGAAAACTAATTTTAGCCGTTATTTCGCATTTTAGAAAACTTAATAAATGGTAGATCTAATAAGTAATAGGAATTTATCAAAATACTTTACGTTGACGGAGTTCAGACAAGATTTTGGAAAAATATAGATCTAGATGTTTTAAGAAAAATAATTCAACAGCAATTTTGAGGGGGGGGGGGTTGTAGGCTGAGGTGTGACGTCATTTTAGGAGGGGGTGGGGTCTGGCTTTTTGTGACGGAGGGGAAGGGGGAAGGAGGTAAAAATCGTCCCAAAAAGCGTGACGTCATTTATAACCCCTACTAGATCTAGTAGTACTACAACTAGTCACTTAGTTGATTTAGTCTTGGTACACTAGTGTGACAAGACTAGTAGTCTGAGACTAGGTAGTAGAGTAGACACTGCTACTAGATTCTAGTAGTAGAGTGGGCCTAGCTACAGTAGCTGTAGTGACTAGTACTAGTAGTGAGCCGAGTGACTAGTACTAGTAGGCCCTAGACTACTAAGACTAGAAACTACATGACTACTAATACTTTTACCTTTACTAGATCTAGATTAATAGTTTATTATTATAATATTAAATATTAAAAATACATTTAAGGGCCGGCCCTAGACTAGAGTTAGAGACTACATGACTTCTAGTACTTTACTAGATCTAGTTCTAGTTTAATAGTTTATTATTAAATATTAAAAATACATTTAAATTTTTCATTCTGATTTCAAGATTAAATAGACTGCATTTACTAATGTAAATTACTAATTTAGTAATAATTAGGATAAAAACGTTAGCTTAGCATCAGAAATTATCTGGTTTGTTGAGTTTTGTAAACATAAGTTATGGTAAACCATGTTTTATTTGACCATATATAAATGTCTTAAACTGCACATTTAGCACCCAATGTACATTATAATTAGGTCAAAGTTAAAGATCTACAGTAAAGTATTAATTAAGCACCCAATGTACATTATAAGATTAAGTAAAAGAATTATAAAGATCTACACTAAACCCAAGCACACTATACGCTCTGGCAGTAAATTAAGCTCTTGTTTAACACTAATTATGTCCAGGTCAAATCATATCATTTAGTTAGAAGCTGTAGTGTTAAGTTAAACCCTACATTTTTTAGCTAGCTGCTTGTCCACTTCCAAACCTTACTATTACTGTTACTATTCTTTATATTGAGTAAGACATAGTTAAGCAGTTTTTTTAACCTAGAACAATAGACATGTAAATGAGTAGTACCTTATCATGTGAACAACTAGAGACTGAAAATTAGAGTAAGTAAGCTGTCTGGTAGTCAAGTGTAGTCGTTATCTGCCACTTTGTAAACCGCAAAAACAATTTCATTCCCAAAAATTGTGAAAAAGGAGTTTAAGTCAGCATATTGTTATACTATAGTATTTTAATTGTCGTACTATAACTACTTTAATATAAGCAATACTCTTTTATTTTTCAGTTGTCTCATCAACTTTACTTGTGAAATCTTCACAGCCCTTTACTTTAGGCTAGTTGCCTGATTGCAAGTAAGAAAATATTATTCTTAACAATCAGATAACAATATGTGAGCATGTTTTGTTTTGCAAGTGGACAGTGTTTCTTCCAGACTTTTTTCTCCGGGGGGGGGGGGGGGGGGGGGTCATGGCGGACACTACTAAAAGTGTTTGTTTACTGTATAAATTCCATTTTGCTCGGCGGACTTTTTGCTGGGGGGGGGGGGGGGGGGCCTGGATCAGCCGCCCCCCCCCCCCCCCCTCCCCAAGGAGATGCCTGGAAGAAACTCTGCAAGTGGAATACATACAATTTTAATGTTTTTGTGTTAAAAACCAATTCTAGCTTAAGTGTTTAAGAAACTCAATTTTGGGTTCTTAATACTTAATTAATCTGATGAGTTAGTGACACATACAAACCATAATCATATTTTAAACAATTTTTCTGTTTTGGGATTCCAGCATCTAGCTGTTTATAATGCCTTTTCCCAAGCAAGAAGAGCGTGCCAAATGTTGGGCATCAAAAGATGAATACTGGGAGTGTCTCAAAAACAACAATGATGATACTTCAAAATGTGCAAAAGAACGTAATCAATATGAAAATAGTTGTATCAAACAATGGGTAAATACATGATTTTCATAGAAATTGAATGCCTTTGATTAGCCAAACTGATTCATTTTAGGGACAGGTAATAGGAAATTATGCATATATAAAATAGGGGCCTATTGTTTTCAATGTTTTGGGTTATAATATATGTAGAACATTTTCCACAGTATTAAAGCTACTGTGAAATACTTTTTTTAGCATATGAAATTTTATTTTATTACTGAAGTGCTTCTATTTAAGTTTGTAAATACTTTTCAGGTTAAATATTTTGATAAAAGACACGACTACTTGAAATACAAGGAGAAAATGGAAAATGTTGTGCCAGAAAAACCTAATTCAGTCTAACAAATGTTTCTATTTGTTACTCATATTAACTGTACATATAACTATGGAATTAAAATGCTTTATATAAATTTGACCTGCGTGTTTGAATATTTGTGCCTGCTACTTTTAATTTATTAAAATCCTCGTCCAAGTACAAGGTATTTTTAAAAGTGTGTTAAAAGCACTCTACTAATGAGATACTCCTAAATGAACAATGGCTGATGATAGTTAACATGTACAAATTATTACTAAGACTAAGAGATATACATTTGACACCCCTCTTCATATAGGCCTACATATATTTACATTTACATAGATAACAACTGTCCAAAATACTTTTAGCACTATCATACTATGTCTTTGCAATTGAAGACTAAAAACTAAATTGGTCAAGTTAAAGAAATTCACAAAACTATTCTAGTTTGATTATAGTTAACTGATTAACTCTAATGCATGTCAGCTTGTGAGAACCAGGGACATAGAAGGAGGGGAACTTCACAGAGTATGTCTCCAAAGGTCAAATAAAAATTATAATTTTTAGCCAAATGAGTAATGTCAAGAATTTAAAAAACAAAAATAAAGTTTTCAAAAATTCATTTTTTTAAATTATTGATTTTATTAGTCAAACAACTTTTAACTTTATAACATACAGATTGTATTCAATGTTTATTTATTATTAATAACAAAGCATTGTATGACACAAATAACAAATAATAAAATATTATTTGTCTACTGAGATTAAAATGAAAATAAATAAAAAATTGTGGTCAGGTTTTATTTTTCTTCTAATTTCAGTTGGCCTATAAATATTTAGACACTAACACCATATGTTTCAAATAGAAGTTTCAGACTAAAACATTTTAAAAATATATCATCTATAGATTATCATCATCATCTTTTCCCTTTTGTGCCAGAGACACATGGGGCAGATGAAGTTGAATTCATTTGTTTCAATGACTTCTGCATTCACAGTGTTGTCAGCACTATGCCTAATGTGAGTCAGGTACCCATCAGAACTGGGTGGACTCAGGTACATTCTACAGACTGATGCCGGGATTCAAACTTGAGGCTTGCGGGTTAGCTGCGCAAACGCTTGGCCACGCCACCCCCTATCTGTAAGATTATAATAATAACCCACATGCTATACTGAACTGAATAGAATTCAGGGTATGTTATGTAACCAGCTACAATATTAATGCCCATTACCTAAAACATGTGGGAGATTAACCACTGGGTTTGATATAGAGAAAAAAAGTCTTCATAAGAGTATGAATGCTTAAATTTAACATTTAATGTAGATGTTAAAAGTCAAAACATGTTCAATTGCAACAAAGGATTATCTTGAGCAGTTGATAATAGGTTTTTGTACAGAATAATGAGGTTGTGGTTGACAAAAGTTGTTTGTGAAGGATAAAACCACAAAAAGCACTGCCACAGCAGCATCCTTCCTCTCAAGACATTAGCTACAACATTGGGAACATTACAGCAGTGTCTTGTCTATCACTGGATCTGAAGTAACCAAGATTAAGTCAACACTTTTAAATGGGACGGAGAACACATGTTTCTAGAAAAGTATTCAAAACATCAAAAGCTATTTGGTGGAGAAATATTCTTGGTGTAAAGTAAGATGCTTCTTTTTGTACTATTATTACAAAGACAATTTTACACAGTTTTTCAGCCCAGTAAAAATTCAATCTTTAAAGTGTAGATTAAATGTCTTTTCTATTCTGTTATTTATATATCTTCTAAGAAAACTGCAATGTTTTACAGCAAAGAAAATAAATTTCCAAATAGAATACCTAACTTTGTCACTAAAACTAAGGTCTGTCCATTTTAATGTCATAAACATTGCAGAAATAACAGGAAGTGTGAACAGAGTTAAAGTTTTCGATCCGCCTTGGAAAGCAGCTACCGTTGTGTTTGCTAAATAAAAATATTCTGGTTTCGGATTTGCCAAAAAAACATTAATAATTTCATGTTCTATTTCCTTGCAAATGTTAAACGCTTGAGACAAACCATTGCTGCATATATTATATTTAAAATCTATTCCTAGTAAGTGGCCAATTCCATACCAGAAATAAACATAATCATCCAAGTCAGACTCTGAGCATTTAATGCCTGCTTTATCAGAGTACATGATAACAGCACCCATAAAACCACTTTGCACTACTCCCATATCATATTGTGAAAGTGGTTTCTTAAGTGTTAAAGATTTTATATCTTCTCTCACTTTGTTATGTATTTTGTTTACAGTAAGTATAGAATTCTGAGCAAGAGAATTTTTTTCCCAGACATTGTCATAATGCCAGCTGGCAACATGTTTGAAAGTTCTCAAGTATCTCTTTAAAGCTTTTTTTGGTGTGTCAGATTCACGTGTAAACAATAATGCTTCCAAAAAGTCTGGGATGCTCATTCCAATAATAAGTGAAAATAACATGGCAATACAGCAGCTGAATAAATGCTCCTTAAAAAACTTGCGCCCATTATTGAATTTATTCATATTAAATTCTGTAGGTGGTTCAAAGCTTTGTAAGTGTGTATCACCAGCTTCTTGCTTTCCAATCTCCATACGTTTTAAATACATGATGATTACACTCTAAAGATAAAGAAAAATCAATATTCATAACAGTAATAAAAAAAAAAGACAATAAGACGGTTTTTACCCCCCACCGTTGACTGCAAAACAAATTACATTATTATAATAAATTAAATCTATTATTATTAGGCCTACTAATTATTAAACTTTCATCTGCCCAAACCTCCCCCCTCCCCACCTCAGTGTCCTCAGCCTACCCTCTCAGTTATTTTTAACCTGCGGTGTCTTTCTAAAAAGGCCTACTCTTATAACTCAAATGAATTCAAAATAAAATGTTACATTTCATCCGTTTTACTATTAACTTAAAATAATGCACTCGCCTTAATTGTAGATCTATATGTTCAATGCATGTTCAAGGGCATGTTATGATGTTACGTAATAACGGTAATAAGCTAGATCTAGAATCTAGATGTAGTGATGTAGGTGTAGCGTACCGCTCTCCGCGGTCCTTTCAACTGTGTAATTACTATAGCTTCCGGGTTATTCAGATACTGTTAATTTATTAATAATATAATGCATTTTTCAATATTCGTCCAGCCTAGACACATGATTATATAGATCTAGGATGGAGTAGGTTTATTGGTTTATTGTGTCCCACCACCATGTTATAAATAGTTATCCTTGAATGTTAAATTACATCGGTATAATAAATTCTAAAGTCCTTTAAAGCTGTGTTTGGTTGCTACATGGCAACCAAAAAAATGACGTCATCTTTTAAAATGTTGAATTAAAATTACATCTTTGGTTTTGTGTTTGATATAGAAATCTAGAATTAGAATATAATAGTGGGGAATTGTAATCTTAGAAAATTTAAGTCAGACATTAAAATGTTTTAAATTTTCGACATCCACGCGGAGAGGGAAAGGTAGGGGTCCGAAAAAAAAAAATCGACATTTTTGGATTAGCTTAGTTAGGGGTAGGTAGGGTTGCCAGATACCTTTTCCGAAAATACTGGACACCTTTCCATCCTTCCCTTCACAGGTATGCCGCAAAGCAGAAGAAGGGGGGGGGGGGGTAAACAGAGTATTATTCATATACTTGTCCAGTATTTATATTTATTTTATCCTGGACAGTCTGCTCAAATACTGGACTGTCCAGTTCAAAACTGGACACCTGGCAACCCTAGGGGTAGGGGAGAGCCGAGTATATGTGGTATGGGCAGTATGGGTGTGTTCTAAGTTCTAATCTAACCCCTCCCCTCCTAAAACACCACACTGCTGACCTAAACATGTAAACTGATATTTTTTTTTCAAATAGCCCGGGGTAAATAACCATCCACTATTTACAAGGTTACTAATATTAATACTGGGAAGAACGCGATTAAAAAAAAAAGTCATGTTTTTTGAAATTACACGTTTGAAGTAATTTTGGAGAGGTTGGAGAGGATGTAGATGCCCACACGTAGAGGAGGCGAGAGGGGCGGGGGCAGTGATTGTTTGTCGCTGGAAAAAAAAGCAATGCTACAAGCTTTTATAAACTTTTATTTAACTTGATTTCATTGCGGTTCTTCGTCAAGGTCGAAACTTGTGATTAAAAATAAAATTGCAGCCACTTCGACGGAACCGTTTTATTTTCTAGATTAGGCAAGACCCGTTGGCAATGCAATGTGCAATGAACTTTGATGCTTATTTAATTAAATTTTCCGAGTATCTTGCATCTTCTCACAGTGATATCACCCGCTAAACAAACGGTAGGGCGCATATAACTGCTAAAGTGGGCGTACCGCCTTAACTTTTCCTAAAGCGAGTCCCGTAATTATCAGACTTGCTGAACTCAGGGACGTCTGACTCAAACCAGGGATTAGAACCCGAGATGTTCAGGCCTATATTGTTTATTTTGTTGGGCGTTATTCTTCAATGAAGCACTAGAGCTTTATATTTCGGCATTTTTCTAATATTTTTAAAGTGACAGTGTCCACCCTGTACACGGTTAGGTAAATGTTGATAAGTCAGATGGTGTTGGCCGAAAAAGTAATATTTAAGGTGAAAATTGTGAACACATAACTGAGTGTTTATTAGATATCTTAATAAAATAAGTCTAGACACTTTACAAATATTGGAGTTTTTTTTTCAATAATGCTTGTTGAATTTTCAAACTTTGGCATAGATCTATATACTCTGTTTTATTTTCGGCAACTTTGAATATTTTGATCTGGCAAATAGCTTCATATCATTGCATTCCTTCAAGATGGCTACAGAGTTGGGCGATACGCCTAAACCAAATGACCCCGTTGAACCAAACGGGAAAAAAAACTTACAGGTGTATGAAAGTAGCCACAAAAATGGGCTCACGAATGGAATAAAAGAACATGATAAAAAAAGAGCGCAAAATCATGTGAGTGTCGTTCTAGCTTTAGATCTAAATCTAAACTATTTTTAGTGGGCCATTTTTTAATGAGGGTGAATCAGGAATTTTTTTGGGGCAGCAATGTTACCATGTTACACAATAATAATATACTGATACTAGTGATACTGATTATTTTATAGATTTAATACTTTATAAATACACAAGTGAAGTGTGATTAGTAAGTTAGTGTGACACACCTGTTTTTCAATTTACTATTTTGATTTCTTGGGTTGATTTAATTTCAATGTTTTTTGTTTTTTAAAATAATAGTAGGCTTTTTGATGAGAATTACAGAATGATTTTTTTATTAAAAATGTATCAATAATAGCTTGCACACTAGTAAACTAAGCCAATTTAGCATATTTTAACTTTCTGTGCAAAGTCATTATTACTGAAAAAAATTCCAAAGTCAGGTCAGCCTGTGGCACCCTCCACTGAACATGACAGAAGGAAAAAAAAACTTGACCCGTGACCTTCATTAAAACAGAATTTGCTTTTGTTTTTTTTTCATTTTTAGTAAATATGTGCTTAATCTTACCCAATAAGTGATAAAAATTTGAAAATTAATTTTAATTACTGTTGTAAAGTGAGATAAACAGCTTAATAAACACGTGTTTTCTTGAGGGGGTGTGGCACATCCCGACATCGCATTGTTTGTAACTTTATATTTGTGTTTTATGACTATATTTGTTCACAATCAGCATGCTATGCTTTTAATTTTGATAAAGGGTAAGTATACCAAGTTACAAAACCTGAAATCTAACTAATAATTCATACTTTCAGTTTAAAAAAATAATGAAAACGATCATCAATGAAGAAAGCGTAAACATTCTATTTTTAGGTGTGACATAAAAAACAGTCATAAATCTAGCCGAATGATTGGATTCTTGCGCGTCACACATTTTCCCGCGCTTCGTGTTCACCAAAAAAGATTATAATAAAATGGCATTATTATTCTTACAGAGCATATCTCATGCCTACCATAAATTATTACCAGTTTATTGTAACGTGTGTAAAATTAATGCTTTCAAGTAAAAAATAGCAATAGTCTGGTTAAAAATACCTGCGGTATTTTATAGTTATTTGATTCGAAAGATAAGAATTATATAGAGCTACTTTCACTAAGGCGCCGCTTGCGAGACAAACATAGAAATTAGGCCAAAAGTAGATCCGACAATTCTTAAATAACAGACTTAAATAGAAACGGATAGTTCCGATTTCTTAAATTAACGATGGCTTCGTAATCATTAGTTTTATTGCTCTACCCATTAGTGAAAGCGAAACTGGTCGCCATTTTTGGTAAGCGCATGAGCCGTGAGATGGCTTCAAAACAACAAACCCGGAAGCTGTGAATTCGAACGGCCTAATAATAGGTATTAATACTTAATAGGCCTACCTCACTTGTTTATTTAAAATTTAAGTTTATTATGAATGAATCAATTTTAATTTTTAAAAGCTATGGCGCTATGGTATTGTTAATGTTAAGAATGTTTTGTTCTGTTATGAAGTGTTCCAAATATCAAATACATTTTCAATAGGCCTAGATCCTAACTAATCCCTTTACGCCCTTTAGCCTAATAAATTTAAAGTACTAATGTTTGAATTTATTCATAGTTTGAATGTTTGCTATTTTCATTTCAGTCTTAAGGTTTTAAGTGTTTCTTTTCTTTAATTGGTGATTTGATGATTAAATCATTTTTTTTTACTTCTCTTTAATCTAACACCCACTTCCAACATATTTTCACTGTCACTATAAGTCATCATGTAAAAAATTTCCAAAATTACTCTGCTTTTTAAGATGTTTAGCCATAATTTTGATGAAGATCAATGTTTTCATCATATTTATTTGAAGAGAGATGAAATTCATTACCCTCCCCTTTATAATGTCTCAGAAATAAATCAGCCACTCCACCCCTTTGGTAGTGATGTCATTTTGGATGATAATTCAAATCGTCCCTTTGAATCCTGGTCAGAATGTCCCGTTTCCCGTCCCCCCTCCCCCCCTTGACCTCAACTCAGGCAGGTCCGGAATTTATGACATGTAACCCTAATGTCAGGAAGAGAATGGGGGAAAATGTTTTGACGTTTATGGAAAACCTCTCTTCTGCCATGTTCAATCAAAAGAACGAAAATTACGTGTTAGTAGATGTGTACCTTGTTCAAAACAAATGATCATAGCTATTGCAAGCCTGAGGCATGCTAAACAACCTCAACACATCATCCTTGCTAAAAAGTCTTGCCAACAAATGTCTGCCCACAACAAACAGGCCCCAGTAAATTGACTTCTAACAAAGTTACTTCTGACTAATGGCTCAAACCCAATGACGTAACAAAAATAGCTTGCTAAAAAAAAGCCCAAGATAAATTGGGTGTAGGCAAACTTAGGCAAAGCAGTACATTTCATTACATGGCTATCGCGCTATCAGTTATGAAAAAATGAGCACACATTTAGCAATGTTGTTTTTCTTGGACTTAAATTGAAAGATTATGTTTACTGTTTGTCATAATACACAGCTTTTTATTATCAAATGTCAGTTTTAATGTGACATAACTAATTCAGAAATGTAATGTGTTTAAAATAGGTATTCTTAATGTTAATATTTTTTTAATAAGTGGCTCTTGAAGGGCTCACCCACGCGCAGCTTCCGTACATCTTAATCACAAGCTTCTTCCCGAGCTTAATGGGCAGTTGAGGTTTATATATAAGATTTTAGAGAAGAACATCTCAAGACAGCAAGATTGCACCTATATTTATATAATTACATGGGATAGCATGGCCTATTGGTAGAGCGCTAGATTGCTAACTCGAAAGTTTTGAGTTTGAATCTTGGTTCAAGTCAGCAGAACATCCACCCAGTACCAATAGGTACCTAACTCAATGTTAGGGAAAGTAAAGGCGGCTGGGTATAGTGCTGGCAACACTATTCCTTCATATACTGAGGTAACAAAACTATTGAACTCTACTTCACTCGCCTCATTGACCGTCATGTTTTTAAGCTTCTATCCTTTGAAGCTAATGTTGCATAGCTCAGCACCACTCAGCATGATTTTAAATATTTATATGTGGAGTGGTAAGCTTTAACAGCTGATTCCAGTAACCTAAGCAACAGCAGTACTTAGAAATAGATATTTATGGTTGATAAATACGCACTGACACTGCTGTTGAGTCTTTATAATTGTCATTCGTAAACGAATCATGCTATTTTAATATTTTTTTACCCCTCCAGTCCACACTTCTGACACCATAAACAACCAGAGCCCTCTTTATATATTATCCAGGATCACATGATTTCATTATAAGTTAACAATTTTAAAATCATTTTTGTTTTTATAAAAAATAGTGAAATTGTATGCTATTTCACACTTTTTGAACATTCTTCCATGTTCCATGAAGTCAGGACTTCATTTATGGTCCACCACAAAAAATGTGATTCTGATGGATACTTAAATGTCATTAAAACTTACAATTTCTAAGTATATTTATAAGTATAAAATTTCTATTGTAGGTCTCAAAATGGCAAGATGATTTTTATGAGTCTTTTGAAGAGACCCCACTGCTGGTTGCCATTCTGACATATTTGGGCTATGCACTCCTTGTTGTCATTGGGCAGATTCGTGATCTGATGAGAGCGTATGGAATTGAGAAAGACAAAAGCTGCACAGAACCAAAGCTTGAGGTATGTAATCATTTTTCTTACCATTACTTATTGTGCAGGTTTAAAAATAGCAATGTTAGAAATTGAAGTGATTTTTAAAATGTATCATTGTTGCTTGGTTTCAGTTGAAAGCTAATTCATTTAGAAGACATTTAATTTTTCTGCCTCTGCAGAGGTAACAGTGGGAGCAGTTTGCACTGTATATGTACCTAAATTACATCAGATGTGTTGGTTATTATAAAATGAAATCAAATTTTGGAATAGAGTTCATAGCTCATTCACATCACTAATATGAACCCTATGGTACAAATGTTTATGTTGTATGACTTAGTTAACACCTAAATTTGTTACTAGTTTTTGTTTTGTCTGAATGTGATAATATGGCCAACATTTGCTTTAAACAAAATGTGCGGGCATTTTCAGCTTTTTTATTATTAGCTTGCCTAAGCTCCCTGCTGCCTGCCTGTGTTGAGCCTTGCAACAGTGAGAATCTTATACATCTTTAGGAGACTTGGCAGGAGCAAGAACTCTTCTCTCTGACTTATCTTTCTTTCAGTGCAATCTTCTTAGAGTTGTGTGTTCTTCTTGTGTAATTCAAGGAAGTTAAGTACACAAGGGTTGATAATGACATGCATTTCCAGTGCATAATAAGTTTTGGCAGGTGTTTTTTTTTTAAGCAAATGTCCTTCTTTTGATCATTTCAGATACGTCTTAACTACTTCTATTCTTATGAATATTACTTTACTCAAGAATTTCATAGCTGTGTTGTTAATTTATTGTTCAATTGTAATACCTGCTTATAGGTGTTCTGTTGCAAATGTTTTTGTGGTGTTTTTTTTTCTTCCTTGTTTATTACCCTTTACTAATTTGCATTTATCTCCCATGTAAAAGTACTCTTCATTATTTCCCATCGTTTATATCTATGATATGAAAAGTTTATGTTGACATGTATGAACCAGATAACAAGACCCAATTAAATGTATGCTACATCACATTTACTCTTTTCCCTCCCTATATATGAATATAGCATATTATATTATAAATATAAGTTCATACAGTAAAATATAAATAAAAAATATGATAAACAAATATAAGCAAATTAGCATTATAATTAACCAGTCCGGCAGCAAAAAAAATGTTAAAAAAACATTGCCATTAGAGAAAATAAAGAAAGCCTACAAAGAAAATGTCAGTTGGTAGGACAACATTTTTGCAATTAGAGAAAATGCCTCAGCTGATTCATTCACACAAGGTGTCGCACTAAATTGAATTTTGTAAAACCATCTCCTAAAAAAATGTTATGCTCTGTTTCATTGTTTTTGGTCATTGTAAATTTTTCCCTTCATTTTCTTTGGAAAAAAAAGTAATAAAATAAATTAAGTATATTTTTGTGAAATAAATTAAGCAACATCCCATAACTTAATCCTATAATTAGACTATAAATGTTAATTATTAAATGATCTTAAACAAAGGTTATATTCCATTCTTAGTGTAAAAAAAATACAAGTTACTTTTTTTAAACCGATAATTGACTATTAAAAATCAAATTGCAGATAAAGAATATTTGTACTCTAAAGAACAGGTAATCCTTCTTACACACATTTTCAAATGTTATGTTTTTTAGTTGTGTTATAATTTATAGAAAGCAAGTTTGATTAAACTGTTGCCTATCAGGGTTTGTCAAACTTGTGTGGTACTTATCTTCTACAAAATAAATGAAGGAACCAGGCTATATTGCACTATATGTATAATTTTTAAAAATTGATGGGCCCTGGCAGTTTGTACAATCTTGTAAATTTCAGATTCTGGACAGGTCTTGGTTGGTCAGTGGAAACTGAATTATTTAAGCCTTTCCCCACTTAACTATTCTCTTCTGTTGTGTGTAAGTAAAGCTATCTGGCGGTCTCACACAGATCATTTAACTGCTACGCTTAGTTAATCTTGTCTTACACTAACTACATAATCATCAACTTTCAAGTCACTTGATGACTTTTCTTTTTGTAGTCATTTGTAAGATGATTATAGTGGCATATCTCAAACTGGTTTTGTTTGTGAACTCTACTTCTACTGCTCTTTGATAATTAATGCTCTGAAAATGTACTGTGCTTGTACATTGGAAAAGATGTGTTATCACTGTATGTTTATTGACCTGTTTCTTGTATAAGGCGCCAACCTTATGGGTTTGCTTTGTGTATACATAACTGTGTAAAGGTCTGTCTATCACAGTTTCATTTGTTACGATACTTATCAAACATGTAATTTAAAACTTAAATAAGGTTGAAATAACAGAAAATAACAGAAATATAAATTATAAAGTATAATCAAACTAATGAAGGTAAACATGGTAAATTGTTCACCAAACAGTAGAAGGGCATGTGTGTGCTCAGTTTTATTCCTAAAAAATGAAATTTAAAATACTTTTTGTGCATTATCCTTTTAAATTGAAAAAAAGCCACAAATATCAAATAAAGTAGTGTAGTAGTAATTTTATTTATACAATGCATTGTTTGGTGATTTTTTTTTTTATATTTGCTACAAAAATTAATACTTTTCCCTGTAATAATTAATAAAAAACAAACAAACACTGCTTCAATTTGTATTGGTAGAAGAAAATTAGATGTCAAGAGCAACTCTATCCTCACAGAAAGTTATTATAGGATGAGCTTGGCAAAAATGGCATACTAACATTTAACATGTATCAAAATTCTTAGGACAGCATTATGTTTGGAAACTTAAATTAATAAAATTAGTAAAAAAATAAATTAGGATAACCTAACCAAAAAGAAAAGATGGATAACTTAACAAAAACAAACGTAATTGCTGGTAGACTAAATGTTCAGGACATTTATCAACTTAAATTAAGTAATTTTGTAATGGAGGGTGACGCTCTCCAATTATAAAAAAATCAGCTCTATTTTTCAATTAAATCTTTCTGCAGTTTTATTTTCATTTGAAGGGCTTATTTTCAAATGAATTATTGTTTTAAAAATCACTCAAAGTAAAATATTATTCTTTTGTTTAATACAGTAATTTATTTTAAATATATTTGCAAAAATTAGTAATAATTGGTTCAGAAAAAACAACAAAATATATTATAAAAATTAGATAAATAAAAAATAAATATGTCCTTAAATCAATTGAATCGCACAAATAAATCCCCAAAAGTAGATAGAGAACAAAAATGCTTACACATCAATCTGTTTATATATTTTAGCCAAACAGGATATAACATCAACCCTTGTCTTTTGCTTTCTCTGCAATTTCACCTCTGTATGTTCGGCTGGTAATATCATGTGATCTGTAGCGTCTATTATAAGGTAAACATTCAAGCCCAGTCAACCATTGCAACCAATGTGTAGTGATGTGTAACATGTAGGTTATCTTCAGCAAGTCTTTTACTTCATTCAGGGATTCCTGACTTGTAACATTTCTATGTCTGAACTGGATTTTTTTTTCACATAGGTTGTCAAGAGACATTCCTACATCCCCCCCCCCCCCCCCCTCACTCCATAATCTTCACCTGTATTTATACCAGATTGAATTATAAAAATATGTGGCTAACTTCATTTATATTTTAATATAACATTTTTCAGATTCCAACCATTTTTTCAGCCTACCCATGTACTAATGATCTATTTAGACCAAAGCCTTATGTTTATATTATTATTTATACCAATAATTATTTGTATTTATTTTAGCTAGCCCCAGAGTGTTTACTCTCTCAAACCTCAGCATGGTTTTCTCCCCTTTGTTTATTTTGACAACTGTGTTGCTTACTTAACTTTCTTATGTTGGGTACTTTTTACTTTGGTCTTTTCCTTTGTACTTTGCTTGCAGATTGGAAGGTTTAATTATGATTGCTTTGCATGCTGCTTAAAACTAACACTAAGAGCAGAATATTTTTTTTCCTTTCATTTTTGCTTTAAAAGAGAATTTTAGTTTGGTATCTATATTATGGTCACACTGCTTTCTCCCTTAATAGGTGTTTAAGTTGTACTGCAAGTTGTACTGTCCTTTGAGCATACAAATCACTTGTTCACTTTCTTGTTACATTGTTCTGTATCTACCAGTTAGATACTATATTGGAAATTCAAATACTTTTTTTCATAGACTCTTCCCTATATTTGAGGACATTCAACCAAAGCTCATTCTGTTTATATGGTAGCTCTTACTCTTTGAAAAACAAACTTTCAGCTAGTTTAACCAGTAGTGTGGGGCTAAGGAATATTCTTTATACTGTCAAGTGTGCGGTTTTGAAAACAATCCATCATTATATTAGTCATTTTTTGTAGGAGGTGAACATTTAGTTTATCACAAAATGTAACACAGAAGTAGCCTTTTCTATGTAAATCAATTTGTCAATAGTTTTTTTTTATTAAATTATAGTTAAAACTCTGTGTACATTTTAAACTCCTGGTACTTTTAAAAATATATTATACCATAGCAAAACCTAATTTTTAGATCTTATATACATTTTTACTTCTTATATAATTTAGTTTTTATACATTTTAACATTAGAAAACCTAATTTTAACTTCTTGAATACATTTTTTTCTCCTCATTATAACATAGTAAAATCTAATTTTTACTTCTTGATTAATTTTTGTTTTTTCCTCATTTTAACATACATAGTCAAACCTAATTTTAGTTCTTCAATTAATTTTTTCCCTCATTATAACATAGTAAAACATAATTTTTATTTCTTGAATAAATTTTGTTTTTTCCTCTTTATAACATAAATGTAAAAGCTAATTTTTACTTGTTATATACATTTTGTTTTTTCTACATTGTAACATAGTAAAAACCTCTTTTTTACTTCTTGTATAAATTTAGTTTTTCTAGATTATAACATAGTAAAATCCTTTTTAATATACATTATAAGCTGCTACTAGAGCTGTTAAGCTTTGCTTAAGTTACAATTAATCCAACCCTATGTAAACTATTTTTTCAAAGAAGTTTCAACTATGTAAGCATCCTTTTTTTTCTGTTCTTTTTCAAGTCTAAATAATCAACAGGTTGAAAGACTATTTATTATCTTAACAATCCTTATTTGTAAATTACAAATATATCAAGGGCTCTACTTTATTGAGTAATTCAATTTCTAAGTTTAAAAATTAATTAAACTATTTTTTTCAGCCACAGCTGAGGCTTGTGGTAGAAGACTTAATCACCCCGGCATAATTAAGATGGAACCAGCCGTTTATCCAGCACCTTTATATTTATGTTTTAGCTTGCTTATCAATAAGGCTTGAACCCCAGTAAAGTCCAGGGTATTTGAATGTTTATACTACACATTCACTGAACACACATTGGTTTTGGTGATTTGATCAGCAGCATTTCATGTTCCAATGCTGCTTTGGGATAATGTGAAAGTTTTGCTGTTGATCTTGTTTTAGAATAATTCTTTATAATCAGCTAACATATTTTGCTTGGCGTGAATGTATCATTTTTTTGCGGTTGTATGTTGAAATTGTTGGAAATTGAAAAAGACACACTAAAAAAACCTTCTTAACCATGGCAAAAAAGCAATTTAAAAATCCGACCTGAGATATAATACATATACTAGTATCTTAGTTTATTGTAAAACATTTAGTGAAATGTATACATACATATTAAATTTCATCATTTTTGCAGGGGTTCTTAACCTTTTTGAAGATACCGAACCCCACCAGTTTCAAATGGGCATTCATCAAACCCTTCTTAACAGTTCTATGGTCTGAATTGACAAAATCCAATAGCGAATCATATGAAATAGGTGTTTTGGCCCCCTGCCAAACCCCTCAGGTTGGATCTAACCCAGGTTAAGAACCACTGGTCTAAAGATAGATGTTACCTATGGCCAGTGTGACTCCTCATATTACCCTGGCTCAAGCTGTTGCCATGAGTTCAACATAGTGGCTGCAAAAATTATCAGGTTTTTTCAAACAAGATTGATGATAACACATTTACATAGATTCCTACAAATAAACTCAGAAGAATGACTATATGTCATTTTAAAATTTTTACTCAGCTGTTATTAGTGTCCATGTGCTTCCATCATGCTCAGAACAGATGCTAGTTTTTTTTTTGTAGTGGTCTTAAAGTTTTTAAAAACTTTCAGTGCTCTCTTAATAATTGCATATAACTAACCAATTTTAGATGTTGTTTTGTGTGCGCTGGTATTGGCTAGGCTTTATGGACGTTTTTGTGTGTGCTGGTATTGGCAAGGCTGTATGGAAGGGTTTTTTTTTGTGTGCGCTGGTATTGGCAAGGCTGTATGGAAGGTTTTTTTTTGTGTGCGCTGGTATTGGCAAGGCTGTATGGAAGGGTTTTTTTTTGTGTGCGCTGGTATTGGCAAGGCTGTATGGAAGGGTTTTTTTTTGTGTGCGCTGGTATTGGCAAGGCTGTATGGAAGGGTTTTTTTTTGTGTGCGCTGGTATTGGCAAGGCTGTATGGAAGGGTTTTTTTTTGTGTGCGCTGGTATTGGCAAGGCTGTATGGAAGGGTTTTTTTTTGTGTGCGCTGGTATTGGCAAGGCTGTAAAGAGTTGTTTTTTTTTTGTGCGCTGGTATTGGCAAGGCTGTAAGGAGTTGTTTTTTTTTTGTGCGCTGGTATTGGCAAGGCTGTATGGAGTTGTTTTTTTTTTTTGTGCGCTGGTATTGGCAAGGCTGTAAGGAGTTGTTTTTTTTTTTTTTGTGCGCTGGTATTGGCAAGGCTGTATGGATTTTTGTGTGTGCGCTGGTATTGGCAAGGCTGTATGTAGTTATTTTATGCGTGCTGGTATTGGCAAGGCTATATGGGAGTTGTTTTGTGTGCTAGTAAAGCCATCATATCCCTAATACCAATAGGAGCAATACTGAATTTCTCTGCCAGTGAAACAAAGTACAAGATTTTTTCTACCGGAGTAGTAATTGGGTTTGTATAAGTAAAGCTCCCTTTTCAAACCTGACAGTCCATGGGGCAAGTGAAGTAGAGTTCATCTGTTTCTGTGACCTCGGCATATGAAGGGATATTATGGTCAGCACTATGCCCAGCCGCCTTTACTTTCCCTAATGTGAGTTTGGTACCTATCAGAGCTGGGTGGACTCAGGGACTAGAACCTGGATTTAACCTCAAGACTTAAGGGTAAGCAGTCTACAGCTAGGTCACACCATCCTATAATTATTATGGAACTGCTGCATGATATTAGAAGGCCTTCTGAAATGTTGCTGATGTGAATTTAATTATTACCTCAGAGGGATTTGTTAGGCACACTTGACAGTTTAAAGAAAACAATATTTGTTTTATTAGTGCATCTGCTGGCATTTATTTAGCCACATGTATGATAGCAAAGGGTCCTTTTATAATTATAAACTATTCTGAATGAATGTGCGGGGGTCTTTTCATTATAATCTATTTATTTAGCCTTATGTATACCATTTATAAGCATGGAGTCATGTCGACACCCTCATCATAGATTGCTGACACTGCCTCATTGATTAATATCAAAAGAAATGTATTCCTGATTTATGTGCAACTGTTCCTGCTAATTGAAATTCCTCCCTCACAATTATGAACTGGGTTGCTTGTAAATCTTTTTTATATTATGCAGTTCTTTGATGACATATTTAAACAAAATTATGTTCAGAAGATGGTTTTGATAAAAAACTCATTACATTACTTCATTTTGAAAGTAATATCTTTGCTTTGTGAGCCTGTCTTTCTCTTCCTTGAACTATGAAGAAGTTTATAAGTAAACTTCATGAAAAACACTGAAGTATAAAAAAAAAATCCATGAGCAATAAACTTTCCCACCTTATTTTTTATATAGGGATTGACATATGGAGTTGGGAAAGCTTAAGCAGTTTGATAATTTTTCCTCCTACGTTGTTGATTGTGAACGTTTTGTTTTGTAAAAATAAATGCTTCAGTGTTTTTCATTAGCTGTAACTAAAAACAACCCTTTTTAACAAATTTAATGTGAGTCTTATTCAATGTTTGATTATTATTTTGGATAACTTGTCTTCTCTTCAACATAGTCCTCATGAGTGAATGAAGACACTGGAATAATAATAGCCAATGTTTTTTTCTAGAATGTGCTGTTTGTTGCATTTTTCATATCCGCTTTTCCTTCCTTCAGGGTTTTGTCCCCTTGTATCAGAGTTGGGAAAGCTTTTACACACGAAATGTTTACAGGCGAATTCGTGACTGCTGGAACCGCGTGGTTGCCAGCGAGCCTGGCACACGCATCACAATCCTGGATCGTCACTCGTGCGACCATGGATGGACGTTTGAGTATGTAATCTGGCCTCTGATCCCTCGACCCCCCTTACATCCTTATACATACACAAAGTCACCACACAACTTTCCTACAATAAAGTTTGAAGAGGACAATCGTAGATATTTTTTTGCACTACTGCTAGCTAGTTTCTGGTTTCCTTGCTAATGACAGCTATTTCTAGTCTTTAACCTGCACACTTTTAAAGCTTGAGATATATAAATATATATATACGCAGGATATAACGGTAGCTTACAAAGGTTGCCATTTTTCCACTTTTGTTTTTTGCATTTTGTTTTATTTATTTTTTTGTTTTACACAGTTTGCAAGGGTTGGCTTGTTGTTTTTGTTGATGATTATTATTGATGTTTAATATTGTTAACAAGAGTATTAACTGCATGAAAACCCCAGCATCCAGTCATTTAGGTCTAACTGGTCTTCTAATTGCATATATTTTTTTCAACAATCTGTCCAAGTGCTTGTGGGAGACAAAACCCTACTTAACCCTGCTAAAATTACTTCCAGTCAAAGTGGCTAGGCTATGTAGAGCTTGCGCTTTCTTGCATCTCTCCCTTACTGCAAGATCTATGCTAATAAATATATTTTAATACTTTTTTTGAATTATCTTAGAATACTGCTGCAATAATTTTCTTATGTATAAAAACATTAGACAAATGTTTGTAAAATATATATATGTACGCTAGAAATGCATACACATATATACAAACACACCCTTGTTTTCTTGTTCATGTTTGTACGTTAATAAAAGCATGTTCATAGTTCAATTTCATTTTTATGTTTGTAAATTTGGTGTTTGTTATGTTGTGTTTAAATTCTTTTTGTCGACATCCATTTATCTTATGACCAGTTTTTTCCAGATGAAGTTCAGTAAATGAGAGCATTTTTGGTGTCAGCTTCCAAAAATAAAGAAAGGGGTTTTTCAAAATGTCACTGTACACAGTTACACAAATTGTTTTTTTTTGCTTCTTATCCCCCCACCCCCTTACACATGCAGGGCTTTGTGCCGCTATTCTTGAGCTGGGAGAGCTTTTATACAAGAAACTTGTATAGACGCGCCCGCGACTGTTGGAACCGCCCCATTTCTAGCTGTGCTGGGGGTCGCATCGATGTCATGGAGAGAGTTTCTCCTGACTTTGGATGGAACTTTGAGTATGTATGACCAATGCTGCGCAGCAAACCTCTTTTTCCCAAAACCCCTCAGTTATCTAGAACATCACTGTTACTTTCAAATCACAAATTTAAGGCCAACTCACAGGACAAATATATTTTCACTGTCATATTGCTTTTAAGTAGAATTAGTTATCATTGATTACTTTAAAGGAGTGAAGGCTATGATGAAAAAGAGGCTGTTTTTTTTTTTTAACATTAGAAAATTCATCATACACCAGATCAATCTTTTATATCTCTTAAAAAAATGTTCACATAAAAAAAGTTATTCAATTTTATTGAATTTTTCATTTGTTCAGTATAAAATTTATAAAATATTTTATACTTATTAATACTATGTTAATTTTCTTTTAGATTAATATATTTTGGATAAAAAAAGTGTTAAAAGGTTCATTACTTACTATAAGATGATTTGTATAGGACCAAATTGTTGTAGTGATGTTAATATCACACTAAAATGAAGTAAAAAGACAGCCTGCATTTCATCAAGCTCACAAATTTCTGCATTGTGTTAATGCTTTGCCTTTTCCATGTTTTAAAGCAAAAGTCGCTTTTTAAAACTAAATATAAATTTAAAAAGTTATTATATGCTTTAAAATCTTTCTTTACCTACATTAGTTGGAAAACTAGTGTGGAGTTCCAGACTTATTGGATGCCTTTCAAGTGAAAATATAAAAATAGCACTGTTTGAGTTCAAGAACAAAATAGTTTTAAAAATGTTAATGAGTATATTAAATATTTTTATGAAAAAATTACTACCCAATGTATTTACAATTATTTACAGTCTTTATAATTTATAAACTGTTTGAAATTCATGTTTTTATTGCAAGTTCTTTTTTAAAAGTTTGATAATGCTGACCTTTGTCAAAAAGTGCTTATTCCATTGAATTTAAAATTTTACAATTGAAAGCAATTTCACAAATAAAAGTAATTTTTTACAAATAAAAGTAATTTTATAATTATAAAGTTGATCAAAGTACAAGGGGAATAATTTTGGCCAAGATAACAGAGCTCCAGGTTGAAGAATCAAAAATCATGTTTTTACAACTCCTGAGAATTGAGATAGAATGTCATTATAGTAAACAAACTGGGTATAGTTACTGACAAACATGACTGCCTTAGCTACTGCTTTATGTGATGGATATCATAGATCAAGTTTTTAAAAATTATTCCAAATTCATTAAACATTTTTTCTGATAGGTTATTTCAAGTAGTATATTAATTATGAAATTGTATAATTTATATAATCAAGAAAAACATTTTGGCAGTGATTTAAATGAATCACGGGTGGCTTATAAGGTGTATACCTAATGAACTAGATAAATCTGTATCTGAGTTTTGTAAATGTTTCTTAATTGGGTTTGAATGTGGTTAAGCATGCTTTTATTTAGTTACAAATATATATCAAGTGAGTGTAGCATCAATACTACATAATTTTTATATAAGAATTTTTTTCTTTTGAATCATTTTTCATAAATATTTTTTTTTCTTCTGAGCTCAAAAATTTTGTAAGAAGTTTTAAAATTTTATTAACTCATAAAATACTGAGGGAGATTTGGTTTATTTTTTAAAATGTTGATCATTATATGCATGATCGGCTAAAGTCTTTGTTACACTTTGGTATTGTTTTTTTTTCTATCAATCAAATTAATTGCAGGGTACTAGTAGTTAAGATGGGAAGGAATTCATCACAGTTTAATTTTTTAAAATATTTTTTTTACAAAATCCATTTTGATAAAAATAGAAAAAGTGTAAAGCTTTAGTTTACTGACCATTTATTTTATAGCTATGTGATGTACTGTTGTACTTAAATAAAAACTTAGTAGACCCTCTTCAATGACAATTTCTTCCTTGTTAAGTAATTTTAATATATACATTTAAATGGGGGAAATTAAAGAAAGCTCTCTTTTCTTAAGGCTAAAATTGTTTAAAATACTGTTTTTATTTATTCTTAATTCGGTGTTTAGAAAATCCTAAATTTTAAGCCAAATGTTTAGTTAATGTTGAAGTAGCACACCTTGTGTGTTTTAACTTGCACCATTCCTCTCACAGTGATAGAATTATTATTAGTCATTCTTGAGTTTTTAGATAAGAATTGCATGATCATTCATGTAGTGTGTTGTCATTTGAGAAGGGTCTACTATTAATATACTTCATATATATCTATATATCAGGAGAACTGCCATATTGTACAAGCCATGAGATATAACTAAAGTATATCACCTTACAAAAATCATGCTAGCAATGTTTACAAAATAATACAAAAATAGTAAATGTGTCATAATTCTAAATCACTATTATTCTTTTTTTTAAATTCTGGTTTTTTCTTTTATGTCTCATTGTTTAATTTATAGTTGACCGACTTTATTTTGTGTGTGAGTGTGCCTGCACCTTAACAAAACATTGAAAAATACAATTTTTTTTTTGCTGTGCTTCCATTTAGCTTTTCATTAATCATTTGCACAGCGAACAACAAACAAACAAACAACAAACCCCCATCCTATAGTATTACTATGTGTGTTATCACCCCGACTCATTGAATCTGTTCGTCAGTAACAGTAGTAATTTTGTTTTAATATGTTGAACAAACCCTTGGTCTTCATATTAACAGTAATTACACACTTGTTATTAACACAACCTTTTGTTTTGTTTTCTTGGAAGGTCGCCAACCAGTTTTTGTCCCCGAGTGGTTCTTTGAATTTGTTTTTATCAACATTGTATAGGGGTGATCAACAGCCTCAAGGGCTTGTTTTGTCATGTACTCTGTCAATGTTATATTTAGCGCTGATAAGCTGACTCAGTTTGAAGCCTACTTGACCCGTCTTGAATACTTTTTCTTTGTTTAATTTTAATCATTATTAGATAGATGTTTAAAATTAATTTAGTAGTTTTTTTAAATTAATAATTATAAAACAATTTTAGAAGTAGGAGTTTAAAGATGGTTGGCAAAGATGGTTCTGATCTTCAGTACAATAGCCTACCTATCTATGATAGTTCCCATTTGTAGTATAGTTCCGATCTATAGTATAGTTTCAATATTCAATACAGTTCAATATGATACACTGCCCATCTGCTGTGAATTTATAGTACAGTTCCCATCATAAAGTGCAGTTCCCATATATAGTACAATGCCATATATATTACAGCTATTTACAGCACCCGTCTGTAGTATCCTTATCAGCTGTATTGTAGTTACTTTTTATATAGTCCAGTTCCCATCTACAGCTCTTCTTCTTCTTTCTTCTTCGTTCTTAATTATTAGTGTTGAAGGGGATTGAGATTTATCTGCCAGTGGGTTTGAACTCGAGACTGTTCGAATGTATCAACCATGAGCTTTTTACCGACTCGACCACGCCTCCAACACAATTAAGCGTTACGTGTCAACTGGTTATGCGCCATTGAGGCCATTGACTCCGATTTCAGCCTGCTTTTCTTTTTGGATTTGCTTCCATAGCCTTTGTCCAACCAAGAACAAACTACAAGGCAGCAGTTGTTTAATTTTGGAGTTGTCTCTCCTAGAAGAGTGGCTGTCCCCAGCTAACGAGCCTCATCTGCCCGAGGGTTCGAACTCGAGACTTTTCGGTTTAGCAACCATGAGCTTTACCGACTCGACCACGCCGTCCCCTACCATCTACAGCTCAGTTCCCATATATTGAACAGTTCTGTCTGTAGTAATCTAGTTTACATTAAAGGTACACCTATTTCCTTTCTAAATTAACTTTCAGGTTAAGATATTCTCAGTTCTAACCTTCACTACCTAACCTACCTTCTGTAATTACTCTGGCCTCTACCTCGGTAGAAAAATCACTACTTTTACTAGTCAGGACCAAAACCTATGAGTTTCTAGTTAATGGCTTAGCAGTTGAGTTTAACTCAACTTGCATTGTGTCATAAGATTTAAGTTTAGGAAAAGAATAATTTTTTTTTAAACATATAATCTGCCGAATGTTTTAAAACATAATCTGTAGAATATATTAAAACATCTGCAGAATGTTTTAAAACCTATAATCTGCAAAATATTTTAAAGGTTAAATATGAGGCCACAGGTCATTGACCTGAGAATGTCTTGTTATTGTTTTGTAACACTGTTTTTGTTTCAGGAAGCTGTAAAACTTTGGTAATTCATAAAAATCAGTTACACTGACAGGCTGTTGATCACCTTTTATGTATCTACTAACTGTTCCATTTCACGTTTATCTTAACTATCTTTGTTTTAAAACAATAACTATTATCTAAACACCATTTTAATTATGTAAACCCTTTCCGGCTTAAAAAATATGAATGCATAAATAGTTCCATTTTTTAAAACATAAAAAATATTTGGAGATTTCGAGTCACTTTAAATAACAAGGGTAACAAAGAAACTTAATTATCTTTCCCTATATTGAAATACAGCTGTTGATTTTGACATGCCAGTTTTTTTTATACAGCTTCTTACTGTATCCTACTTCTAATTGCCAGATTGACTGGGAAGAAATTAAATGTGATGAATTTTGGCTCGTATAATTATTTGGGTTTTGCTGAAAACAATGGCCCCTGTGCTGATGCTGTACATGAAACTACAAACTCTTACGGTGTTGGGGTGTGTGCCAGTCGACAAGAAATGGGTATGCCAAATTTAAGGGCTGTTTTTTTTTTTCAGTTACAAACAGTCCTACTGAATCTAGTGAGGTAGAACAAGGAGAATAATTGAAACCTAATACCTGCTTGTTGATTTATACATATAGCAGATACAGTTTTGATTGAACAGTTTTTTTTGTTACATTAATTATACAGGTTTAACATTTTAGAACCTGGGTCCACATATTTCAGGGGATCAAAGTTTAATAAAAGCATGCTTGTTTAAATTATAGTTTTACAAAATATTTGAAATAAATCATTGATTTTCCATAAAACGCCCAGTTTCAGTAATAATGTAATCCGTAATTTAATTATGTAGAATGAGCAGTTGGGTAAAAAGAAATGTCCTAGTGTATTTGATTGCCTCTGATTATTTTTCAGGTTATTTTGATCCTTAAAGTCTGTTAAATTTTTTAAATGTTATTTGGACCTTTATAGACTGTTACTAATGTTCCAGTGTACTTGCACCTTTAAAATGTGTTGTCAATGTTTCAGGTTACTTGGATGTCCACCGTGAGCTGGATGAACTAGTGGCAGAGTATCTGGGCGTAGAGGCAGCCATCACAGTCCCCATGGGTTTTGCTACCAACTCTATGAACATGCCATCTCTAGTTAGCAAGGTGAGATTTTTATGTGGCTTAATTGGACATGTAGGTCTAATTGTTAAATGCAGAATTAATACATTCTCTGGAATTAAATTTTTATTTGTCAGCCATTAGTTTAGAAATTAAGAACCACATTTTGTCTCAAAATATATGAATTTCAAATTTAAAAGAATTGTGCTTGTAGGGAGACATTAGTGATGAATTAAATGCAATGGAAATGGTTTGTGATAACTTTTCTTGTTCAAAATTTTATCTTAAAATTTATCTCAATTAAATCCTATCAGAGATGCCTGGTAACTTTTGTAATTCAAACTTTTATCCTTATAGGGAAGCTTATAACATGGTTCAAACTCTAATCCTTATAGGGAAGCCTGATTCTCAGTGATGAACTCAACCACGCCTCCCTCATCCTGGGCTCAAGACTCTCTGGGGCACTCATTAGAACTTACAAACACAATGGTAAGTATCAGTTGAGTATCATAGTACCCAAGTGAATAGATGAAACACACTGTACACACATGTAAACCTTGTTAGGTTCTGACTTTTTGAGTATCACAGTGCCCAAGTGAATAGATGAAACACACTGTCACACTTATGTACAGCTCACTAGATTGTAATGTTTTCACTGAATTGTTCTCCTCGTTGCATTGCTGTTTATAATGGCTGTTGTTACATGCTAAAGTTAAACATTGAATTCTGAAACTTTAGATGGTTAGCTCCCCTGCTTATTTCAAAGCTGTTAAATTACATTTTGTATAATATATAGTTTAAGAAATTTTTTTTACTTTCCAAAAAAGGCTTTTGTTGATTAACACATTTTGAATAAGTTATTTTAAAAGCCTAAGTATCAAATTTAGCAGAAAAGTATTTAAAAAAAACAACAACCTGAGAGATATTTTGCCTGTTGTTTAGATATGGCTGATCTGGAGAGGAAACTTAGGGATGCTGTGTGTGAAGGCCAGCCAAGAACTCACAGGCCCTGGAAAAAAATTCTCATTGTTGTGGAAGGTGTTTACAGGTTTGTTGTGGGTTTTTTTTTTATAACTGAAGTGTGAAGTAAATTTACTAGTTTGTTGTGGGTTGTTTTATTTTTTTGTTAGTTTTAAAATGTTGAAGTAAATTTCACTTTTAACAAGTGCAAGTAGAGTTATTGTTTTAAGGTGGAAGAAATAATTTACACTAATTTACAAAAGAGATTCTTGATTATATAAAAAAAAAATTTTAAAAACATGTCACCTTAACAAAATTGTACAGTTAATAAAGATAGCAAATCAACTTCTTTCATAAAATATAAACTTGACACTGGGCATGTTTGTTAAGCTAGAGATATTTTATGCTATAGTGGAAGAATACCCTCAGTTCATCCAGTTCTGAGAATAGCGTACATGATTGACTCTGAGCAAAGATAGCTGAATTTTGTTCTGTCCATTTGCTTTCTTCATTTACCAGTCATGAAAAAAGACCATAAAACTTTAAGGGATAATAATTTGTCTACTGCATAATTTTAAAATTAATATTTTCAGCATGGAAGGCTCAATAGTTCGTTTACCTGATGTCCTGCGCCTAAAGAAAAAATACAAAGCCTATGTCTACTTAGACGAGGCACACAGTATTGGAGCTATGGGCCCTCATGGGAAAGGTGTTGTGGACTATTTTGGTCTTGACCCACATGATGTGGACATCATGATGGGAACATTTACAAAAAGTTTTGGATCTGCTGGAGGATATATTGGTGGTTCTAAGGTAGGGAAAATTTTAAAATGCTGTATAATTTTGATCATGACTGCTAGAAAGCATAGTCTGTCCTGCGATTTTAAGAAAATAGAACATATTAGGCAAAGTTGAATGTTAAAGGAAAAGTATTTCTAATAAAAAATGTGTAAACAAAACACTGAGATTTTTTTAGTGTCACAGAATTATGATTGGTTTCAAATACCAGCTGTCATGATTTCCTTTTTGGTCTCTTAAAGGGTAGGAACACATTATTGATGTAGGCTTATTCATATTTAAAAAAACATACTGTGGTTGATTCAAAATACTTATTCCTCTTAAAATTCAACTTTTATTGGTTAAAGTTATTCTTGCAAGATTTTTATTGTCTGAAAGCTGTTTTTCCTCCAAAGATTTAATGGTTGCTTGTACCATTTGCAGAGCCTCATCAACCACCTGCGATGCCACTCTCACAGTTTTATCTACTCCACTGCCATGTCACCACCTGTAGCCAAGCAGATCATTAGTTGTATGAGGATTATCATGGGAAAAGATGGGACTAAGGAAGGTAGGCTACTCTTGGTCTTTTTTAATAAAGGTTATCATTTTACAATCATTTAAAAAATAAAAATAAAAAGCAATGTATAAAAAAAAAGTAAAGTACTATTGCAGACCTTATAATGCATAAAGCCATAGGGAGTCTCTTTCTTTGACCTCAGTATTGAAGGGATTTTGGAGTCAGCATTATAACTGCTTAATTAAGAGCATGTGAATTACTACTTAACTTTAATTAGTTTATAGAAATACAATATAGTTTATGCTAGTCATTAGAAAACATAATTTTGTTATAATAAAGAAAAACAAGCCAGAAAATGTTTAGAATAAATTTTTTAAGACAGTTTTTGTGTGAACCAACAGGTATGAAGAGGATCAGACAACTGGCATGGAACACACGCTACTTCAGGAGACACCTACATAACAGGGGCTACATTATATATGGAAACAAGGACTCCCCTGTTGTCCCTCTACTTTTGTACATGCCCTCTAAAGTCGCGTAAGTTTGTTTGTACAACTTTTTCTATACGCTTTTTTACCCTACTCCAGCTATTGAACCATTAGCCCTTTCTATATTTTTATGTCTAAATATTTCTGTTTTTTTTTGAGATATAGACCTTCTGTATTCCAGTATATTAATTTTATAAAGCTTATACACACACACACCCACAAAATAAAACTGTAGAATTGGTAGCTTAGTCATACATTTGTGTTGAAAAGAGACAGTTTGTAAATCTCTTCCCCCCTTCCTTATATTTATAGGGGAAGAATTTTTACTTTAACATAGAGGAAAATATGCTGCCTAGATATCTAATTGTAGAATGGTTCTAATTTAGTCACAAGTCTTCAATTTTGCTGGATAAAATGTTTATTATTATTTGCTTAAAAGGGTACAACATTTCTAAATGCAACTATTACTTTAAAAAATCCAACTGAATGAAATAAAATTATATTTTTCTCTACCTCCAGCATGTTCAGTAGAGAAACACTGAGGAGAGGGATGGCCACTGTGGTCGTGGGGTTCCCTGCCACACCTCTTATAGAGACCAGAGCCAGGTTCTGCCTCTCTGCTGCACACACCAAGGAAATGCTAGATGAGGTACGTTAATAGTAGTTAACTTATTGCAATACCAACCTTATTTTCTGTTTCAAAAGAATCAACTCTCTAGATTACTAAAAAGTATTAAGTAACCAATATTTCCAGTCATAAACAGTTCTTCTTGGTTCTTAATTTTAGTGTTGGAAGGGATCCTCCTCCAACACAAATAAGGATACGTGTCAACTGGTTATGCGCCATTGAGGCCTGCTTTTCTTTTTGGATTTGCTTCCATAGCCTTTGTCCAACCAAGAACAAACTACAAGACAGCAGTTGTTTGATTTTGGAGTTGTCTCTCCTAGAAGAGGGGCTGTCCCCAGCTAACGAGCCTCATCTGCCCGAGGGTTCGAACTCGAGACTTTTTGGTTTAGCAAGCTTAAGCTTTACTGAATCGACCACGCCGACCCCTCATAAACAGTTGATTTCATTGGGTGAAATAAAAGTTTCCAATTATATCTCTCATGGTGGTCCATGATGTAGTCTGCACCACCCTTTACTTTCCCTAATGTGAATCAGGTACTTATCAGAGCTGGACTCTAACATGAGATGTGAACTCCTGAAGATTTGATTAGTGATAGCACAGCTGTCAGACCATAGAAAATACAGAATTTAAAAAAATCAGAATCAGCTTTACTTATTATATTTGAAGTTGTTTACTAACTCGCCATTGACAAACTAGTCAAGTGGGGTTCACTTTGAGGTAACATCTATAATTAATTTGTTAGAGCATCAAGATTTTCAATCATAATTTTCTGATCTAGGCTATTAAAATTATTGACGATGTTGGTGACCTGCTCAGATTGAGATACTCCAGTTTACCAGCCCCGGATTTCTCAGAGGATGGAATCCAGTTGATAGAGGTCAGGGACAGCTGTTTTTAAGTTTAATCTTTGGATAATCCTAGACCAACTATAGTTTTGTAGAGCTTGAATTATTTCACAAGTTTTTGAACAGTCTTTAGTCTAACATACATTATTTAGTCAGTTTCAGTGTTTTTTGTATAAAAATGGTCAGCTCTTTGCCAAGCTAATTTGACTTTTTAACACGTTTTTATTAACTCAGCTTCGCGTGGATGTGTTTGTTGTTAAAATTGACATCGAAAATTAGCCCACTTCTGATTGCTCTATAGATCTGAAATTTGGCATGCAGGTTACTTTCGCCTAACAATTTCAGATGCAATCATAAAAACTAGCAATTAGAGACCATAATTAGCTTAATTTAATTACGCCCAAAGGACCATAAAATTGAGGACATGATTTCTAAAGATACCGACAAGACTGGAGGCTTGTTGACACAGTTACTTTGGCCCCAATCGATGTGAGCGCGCTGGCCGTGATCGTATAGTGGTTAGTACTTCGCGTTGTGGCCGCGACAACCCAGGTTCGAATCCTGGTCGCTCAAGATTTTTTTAGTCCGTGTATTTATAAACACTTAGTCAATTCATACTTAATCAAGTCATTAGATAAAGTAGAAAATAAACTATATAAAAAACTTTTTAAAAACCACGTTTTTCATGTGTAGCAACGGACTAAAAAGGAGAAAATAAAATACTTAAAAAAAACTTTTTAAAAAAACACGTTTTTCTTGTGGACGAAAAAGTAGAAAATAAATTTTTCTTTTGTGCTTCCTCGAGCTGTGCAGATTCTTGTGATGACTGACAAAAAACGTGGGTACGTTCACCATCAAATTTCCCGACCCATCTGCCCGACCCACGTTTTTAACACGTTTTTATTAACTCAGCTTCGCGTGGATGTGTTTGTTGTTAAAATTGACATCGAAAATTAGCCCACTTCTGATTGCTCTATAGATCTGAAATTTGGCATGCAGGTTACTTTCGCCTAACAATTTCAGATGCAATCATAAAAACTAGCAATTAGAGACCGTAATTAGCTTAATTTAATTACGCCCAAAGGACCATAAAATTGAGGACATGATTTCTAAAGATACCGACAAGACTGGAGGCTTGTTGACACAGTTACTTCGGCCCCAATCGATGTGAGCGCGCTGGCCGTGATCGTATAGTGGTTAGTACTTCGCGTTGTGGCCGCGACAACCCAGGTTCGAATCCTGGTCGCTCAAGATTTTTTTAGTCCGTGTATTTATAAACACTTAGTCAATTCATACTTAATCAAGTCATTAGATAAAGTAGAAAATAAACTATATAAAAAACTTTTTTAAAAACCACGTTTTTCATGTGTAGCAACGGACTAAAAAGGAGAAAATAAAATACTTAAAAAAAACTTTTTAAAAAACCACGTTTTTCTTGTGGACTAAAAAGTAGAAAATAACTATTTACATACATTTGATGACAAAAAACGTGGGTCGGGCAGATGGGTCGGGAAATTTGATGGTGAACCTACCCACGTTTTTTGTCATCAAATGTATGTAAATAGTTATTTTCTACTTTTTAGTCCACAAGAAAAACGTGGTTTTTTAAAAAGTTTTTTTTAAGTATTTTATTTGTCAGTCATCACAAGAATCTGCACAGCTCGAGGAAGCACAAAAGAAAAATTTATTTTCTACTTTTTAGTCCACAAGAAAAACGTGTTTTTTTAAAAAGTTTTTTTTAAGTATTTTATCTTAGTCAGTTGTTAATGCATGTAATCATATAGAATATCTTTTTTTTATTTATTTCCAGGAGGCTTAGCAACTAAACTTTGCTCAGGATTTTGCTCAAGTTTAAAGTCAAATATGTTTTATGTGATGCTGAATTAAAAAAAAAATACATTGAAAAATTTGTTTAAAATACTCTTTTGAAAGATCTGTTAGGTATTACATTTTTTGTTTAAGTATTTTGGGTTTAATGTTGACAGTCACTGTTTTGAGATTGTTACCTTTTTAAAAAAAAAATCTATTTTGTATTGTGTAAGGTTGATGTGAAAGTTTGTACTCAGAAATTAAACTTCAAATCAAATTTCCTGTGGTAGTCCATGTAAACATTTTAGACTAGCTGATATAAGTGATAGTTTTAAAATCACATTATTTTATAATAGAAGTATATTTTGTAATACATACGTGTGTGAATATCTATTTTTTAATACACCATTCTCAAGGAATTTTATAAGGCTTTTCGTTGTTTTGTAAATTATCAAAATAAAACAAATATGTATACATAGCATAACTATCCAGGTTAAAGCCCATACCATTTATTTTTAAAGTTCTAAGATACCCTTGCATTAAATGAATATTTAGGAATTAAAAACTCATTTTTACAAAGCTTTTTACAAGTTGATCAATTTTTACATTCCTAAAGTAACTATTACATTTTATAACAGTAATTTTTTTTTTTAAAGAAAGAAAAAGTGTTTAAAAATCTTAAATAATGTCATATTAAAAAACTTGCAGTAATGTTTATAGTAGAATTGAGTTTGAACATTTTGCTATTATGTTTACATATTTATTACCATAATTTATTTCTTTTTTTACTTTTTTAAATTGAGTTGTACAACTAAATCATTTGAATATATTTATCTGCTTTGTTTACTATGCACTATAAAGTTATTTTATATTTCTAAAAACATACTTTTGCTTGTTGGTTTCCATAAAGGAGAAAGTTGTTACAATCTTACAATGGATGCAGCAGATAACAGGTTTTACAGTAAGATGCTGTGTGCAAGTGTATTAAAATCTAGTAGATGGTTCCCAGAAAGTGCAGTTTTCCATTGCGTATCTTTCCTGTGACCCCAGTATGATCCACCTACTACTAAACACAACAAACTGGCCATAACCTTTAAGTTTAGCAGCTTTAAATGTTATTTTTTTCAACTGATAAGGCAGGAATTATTTTTTTAATGGATCTTATTTGCAGCTACCACAGGTTGTCTTTCAGCTTTCTCTGTATGAAGTCCAAGCTAACAGCCTAGTCTAGCTAGGACAGATTTTATGGGTTCCAAAATAAAGCAATTTAAAAACTTAAGTGACGTGCACATTTATTTGTGAGAGAGTGATTGAATGATACTATATCTTTCATTTGATTCAACCTTTATTTTAAAGAGAGAGAATTGAAACAAATAGAAAATATCTCTAGTCTTTTAAATGTACTGAAAATATGAAAAAAAAAACGTTAATAAAAACATTGGTAGCTAAAATGTGTAAGATTTCATAAGCGACCATTGGTTGTAGTAATTTACTAAAGAGAGAAACATTTAAGTTATTATTTTCAGTGTATTTAAAAAGATGATAAAGCTTTTTTTTATACTTGATTTTATTAATTACAGATAGTAAATAAATATTTTTACATTTTTTGAATGAAATTTTAAAAAATTGAATGAAGTTGCTATCTATATACCGCAAATATATTTCCTTTAAAATCTGCATAGTTTGTTTTATTAAAAGTCTGCAGTTGGCTTTCACCTGTGAAATCATCAGTAATAGTTCACCGATTAGCTATTGAATATCGTTATCTTAATGTTAATTTTTTAAAGCCAAATTTAATATTGAAATAGATAAGAAAAAATTAGAAGTTCTTGCTTTGTCAATGATGACGAATATAATCTGGAAATTTGAACAAAATGGTAGCAACTAAATGGGTCAAAATTGAGTAAAATATTTCCCACCAGAAAAAAAGGACAGGCAGACAAACATTGTAAACTAAATAAAAGCTTATAAAGACTCAATCATGTTATTTAATCAGCAATTAAGTTTTGTGACAACACACGAATAGATTTGAGGGCTTTCTTAGCAGCTGCACTTTTGGCAATGCGATAGTTGCGACCAACTCCAGTGAAAACTCCCTTGCCAACTACATTGACAGTCACCCTGACTTTCCCATTCATGGTCCTCTCTGGTCTTCTGTTGAAAATAAAACAAAACTTTTAAGCTTTTGGAATTAGTCAATACCAAATGGATATGTGATTTTCAAACAAAGGGTTTTTCCTGTTGGTATTACAGTAATGACCAACAATTAATAGCTGCAGTATTCTCCAGCTTGATCCTTACAAATATCTTTTCTAGCTTCTTAATATAGAGGCTCATTACTTTACAAATATGGATTAAAAATAATAAATGTGTATCAAAACAGATACGTTAATAAATACCAACACACAAACAAAATCTTACTCAAATTTAGCTGTCTCAGGTTCTGTTTCCAGCAGTTCTCTCACAGGAGATTTGGGTATACTTTTCAGATATTTATCTGGCAATAGCAGAAGAAAATTTTTTACAATTACTTCAAAATTACATCAAAAAGAAAATCTGCAAAAATAAAATATGATTTCTGACCATTATCAAAACACCTAGGGACTATCATAGCCATGTAAATTATACTTTTTCTTCTAAAAGTAAAAAATTCCAATTAACATGACCTACATAAGATCTTGACCCCTGATATGTATACTACATATGTTGTGGGTACAAGGAACATTTTCTGAGTTGTTTTAATTTTACACAAAATGTGTTTATAAATTCTGGACTTTTACATTTATTTATACTAGTGCTTTTTTAAGCAACATTAAATTTTTTGTACTGCTGGCACTGGAATATCCAACTACTAACCTATATGTGGTTTCATCATCCTATAATACACCCTCCACACTGTGTCCAAAGACATCCCGCTGTCAAGATAAATTGCTCCAGCAACTGATTCAAAGATGTCGCCCAAAGCTTTAGGAATCTCCATCTCAACCTCCTCTTCATCATCATCCTCTTCAGCATTCTCTTCAGGCTCTGCTTCTTCAAAAGTTAATTCTCTGAACTGAAAATGATTTGTGTTTCAGCTGAATAAACAATTCAAACGAAAGAACATCATTTTAAGTTGCTGAATAGGTTTTAAATTGGAAAAATGAATGCAAGTAAAACTACCCTGCAAGTCAAAAACTGGGAAGATGAAGTAGAGTTCACCTGTTTATGTGACCCCAGCATATGAAAAGATGATGTGGTCAGTTCGTAACATGTCCTGCAGCCTTTACTTTCCACTCACATGAGTCAGGTACCCATCAGAGTTGGGAGAACTCCAATGGACTTGAACCCAGGTAGGTTATAACTCTAAGAGTTGGCAGACTCAATGGAGGTTCATAGATATCCAAATCAGGAAGATCTTTTCTAATTTTTTTTGGTCATTTTTAACAGCCTTGTTATTTTTAAGCAGCAAGATCCACTGTCACATCCCCCCCCCCCCTTAATTATTATTGATTAGCTTTTAAAGTTTAATACTCAACATTATAAAGGGACTCTGTTTTTGACAATCAACTTAATGCCAATTAATTTTTAGTAGCTATACAGTAAAAAAAAAAGGAATGAAAATATTTAAACACTCACCTCTTCATCAATATCAATGTCATCTTCCCTCTTTTCCTTTTGACGTTTCACAAATTTATCAATCACATAGAACAAAGATGGCGAGATGGCCTTGAAATACTTATGGAAACCCCATTTAACGGCCAGAGCAGCAAAGATGTTGTTGTTGACCAAAGCCGACCTCAGGTCTGTAAGAATCCCTGGTGAGTATTTCTGTGAATCTTCATACAGGTGGCGCGTTATCACATAGTCAAGTATGGCATCCCCAAGGAACTCGACCCTGAAATACGGCGATACATTTTTAGAGATTAATATATGTAAGACATAGATATTTTTTAGATGAAAAATAAACCGCAACCTGGAATTAAAATGGGAAAGTCTAAAAGAAATTAGACAAAAAAAATAGACAAAAAAAAAAACCTTTGCATTTTAATCCTTGGCGTTTTTTGGAATGTCACAGTGTGAGTATTCAGAGGTTCCAAAACTATTATTTCCTTTTGTACATATTCTATAAGATATTTTTCATAATTCAGCACATGATTATTATTATATTATTTTTTATATTATTTTTTTTTGTTGAAATTCTAACACTTGTCACTTGTAAGGAAAATACATACAATATAAAAATAGTGTACAAATTAATTAGAGTTTAAAAGCTTTCCACCTTCAAATCTCTTATTAAATAACACAGCAACCCTTCTTCTTTCAGATGATTCAACATTTTTTTCAGTGATGAAGTGAACTGATTTTTATTTTTAAAAATTAAACAGCTTTTTTAAATCAATATAAATATAACATGAGCCGGAATGGTTGAGTAGGAAAGGCTTGAGTTCAATTCCCAAGCCAGCATACTTTAGATATTCCTGAGTTCTCCCGGCTTTAATAAGTACTCTTCGGGTCAGGAAAAGTGAACAGCTGGGCATAGTGTGAGCCAGGGGCGGAACTACAGTGCCGCCAGACCCCGCAATGCGGGGGGGGCCCAGGCCGATTGGGGGCCCAAAAATCCTGGCTAAATTATTTTTAAAAAAAAATAATTTAAATTTAAATTAAAAAAATTAGGTGGATGTCGAGTTATGTTTCTTCTACAGTTACAAACAAACACGATAATCGGCAAACATCTTTGAGAAAAATGCACAGACTATAGCTCGAGAGACCGCCAGACATATAGACAACTTCAAAGACGCAGCCTACCGTTCTTTTTTAGTGGCGTCGATTAGGAGAACAAAAAAGCTTTGAAAATCGGGCTGGGGAAATGTTGCGGCGACTATCCTATCTTCTAGACGACCGGGAAAAGTCGGCACTATTGATGTAGATGTTCATCGGCGCTTTCTTGTCCCCTTCCCTTGAACCTTCCCAACTCTCTACCCTCCCCCCATCCCCCTAACCTCTACCCCTCACCACACCCTTACCCTTACAATAAGATGTAATGCATAGATTAACGAACCGTTTATGAACTACTGAACTGTAAACTGACCACTTCCGCACATTTTGTTAAAGACACTATTCAATAGTTGTTCATTTACCTGATGAAGTATTTCGTTGACGAATCTAATTCATACAACAAGGAAGGTAAGACTCGTCTTTATATTATTAATCGTTTTATAATTAGTACAAGTATTAATGGAACATTAGTTATCAACACTAAATACATTAAAGTTAAAATTTTTTAGAATACAATGATCTAGCTTTTAAGCCTAAAAACAACCAAAAGATCTATACAGGGGCGGAACTACAGTGCCCCCAGACCCCGCAATGCGGGTGGGGGGGGGGGGGGGAAGGCCGTTTAGGGGCCCACTGCTGACCATAATTAGTATTTTTTTAAATTTTGAATTTAATTTTCGTGCATTTTTGCCTTGATATTTAGTTTGTAAAAGAAAAACACTGTAGCTGCGGTACGATTATCTTTATTTCACAGTCACTATACCACGCTCTTCAGCAAAAAAATAAAATCCATTACACAAAATACAGTGTAAAATATAGGCAACGCTTCAAATTTGAATGACACATTTGACTCGTTGCCCCCCTTTGATAGCTAAATAGAGGACATGTAACTGTTTGACCGATCCTCCAAAGTGTACTGTGGCGGATGGGGCAGGGGATGGGGATAACATTTCTTTTTATTTATAGTTGTATTTTTTAACCATCGTCAAGGCCGAGTTCTATTTCCCCACGCTGTCGCCGGCAAAATTCTTTTTAAAAAAACAACAAAGACCATAGCACGAGAAGCCGCTACATATGAAGTGGCTTTCATGATGCGCGGTTCTTCTTTGCGGCATTAGTTAGGGACCCGCTGAAATCCATTGAACATTTTTCAATGTTAATATGTGTTAGTGATAGTGGTTGAATTTGTATTCTGTACTATCTTGTATCCTACAAATAATAAAAAAGAATATAATACTAGAAACTTCGTTTTTATATACGTTTACTTGTTTTTTACTTTTACAAGAAATATCATAGTAAACTTTTAAGGCCTATACTTGGAATTATCTCCCCTGAGTACGTTTTACAATGGGCGATGGTACATAGGCGCTTTGTTGTCTCTTTCAAGATTTTTCCCTAGCCGACCCCCATCCCATCCCTCTTTTTTAGCCTCGCAAGTATCGAGTAGATCAATGTATCGTTTATGAACTACTTCCTAACCGTACGATTCACCACTTTAGCACATTTTGTCAGACACTAGACAGCACTAGTCAACAGATATTAATTTATTTGCATACTATTAGTATTAGGCACATCTAAACTAATTCACAAAACAGGGAAGGTAAGATTATTTTTTATATAATTATTTAGAAATTAATTAGAACGTTTAGAATTAATTGAACATTATTATATAATTAATAGTCAATTACTATTTATAAATGACGTTATTGAGGTGGGGGTGTGTGAGGGTCTGGCTTTTTGTTAGTCGTTAAAAAATGTGACGTCATTTGTGGATTCCCCCCCCCCCCCCCCTAAATCAGAAGGTTATCCGACGCGTGAGTTGTACATGTAAAAACATGTTTCTGTCTATTTTGCATTACTGCATCATTTACCCAATCGCCATGAAAACTTTGGAAGCTGTTGAGGACAGCCACGCAAAGGTTTCTGTCATAGGCTAACATTTGTTTACATATTGGAGTGGGGACGCCCAACGGAAATATGTGATTTAGCGCCCCGAGATCTTGCATAAGCGGATGAGGTTACTACTTGAAATCACCGGCGACAGTGTCATCCTGAGCGCATCACATATGGGCAGGTTGGCCCCCACATCCAGTCGTTTAAAAGTTCCCACAACACTAGGAATAAGTCTCGCTTCTACACTCGATGACTAAATCTAATCAAGTGTTGCACAAATGTTTCTTCCAGACTGCCGGAAGAAACAATATGTCGCGCCCATCCCCTGTGCAGTAATGTAACCAGTGTTTCTTCAGACTTTTTTCTCCGGTGGGGGCACTTGAAATTTTCGGGGGGGGGGGGGGGGGGGGGGGGCGGTAGACTGTTAAAAGTATATATTTTCTATATAAAGTATATAAATTTCATTTTGTTTGGAGTGGGGGGGGGGGGGGGGCGGTAAAAATAATTCGGAGGGGGGGGGGGCGAAGCCCCCCCCTCCCCCCCCCCCCCGAAAAGATGCCTGGAAGAAACTCTGAATGTAACCGGTAGCTCCCAAAAGCCCAGTGACTCCCCTGACACATGGGCCGTCTCCGAGGGACTTACAGCATGCCTTGGCGTGTCTAGTTGGTAGAAATGAACTGCCAAAATTGTTAATATTTAATTCAACTTCTGGAAAACAGGGCACACGTCTAAAAATGCACGGTTGGTAACGTTTTGATGAAAGCCTCTTAACAATCATCGTCAGTTTAGTGTGTTGGGCTAGATTTAGAGAGTCGGTGTTTCTCACTTCGAAAACTTAATGGGGCCATATATATATATATATATATATATATATATATATATATATATATATATATATATATATATATATATATATAGGGGCCCAAAAAAAATTCTGCGGGGGGGCCTTTTTTTTCTAGTTCCGCCACTGGTGTGAGCACACAATTGCTTTATTTGCAGAGGTTAAAAAATTAACTCTCCCCTATGGACTGGAAATGGTACATTACTCACTACCATAATCTCTGTCAAAGCTAGGAGCACCAAGCTACTATAAAAGTGGCACAAACCTCTGATAGCAGTCAGTGATGGTGTTGTAGTGATAGGAGGCATGTGTGAAGGCCTGAAGCAGATAAGATTTGTCTCGAAACTTGTAGCAAATCTTCTCCTCTAGAGAGTCAAAGCCTTCCAGCAGGTGTTGGAGTTTAGCTTGGTTGGCTTCTGTGTTGGAAAACATGGGGGACGGGGGGCAACGCAGTTCATCAAATTCTTGCTCCAGAAGCTGAGGAATAAAACATCAGTACAAGTCAGCTATTGAAACAGTATGTGAGGACATGATAAAAGTCATCTAATGGGACTGTGGTTTAGGACATAATACAAGTCATGTATTGGGACAATGTGGTTGAAGAGATTATAAGTAATCTATTGGGACAGTGTGGTTGAGGACATAATTATGTCTTCTATTGGGACTGTGAGGTTAAGGGCATAATATAAGTCGTCTAATAGGACAATGTGGTTAAGAAAGTGAGAAAGTAAAGTGACTGTTCATAGTGCTGATCACAACATCCTTTTATATCATGAGGCAGAGAAACAAATAAACTCTACTATGAATCTCCAGCTCTAAAGGGGTTATTTACTTATTTTTAAATGAAATAGTTTGGTTTAATGTTCAATAATCATTTTTTATCTTTTAGTTATTTTTCTCTCAAGTACAGACTATTGCATAAGTTGAGTGGAGAAGGTTAAAAAAAATAGTGCTTATGAGTGATGGAGAAAAAAAATCTACCTTTCCATTTTTCCTTCCGTCATTAGAAAAACTGATCTCCTTTCTCCTCTTGCTTTTAGGCAGTACCCTCAGGCCCAGCCAGGACATGAAAATCAGAGCAGCCTTCCTGCCGCAGGTGGTCAGGTAGCAACCAATCAGAGCCTCGACGCAGTCGGCCACGCTCTTGTCAGGCAGACCGTGGTGGCATTGCAGGCTGTAGGGGGTGAGGCTGTGGGTGGGTGCCTGGACTTCCTCCTGCTGGTCAGCCTCCTGGCTCTGCTGGATCCACTCCAGCTCTTTGTTGAACATCAGAGCCTCGTCACGCTTGCCTGCTTTTAAATGATTATGATACAAGTTTTTAAATAAAAGTCTTAAAAAAGTAATTATCACACATGACTTAAAATATTTGCTTTAAAACCAACTTAGTTTGCTTACCATCTTAAATCTATAAGACAATCATCGTTAAAATCTGTGTTGGATTTAAGGTGTGAAATCATCTTTAACAGTTCACCATGGTTCAAGTGATAGCTAGCACTTAATCCTGTTATCTCCCATTTTGATATTGAAAATTCTGATCTTAAAATTTCTTAATTTTTTTTATTATTTCAATTGTCACAAAACCAATGGAAAAGCATTTTATTTTTAATCAGTCGTCCCTTAACCCTACTACCCTAATTGGATTGAGGTACCAGTTGATTTTCTCGTTAATTTCTTCCATCTGTTTCGGTCCTCTGGTGCTCTGTATAGTTCTGCAACAGGCAGCTACATCCAATCTTTGATGTCATCCACTTAATGATATCTGTCTTTCCCTTCTTCCTTCTGGCACAGTGCCCTGCATTATTGTTTTGGATAGGTAGTTGGTTCGTGTGACGTGCCCATACTATCTACATTTTTTTGTTCATGCTCAGTAGATTCTTAAAGGGACCAATCGCATAAGTCATCATTCCACTGACTTCTTCATTAGTTATGTGATCTCTCTATGAGATCACTAAGAATGTGAAACATCTAATTTCCAGGGATTGCAAGTCTGCATTGAGAGTCCAAGCCTTGAATCCATACAGGAAGACAGACATGAGCAGTGATCTCATGAATTTTAACTTTTGTGCCAATAGAATAGCTGTCACAAAACAGTGAAATAGCCTTTTTATACAGCCATCACCAAATGGTGACAAAAGCTATTGTATTTCAGCATTTATTTCAAAATTTGTATTTTTAAATATTTTTTTTAATACTTTCTGTATTTTACAATTTTTGTTCTTACCAATATAGTTGGTATAACAAACAAAAATTCAGATCAGAAAAGGATTTAAATGTCATTCACAATAACAGCCATTAAAAAAAAGAGTATGCTTAAGTTTGGTATCTAGTACACACCTGTGTCTGAAGATTCATCCAGGTAAAAATTGCGTGAAGAAGAAGGCACTTTCAATTCAGGCGTGACAATCACAACCTTCGGAACTGGGCCTCGTCTCCTCTCATCGTTGATGACAAAACCTGGGGGCAGCCAGTTCTCATACGGCTCAAACTTTGTGGACACCATGCACTCGGCCAGCCCCTTCCTTCTGCCTAGTCGATACAGATTATAATTACTTACCTGAAATACAAAGCTAGTAGAATCAACAATGTTTAAATACAAGTTTAAAAGCACTCTCAATGTTTGAAGGAGAATAAAAATGAAAAAAAAAAAGGAATTTAATAGGTTAGTGATTTTTAAATTTTGTAATGCTTATCATTTATGTATTGAAAGATACTCTTATAATTGTGTGCCTTTATTACGCACTGCAAATTATTAATGCGGAAGAAAAGCACAAACCTGTTTACTGCGCAGGTAGCTCAGTTTGCCCTCGTGTATGCCTGGATATGAGCAATACAAGTAGACTGTGATGGCATACTTCAGGAATGAATCACCAATAGTTTCTAGCCTCTCTAAGCTAAAGAAGTCGTTTGCATTGGACATGGTGATTGCCTGCATGATAAGGCAGGGACTTGGGCCCATGAAAGTGTGTAGGTCTCTGTCTTCATCCAGGGTCACAGGCGAGAATGGCTGAGGCAAGGCTTGAGGTTGTGATTTGTCAGATAAATCGTTGTCGTTATTTACACTACTCTCATCTACTTTAGGCAAGTTCTGTATACACTTTTCCTCACAATTTTGTTGTATGCAGTTATTTTCAATTATTTTAGATATACTGTTATTTTCACTATTTTCCTGGCAGTTTTGTATACAGTTATCCTCACAATTTTGTTGTCTACTAGTCTCACAAATATGTAGTTTATTATTCTCACAATTTTGTTGTTTACTATTCTCACAATTTTGTTTTATACAACTATTCTCAGAATTTTTTTGGCTGTGTGTTTTGTTATTTGTCTGCTGGACTTTCTCTGATGAATGAGTTGAGTTCAAAGATGAAACAGCTGGGGCTGAGTTTATGTCCAATGTAGACTTCTCTGAATGTTCTTGGACATTTGAATCCCATTGGCTTTCTTCAGCTGTAGTACCATTTTCTTCCATCTTGAATGAGAACTTAATGATATCTTTATCCTCCTTACAAAAATCCTCGAAGAAAACATCTGGAGGCTTCGTGTCTTCTTGCCTAGCCTCATTATTTCCTACTGGCCAACTTTCTTGAGGAAACATAGGCCGTGACTGGCTTTTACAATTCTCACCATTTACATGCTCATTGGAATGGAACATATCTGGAATTATGAGATCTATATCTAGCTGACCCAACTCCTCACTCAGGGTGTTCATGATTATTGCGGCTTCATCTTGATGGGTGGAAGAATTGAGATCATTTGGAGTGGAGTTTTGAGAAAGTGAACACGATTCACCGGATAATTTGCGTATAAATTCTGTGTCTAGTTGATCTAAGTTTTGAGCAATACGGCTGTTGGCTTTACTTAAGGCAGGTTTAGAATTGGATAGAATGGTATTGGGATCACAACCAGCATGATTACAACAGTTTTTAACAACATCGGATGTAGGCTTTGTTGAATCTTTGGTTATTGCAGTTGAGTTTAGAATAAAATGGGTCTGTGACTGTGGCAGCGCTTGATAGGGACTTGGGGGAATATTACTGGGTACAGAGTTATCTTCCCCTGTGTGAAGTTGACTAGATAAAGGGTTTGCTTCCTCGTTTTTAATATTATTAGAGTTAGCCTCCTTGCCAGAAGATAAAGTTGGACTAGTATTTATCACAGAGAAAGAAGTAGTTTCTTTACTGCCCTGCTGCCTTTCTACATCAGCGTATAGGCCGTTGAGGCTATCTGGCTGCCTTTCTTCATCAGTGTGTAGCCCGTTGCTATTTCCTGAACATATATCAGTAACAGGTAAAGAGCGCTCATCTATTTTTCTTCCTGTGTCTCCATTCAGTAAACACAACAGCTGATTCTCATCAGCAGATTTTGTATCCATGCCTGGCAAAACTTTCCCAGCATCTCCGTCCACACATTCTGAAGATTCTTTACAAGGTGTAGGAATGTTGACAGGACTGAGTTTCAGACTGGGAAATGACTTTTCATCAACAATGCTGCAAGTTGTACCAGATGTTTGAATTTCTAAATCCTTTCCTTTCTTTAAACCTATTTCTATTATATTCTGAACATTGTCCAATTTCCCATCAATCACAGGTTTCATTTTGAGACTTGGGTTCACAATTTCCATGCTTGTTTCACAGCAATCAGAAACTTCTAGAACTGTGCTATTATTAGAATTTGAATTTTTTGCTACCTCCATGTCACAGCAATCAGAAGCTTCTGGAACTGAGCTATTTTTAGAATTTTTAGCTACCTCCATGTCACAGCAATCAGAATCTTCTGGAACTGAGATATTTATAGAATTTTTAGCTACCTCCATGTCACAGCAATCAGAATCTTCTGGAACTGAGCTATTTTTAGAATTTTTTGCTAACTCCATGTCACAGCAATCAGAAGCTTCTGGAACTGTACTGTTATTAGAATTTGAATTTTTAGCTACCTCCATGTCATAGCAATCTTCTGGAACTGTACTGTTATTAGAATTTGAATTTTTAGCTAACTCTATGTCACAGCAATCAGAAGCTTCTTGAACTGAACTATTATTAGAATTTTTAGCTACCTCCATGTCATAGCAATCTTCTGGAACTGTACTATTATTAGAATTTGAATTTTTAGCTAACTCCATGTCACAGCAATCAGAATCTTCTGGAACTGAGCTATTTTTAAAATTTTTAGCTACCTCCGTGTCACAGCAATCAGAAGCTTCTTGAACTGAACTATTATTAGAATTTTTAGCTACCTCCATGTCATAGCAATCTTCTGGAACTGTACTATTATTAGAATTTGAATTTTTAGCTAACTCCATGTCCAGCAACTTCTCTGGGCTTGTTTCAAATCCAAAATCCAACTTGGCAAATCTAAAACCCTCAGGGAGTTGGTCAAGCCCAATGTTAGTTTCTCTGGAGATCTTGCTGCGGAGCTCTTCAGCAAGTAGAAGATAATTTGTGCGGTATAGAATGGTGGGGAGGCAGACGGTTTTCCTCCAGAGTGAGGCAGGAAAGACATGAACGTCACAGAGCTCAGGGATTAAGATCTGCTTCTGCTGGAGGTTTTCCCGCCTGGCTCTCTTGGTCTCAGCGCTGCTGGTGGGGAGGGCCACGCCTTTCTGGTTCATGTATCTGAAAACAATTAACTCTTTAGATAACTAATGAAAAATGAGATACTAAAAATTAACATTTTGTATGTAGAAATTAATCTCGAAAATTGATTTTTAAAAAAAATTTACGATGAAAGAAAAAACAAAGAAATTCATGACAGAAACAATTCAAGATAAATTAACAAAATATCTCAAGAATAATGTCCAAATTATTTTTTTTTTGCTGAAGAAACTAAATGTATTATAAAATTTAAAACAAATAATACATGACTATTTGGTCACAAAGGTTCTAAATCACAGCTTATCTGCTTTAACTATTTGTTATACAAGGTAAGAAACATAAAAATATGCTGTTATCTAGAGTTAATTTATAATATCTCAACAGTGAAAACATATGAGAAAAGTGTTACAATAAGCAATTGAGAGTCGCATTATGATTTAAATTTATTATTTTTCAAATCCCATTTAAAAATTTTCCCCTGATCATGAATTCCTGACGGAGATTTCATTTTGATTTTCACCTCTAAAACAAATTTCTAGACCATTTTATCTTATCCAATGGTGTTGATATAAACATTGCTCTTATAACCAATATTCACATAAACATTGTTCACATAAACATTATTCACATAAACATCATTCACATACAAATTAATAAAAATTGTTCCTATAAACATTATTCACAAACATTGTTTATATAAACATTGTTTACATAAACATCGTTTACATAAACATTGTTCCTACTGACCTGGGTGTCAGCAAGTTGAGTCTAGCAGACGTATGGTCAACATCCAAAAGGGGTTGTTCAGTATTTGTGATCAGCAGTCCGTACTTTGTTGTATAATAATCCTGGAATGAAAAATACAAACCAACCTTAAAACCAAGAGTCAAAAGTTTTATCAGGTGTTGGCATCTAATAGGATCAGATTAAATACGTTCTTGAGTTTTACACTTTACTTATATTGCTTAAAAACTAGGTGAAAATGGTCTACCAAATTTATTTATTTTTGTGAATAGAAAATTAAAGGGTCACACTGAGCTGTAATTTTGTTCTTTTCTTATTGGGTTCACTGCAATTGTGTTAAACTCAAAAGTATATATCTGAAACCAAATTCAATTAGTATTACTATTTGAAAAATTGATTCAAATTCAATGAAGTTACCTTGATTTATAATTTTAAAATAAAGGAAAAACAAATTTTAATTGAGCCTGCTGGTTGACAATCCTATTTGTATTATTGAAGAGGGGAAAACTACAGAGAGTAACAGCCCCTTTTAAGAATGACAATGAATTATTTAGCATTAATATCAGTAAAATTGTGACAGTAACGACTAATGATATTAACTTTTTGAAAATAAAATTTTGATTATCAACTATAAAAATGTTTTTACACATTTCTAAGTTAAATATCAATTTAATATATATATTTTAAGCTAGTGTGTGCTTAGATAGGAAACTAACTGCTTAAATGTTAAATTGTTAAAATTTTTTCCATCTTAGGCTAAAACTAAAAGAATATTTTCAATGAACTGTATGACAAGACTTACTTGGAATGTTTTATAAAGCTCAGGGGATGGAAATGGGCTGAGGGGGTTTAAATCATGGCGTATTTCAGCCACATAAAAATGCTGCGGTTGGTCAATGTTGCGGTAGGAGGGCATGACAACAGCGTCCTCGAAGTTTGTGACCGAAAACTGAAACAAGCTTTCGCTTTGCTTCTTGTTACATCCTGCCCGTTTCTCAACCTTTATAAACTCAATGACTTTATCCACAAAATTCCACTCAATATTCAAATCATCATGACAGGTTCCTAAAAAAGAAATTATTTTTAAAAACTTGCATGCTTTGGTACTGAAGTATAACACAATAAAAACATTTTATTCATACACTGGAATTAAAAAGCAATTTAAATAGCATTGAGGTAAACTAGCTGTTACTTGGTAACTTTTTAAACGTTAAATTTTGTTACAACCTGAAACAATAGCTGTATATTAATAATATTATTAATTTAATTACCAAAAAAATAAAATAGAAATGTATTTAGTTTTTAGCCCTATATGTTGTTTAACCTGAACTTGCATAATGCACTAACACCCTGATAAACCTCATACAAAAAATAAGTAGGTTTCAGTGTAGTGTTAAAATAAATTATCAAGTTTGTATTAGAAAATGCATTAAAGAAAAAACTGTGACAGTGTTGAAACATCACCTTGTGACATGGGGATGGGGGGATAAAAAGTATTTTTTAAAATGAAGTCTACTGCTATAGCCGAGATCTTCTTCTTCTTCTTCTTCGTTCTTAACTATTAGTGTTGAAAGGGGATCGATATTTATCTGCCAGTGGGTTTGAACTCGAATTTTTGTTCGAATTTATCAACCATGAGCTTTTTGCCTCCAACACAATTAAGCGTTACGTGTCAACTGGTTATGCGCCATTGAGGCCATTGACTCCGATTTCAGCCTGCTTTTCTTTCTGGATTTGCTTCCATAGCCTTTGTCCAACCAAGAACAAACTACAAGGCAGCAGTTGTTTAATTTTGGAGTTGTCTCTCCTAGAAGAGTGGCTGTCCCCAGCTAACGAGCCTCATCTGCCCGAGGGTTCGAACTCGAGACTTTTCGGTTTAGCAACCATGAGCTTTACCGACTCGACCACGCCGACCCCTAGCCGAGATCAATTTACAAGGTATAAAGATTTTATTGCAAGTTAACAAATTAATGATTATGCTATTTAGGCTATCCAAAAAAAGGAAATTATATTAGTACAACATAAATATACATATAGGAGAAATTATATGAGAAACACATATACATACATACCATTTAGAGGAACAATAATGTAGCCACACTCTGCTTTTTCAGGATTAAATTCCATAGGATCTTTATCCAAATGCAAAACATCAGAAAATACAAAATGATGAAACTTAAGTAGACGTGAAATTTCATCTGAAGAGAAGCTGAGATTGTTCTGCAGCAAATCAACAGACACAGTAACTTCCCCTGATCTCGTGTAAACAGGAAATTGAGGGATCTATTAAAAAAACATTTTATAATTTATTTATTCATCCAATAGTTATCTTTTCAAAGATCTCATATAATGTTAAATTACAAAAAGGTAATTTATAAATTTCCAACACATTGTTGGTGAATTTAACTTTAGACAATTAAAAAGTTAAAATGAAGTTAGGTAATAAAAATAAATTCTAAGGTAAAAAAAAAGCAAAGGAAAATAAGTGTAGTGATTTGAAGCCAACATTAGTTTATGATGTCTTCAGATAAGATCACCTGGTTCAAATAGAAGTTTGGATTAACCTACCAGAGGAAGAGGTTTGGATTAACCTACCAGAGGAAGAGGATTGGATTAACATACCAGAGGAAGAGGTTTGGATTAACCTACCAGAGAAAGAGGTTTGGATTAATCTACCTGAGGAAGAGGTTTGGTTTAACATACCAGAGGAAGAGGTTTGGATTAACCTACCAGAGGAAGAGGATTGGATTAACACACCAGAGGAAGAGGATTAGATTAACATACCAGAGGAAGAGGTTTGGTTTAACATACCAGAGGAAGAGGTTTGGTTTAACATACCAGAGGAAGAGGTTTGGTTTAATATACTAGAGGAAGAGGTTTGGATTAACATAACAGCAAGAGGTTTGGTTTAATATAAAAAGAGGTTTGGATTAATATAAGAAGAAGAGGCTTGGATTAACATAAAGAGCGATAGGTTTGGATTAACATACCAGAGGAAGAGGCTTGGACAACAAAAGCCCCAGAGTTTGGACAGTGTCCTCTGGAGCGTAGATGACCCGACCTCGTGTGTTCTGCTCATCCGTGATTGGTCCAGTCAGCTTCAGATTGATGAGGTATAAATAGCACCCACTTTCTGGCTTGGGACAACTTTGCAGTAAACCATTAGCCACCTGAAGTTTTGGTAAGGTTTAGTATTATTAGGTAGTGTTTAGCAATTAAATATGCAGTATACATTTTTATTTCAAGTCCTAGTTAGAGGAATCAAGCTAAATAATAGAATGTTATTGCATATACAAGGATTGTATGGTTAGTACCCATACATCATAGCTTTCTAAACTCTTCCACCCTTTCTATAATTTTAAGGGGAAATTAAAAAATTTCATGATGTGAGAGCACTTTAATAAACTGCCACAGAGTTCCCAAGAATTCTTGTAATAATAAAACAAAGAGGATACTAAGGAAGACTTCTTTCAATCAGTAAATAGTAACTAAAAATAATGTAAAATGTCCATAAAATAAGTTTATTTAAGTTTAATGATACCATTAACTTTTATATATAGCACTGTATGAATCTAGTATGAACCAAGGCTACCTTCTTGATGTAGTATTGCTTTCTTTTGGTAGTCCCAGGCCGGGCAAGACCAGCTAAATCTTCTTCATTCATCCACTCTTCCTCTTCTTCATACAAAAACATCTCCTTACCAACGGGTACCAAATTCTCATCCAGCTCACCTACAGTTAGAAAGAAGTTCAGGTGTCCAAAGCATATCTTAGATATAACATTATACTTGTTCGTTTATTTTAATCTTATGTAGACCTTCTCAGATAAATGGATTTAATCTATTTTTACCTTTCATTAACAAAATAACCAAAGTAATATAATGCATCAAAAACAATTGGATTTTTCTTTGCTTAGAAATTTTATAAATTTGTATTGTATATAGATTTGTGTACCTGTTTTATGAAGTATTTCACACATTTTAAGAGCCACAGCCATCATTGCCAAATTACTTGACTGCATTTCAGGGCCCTTATAAAGTAACCAAAAACGAATAAAATTTTATGCAACAGTTTATTAATACTAATTGTTTATTCACTCATGCGTAAAAAAAAAAAAACTTGAGAAAAAAGACTACATAACTAAATGTTTTACTTTGTAACTTTTAACCCTGTCTTTAAATTTTTCTAATAAATACCAATTCACAGAAATTTATCTTTTCAAATATGCCTTGATGAAGGCATGTTTTAATGTATATTTACCTTTAGCTCTTGTTTTATTGGAGAGTTAATTGGTAATCTGAGGTAAGCGACATAACGAGGTGGATCAAGTGGCAGCTTTTCTACCCGACACTGGGGTGTCAGGTGTGTAAATGCATCACTGGGAAGTTTGGCACAATATCTGGAGATGACAGTTGTCAACAGTAGAGGATAATTTCATTACAAATGAGTAGTTAAATCACAGATGAATCATTCATTCACAAATAAATTAATCACTTGATAGTTAATATCCCAGATACGAAAAATTTAATCAGAAATATATTTATATCACCCATGTAATTAAATCTCTTATTATATTTAACTCATTCATGCACATTCAAAGACCCAATAATAAGCAGCTCAACAAAAGTATTTTAATCACATTGATAGGGACTGTTGAAATATAGTTTCATGAAGCAACAAAAACTATGATGAAAATACAAATAAGAAAAATCCTACCTGTTGATTAGAGCTATAGCACCTTGAAGAGTAACATGAGGGGAGTTGGGGGAGTTTGGCATAGTACAATATGGGGGGATAACATCTGGACTGACCACTTCACCATCTTTCAACCGGTGGTCATCGTCTACTACATCATCTGAACACATTACAACAGCCGATTCAAAACTTCTATGTTCTCCTAAAAGCACCTACAAGATACATTGCAATATATTTTATGGGTTGTTAGTTTTTAAAATAAAAGTTTATAGCTTAAAAAGTAAGACAGAAAAAATTAGCATTTTACATTCAATTTGAATTTTCTAAATTCTTAAGACAGGACTGATAAATGTATATACCTGTTCAATGCCTTTAAAAACTTTTAGACTGGAGCTGAAGCCTTCAAAATCTTCATCGTCTAAGAGAATAACATATGACGCATCTCTTGCTCTGGCTCTACCCTATTGAATATTTTTCCCAATTTAACAGTAACACCAAAAAAGCAATCTTTAAATAAATATTCAGCTGTTGCAGACAACCCATCTTATATGATTCCCTTACATAAACAGAAGACAATTGTAGAAAATGTAATTAAATACAGTAGTATCATCAACTTCTTTTACCATTTGTGTACATGACACATGGGGCTGATTTAGCAGAGTTCACCTGTTTCAATAACCTAAGCATACAAGGTGAGTGATAGTGATGTCAGCACTATGCCCAGCTGCCTAAGTTTCCCTAATAAGAGTCAGGTACCCATCCGAGCAGTGGGCTCTATAACATCCTATAGACTTGAGCCTAAGATCCTAACTTGAGACCTTGGGGTTAGCACCCATGCACTCTACCATTCCCCAAGACAATAATAAGTAATATTATATTGAAAAGAAAAGTAAATGCAAAATAAATTAAACACATAAAAAAGAAAGAAACAATAGATAGAAATAAAAAATACAACTTAATAGTAAATGAAAAACTGAAGAGAAATCAACCAGTTTCAAATTAGTTACTGTAGGAGTGAAGCAAGGAAAGCTTGAATTTATTTTTCTCACACAACATCAAAAACACTTTGACCATAGGTTCTGTGTTTAAGCACCTGAGGTCTTTAGCTGTTGGCTGTGAATTGAGGTATAGCAGCTAATAAAGTGCTGCTAGATATTTGTTTACTTATGCAAGTGGCAGAATTTTTCTAATCATTTACTTGGAAGATTTCCAGCTAATAATTATACAAGTAAGGCTTTTAACTTTTTAAAAGCCAATCTTCTCATCTTTGCCAAGAAATTTTTAAATTTTTTAGTTATAACATGTACAGAAAAACTGGATGTGATTATTCTAAATAATAAAATTAAAATAGTTGAGCAAGAAAGCTTTCTGCTTTAATCAAGGTTATAGAAAATCCAGTGTGATGAATCTCACACAATTGACAACACAAAACAAATTCTACTTTATCTGCCAAAGTGGTTGTCTGTTGTCTTTTTAAAAAGCTTAATACTTAAAACAGAAAAAAACTCAATTGTAATTACCTTTGAAAGGGTGTACGCTCTAAAATCTTTAGGAGGATCAAAGCGGATGACAAGATTACACTTTGGTATGTCAATCCCCTCCTCCAGCTCCAGGGTGGCAATGACGAGGTTACATTCTTGTGTCCGAAACTTCCTCAACGCTTCTTCCTGACGCTTGTAAGTCTTATTGCCTTTATTTTTTCCATTGGACCCTCGCAAGCCTTGCCCAGTTACATGGCAACTCTTTACAAAACAAAGATTTTCATCCCATGAGCAGACCTCTTCAATAACCTTATTAAGACCAAAAGCAATGTAGCGGTTTTCAACAAAAATAATCCCGCATAGATTTTTATCTTCCTCCTCCGTGTAAGTCAAAATTCTTTCATGACCTCCATCTGCAGTACGTTTAACAGCTATGTGCAGGGGCTTTGAATTGCTGTTAGAAAAATCTTCACTGTTATTATCTTCCTCATCAGAGCCTAGCGTGATAGAATCGTCATCAGAAACATCTGAAAAATCATCGTCGTTGAAGCTGTCTTCGTTATTTACAATAATAAAATCAACCTCTGGCTTGTAGTTTCTCAACACCTGGACAAGTTCTCGGACTTTGGGTGTTGTGTATTCTAACAACTCATCGACATCATAGTCTGGGTGGTAATTCATATCAAACACTTTAATAAGGCGCCGAAGTGTTGTAATGACACATCGAAGAAAGGTCTTGTGTATAGTGTTCTTTTCAAATTTGACAATTTTTTCTAGTTGCATAATAAAATATTCAGACACAGAAGCTGTGCACCAGGACCCTAATACATTCAGAATATTCAGACATTGGGATAAAACTTGAATGGGGGTCTCCTTTGGGTCCCTTTTATCGACTTTCTCATCAATAGCGATACAGCACTCGGTGAAAAAATAATAATTCTGCTCTAGTATATCTTCCAGCATTTCCCTCAGCGCCAACTGGTCGGCGTCGATCCCGTAGTCAACGCATTTTATCACAGACTCACTAGGGCGGCACCCAAACCTTTCAGACAAAATAAGCATAGATGTTTCTGCATAGGCGTGTAAAGCACTTTCCATATCAGAGATAGTCCGGTTGAGCTGTACGGGATCACTGCATTCTGTGCCAGCGATAGACGAGGTCACGCCCAGGATATGCGGCTGGCCTCCTTCTGGCATTGCAACAACTTTTTTGACAATCTCAACATAGGGATGGTCCTTGCCTTCCACTGACTTGTGACAATCATCAAAAATTAGCAGATTCACCTCACTTAGAGAGATCAAATTTTTCTGGAGCAGAGACAAAAATAATGAACCACGACAGAGTAAAATATTGCTGTTTTCAACTAGCAGTCGCCATTCATTCAGCTTCTGTTCTTCCATCCCCAAAGCATTTTCCATTGAAATTTCCCCAACATGAGGTGAGCATCTATTGATTTCTAAGTCTGTATGATGGGGTAATGTTTGGAATAGCATGTCTAGATCTGACTCTGAAAGCAGTGAAAAATACATATTAAGAAGTTTATTTACTGCATGATAAATGCATATGTAAAAATATATGGATAAAAAACAATTGGTAATATGTGTTTAAGTTGAATTCCACTACACAGTTTCTAAAGCAAGGGATATTATAAAAAAATTATCACAGCAAAATTTGATATAACGCTTACTTGGATGAGATAATTAGTAAGGCAAATAATAAAGACAATGCTCAACAAACATTTAGCATCAGCATTACCTAATATAATTAAAGTTTTTTTTTTCAATCTACAAGTTACAGAAACTTAACAAAAAATGTAGTATTCAATTCAGATATAAAAGTTACAATTAACACCCATTACATTTTTATCATTAATTTTAGCTAACCTGAATCAGTGAGATAAAATATACGCTTTCCACCATTGCTTAGGGACTGACGCGTGATGGAAGATAATTCTTTTGCTAGCATTAAGGCAAGAAACAATTTGCTTTCTGAACACCCCAAACATAGAATTGTATTTCTTTTCAAAGCAACATCCAGCAGTTGTATCTGAAAAAAAAAAAGTACCAAATTAAGGTTCTGCTATTATTGTATAGTTTTTAAGCAACTCCTTCCCTCCACCCATAGCCACATACCCATTTCTCCTTACATCACACGAAAGACTGAAACACAAGTCACAAGCCTACAGACACATCTGCAGGTCTTTAAAATAAAGGACATTCAGACTATTTGCACAGGTTAACTTTAAATTAAAATATTAGTTTTAAAAAAAAAACATTTGGTCACCTGATAAGTTTGTGGAGTAAAAGTATTTGTTGGAATGTCATCAAATCTATGATATTTTGAACCTTTCCGTGGTCCAGTCTGATTGCTCTGTGCCATTTTAAATCTGCAGATAGAAAGTCATTTGAATAACTATTGGTTTATTTTACCCTGTGACTGTGTATTAGTATTAGCAATAATACAAAATCAGATTTTTATGCAAAGTATTCATTTAATATAAATAAGTATAAGGCAGCCTTTACTAAACTTAGGTTAGGATACTAGGCCTAACTAAATAAATAAAAAAAATATTAAATTAATTTGGGCTTAGATTTTATAAACCTAAGTCGCTGTATTAAAATAACTTAAATAAGGCCTATAATAAATTGAAGTGAATGCTTGGAAAAAGATTCTTCCCCTCAGCACTTTCAGCAGAAGATGCAAAATGCCCTGACCTAAATAACTGCGCAATGGGCTCAAATTAAATACCATTAATAAATTATAAATTATATACAATATTGAATATAGCTACGCAATGGACTCTATTCCTTTATAGCTGTGCAATGGGATCAAATTACTCTTTTGACTTTTAGCTTTATTTTTCTGACAAAAATGTACTGTGTGGTCGAGCAGTTGTAGCTGGCTAGTTGCGCTTCTGGCAGGTCATAAAGTAGGCCTATTGGGAAATTTTTCCTAATTATCATAGAATGATAAAATGGACCCAGATTAATCCTATAATATACCCCATTGATAAAAACATCAAATTTATCATTCTAGGCCTAATAGTTTTTTTTATATGAATTTTCAAAGTTATGTGTTTAACTTGTTATGTTTCATTGTAACCTGCATTCCAGACGTGTGATTGGCTTTAAACTTGCATACCAATGTTGCTATTAAAGATATAATGATAAAACTTTGCACTTTTGTACTCAATGATATAGGCAATAGAAGTCTACAAATAAAATAAAAATTAGAAAAGAGGTAACTAGAAATAATGAAGTTAAAATAAGGGGTGTGGCACTGTTCTATAGTGACTGCCATAAGATGATTTCCAGACTGCACAGCTAGGTTGCTATTCCATATACCATCATGAAACTTTATATATTAGGACTAGAGCATGTAAAAAATACAATCATGCAAGTAAAATAAACATAGCTAGAGGAAAACTATAAATAGTGAACTTGAATATGGTACCGCGCAATTAGACTATGATGATTAACTACAGGCTAATATGTTACACTTCTTTGTTGCTACTATAAAAATAAACATTAAACTTTACATATTGATTCTGGTGTTAGTAATAAGAATGCTAGTATACCTATTGTACAGGTAATGTATAGAGTTAGAACTTACAAGTCAAATACAGCACAATATGATCAAGATACTTAACGATTTGCCATAAACATTGGATTTGTGTCCGTGTATAACATGGTAAAAATGTTATTATTAATTTAGAAAATTTTGGTTCTTGTAATGTTTCTGATGAAAAGTGTTGAGGTGTGCTAAAACTCAAAGATTGACATTTCACAGTATTCTTATTTATAAAATGTTTAGTGAAGTTGACGTATCCTTTGATAAATTCTTAAATGACATTAATTAAAGTGTTCATGTTTTCTTTCTATTATAGTTGCCTTTAACTAAAACTGTAATGCAGTGCAGCTTATAAAATTGGGCATTATTATTTTTAATTTAGGCCCTTTATAGTACTTTATAGATCTAGATACTACAGATAGGCCTGTCAGTATTTACATTAAGGCCTAATAGTTTATATATATATATATTATTACACATCTCTAGACCCATTATTGTTTTAGTGTTTTCATTTCCATTTAGATCTAGATTCTATTTTTTTAAAACTGTTTACAATAAATATAGATTTTTTTCTACTTAAAAATGCCTTTATAATCTATTTATCTGCAATTCATTAATGCTAGTTTGCTAGATCTAGTTAACCTGGTATTAAGAAGGTTAATAAAAATCTGGCTAATTTAAAATTTATAATTTATTTAGGCAGCAATTAGGCCTAATTACATTCTTTCCATTTTTAATCTAATAATTTAGATCTACATTATATTTATTTTAAAGCCCATTTTATTGTAACAGTCCATTTAAAAACAAACAGCTATTAAAAAACATCGTATGCGCATATCTATTAATATCTCGTAGCCCGGCCGCCATTATGAAATTACGCGTGCTTTCTCGTTCCTACCCCTACGAGTTTTATCGCGCTACTCCTCATTGGCCCGTGCTTAAAAACCCTTCAAATCGACATTTCTATTATCCAAATGGTTGGCATGCTATTTAAGCCTATTTTCATGCAACTTAAAGGATTATTTATATCTGAAATTTAGTTGTCAATGCGCCAGTTCGGTAGCGTCGGCATTTCGACAAATATTTGCTATTATCGGTGATCGCTTTCGGTATCTGACAATGTAAAACGGGAGCTAATTCATTTATTAGTATGTATAAAAGATGAAATTCAACTCAAATATTCACATCGAATACATTTTATTCTTCGATTCCGATGGCGAGAATTAACATGTTAAAAAATGGCGAATTTCAACAAGTACGATGAAAAAGTCAGGATGTGGTCGTACCGAATCGAAACAGCGGAAGTCGAAATGCCTAGTCATAAGGTTTGGTTTAGGATTCATTCAGTTCATATTAAAAAGTATATCAAGCGAAGAGTTTTAGTCTATAAGTTAAGTATTAGATCTAGATATTTTTTAAAAAAATCCATTGTCCATTGTATTAGCCTATTCAAATCTTTCAAAACTAGACTAGCTGACTAGCTGAACTAAAACTACAAAAAAGAATTTTAAAATTACTTGTCCACTTGATTTTGAATAATTTTGATTTACTTGCATTAAAAAATCCTAGTTGCTCTTAGTTTTAAAAACCTTTGGTTTGGTAAGTTTAGTTGGGTTCAGACTGCCAAATTCTATTTAGGCCCAGGCCTAAAATTAAATTGATACAACACCATCCAGGTTAGCCTATCTCTTTCTTTCTTTTGTTGAGATATGACTAAATATAAACCTCAACGCCATTTTGAAAACAAGGACGCAATTTCCTTTAACAATTATTTTTATTGGTCTATTTTAGAGGCAAGTCCAATAGAAACTTCCATTATAAAATATTGTGTTTCTCTTAATTAAAAAGTGCGTCTCTTTTTTCCCTTTTCACACAATTATCTGGTGTTGTGCAGGTCTAAAAAATGACAGCTTTAATAACCAACAATAACCATAAACCTCATTAGATGAAACGCGCACCATAAATTTGTCTTTCTATCTATCTAGATCTATAATAAAATATCTACAATTGCCCTGGAAAATAACTTATAAAAGATAACAATAATATTATGTAGATCTACATTTACAAAACATTATTGTATGAGCACGAACTAGTGTTTTTTTTCTGTAATTACGATTGCTTTTTCCCCTCAAAAGCCTATTTTGGTCAGTTATAAAATTTCAATTTCTCGTATCTCGAAAACTGCTTATTGGATCTCAATCAAATATTCACCGTAGTTGTATCATACGTAGATTTTGTTTAGTAGAATTGTTCTCGACATACTATTAAGAAAAAGTTAAGATTAAAAGTTAGGAAAAAAAATATGTAACGATTTTTTTAAAAAAAAGTTTTCTCTAATAGTTTTCCAGATAAGCCTTTTGTGTATTTAACAATTTGAAATATGAGCTTGAAATTTTAAGCGATTAGATCTACTGAAATTAGAAAAATGGTAAAAAAATTATTTAAAAGTGAATTTTTAAAATCAAATGCGTAACGATTTTTTTCTAAAACACATAATTCTACCATCTTTAAAATAATATATACTGATAAGGAGAATCTAATTTAAAAAAAAAACCCAGTATTTTTAGGTTGGGGATGTTATGCAATGTATATTATTTTTTAAAAACACAATAATAACCTAGATCTATAATATAATGCTAAATACATTGCAAAAAAGTTATCAATTACGCCATAGGAAGAGATTATTACAGTTGTTAATTTCCTGTAGTATTATTGCAGGTAAACCCTGCAGAATAACCCATTTAAAATTTTCTATTTTGGCTAATCGAATGCTTGGTACTCCAACTTTACTGTTTAATTATTTAACAACTGCATATTTTTGTCTCACTTTTAAACTTACAAGCTTACAAGTAATAAAAAAAGTATAATAAGTGATTTTTAATCTTTTAAGTCTATGTCCATGTTTGTGTCATTTTGTTTAAGTAAAATTTCAAAGAGCAATTACTGTAACTAATGGTTAGAGCGGTAATATGCCTAACCACTTTCATGTCCACTATCAACAGTGGAAAATAACAAACTCAACCTACTTTCAAACTTTCTACTTTAGCAAAGTTAATAATAATATATCTTTAAAATTACCAGGGTTTCAAAATTTAGCTCTTTATCGGTATAATAATATTATGCGAAGATTAATTTAGAAGTAGTTGTCTTGACACACTGGACAACGTAATTAATTTAACAATCAAAGCAAGAAGCTAGATTCTAGAAGTTTTTTTAGAAGGGACATCACTTTCAATTTTATTCTTCATCTTCTGGCTTTGTTTTGATAAGGTGAGGTAACTTCAAATTAAAAAGTATCTAGATTTAGGCCTGTTTTATTTTAATATTATTTTTTAGAATCAGTAATCTATTGTTTTAATTTAAAAATTCTAAGCTGTGAAAGAAAGGTGACTAATTAGTAATTTATTTGGCCGATGCTAGCCAGAAAAAGATACGCATGCCCAATGGAGAGAAACTACGACTTACCATCGCGGCGATGTTTTCGATGGTACTGCGCATGCGTGTGTTTACAACCGCAGAACCCTAGCCCTAATCAGATCCTAATCCCTATCCCTAATGATGGCCTAATCCTAACCCTAGCCATAGGTCACTTCGCATGCGCAGGACTATCTTTTGTCGACTAAGTGGATACGTTGGGGAGAAAATCTTTTTCCGAGTAGTCACACTGAATTTATTTTCATTAGGCTACTAGTACTAATTACTAAATTATTAGTAATTAGCCTAATTTTAATTATTTTGCAATTTTACTAAGATTTATATTTTAAAAGTCACTAAAAATCTACTAAACTTAATTACTAATAATTAAGCCTAAATGTTTGAAGTAGGGCCTTCCAGTTTTTAAACAATTAGGCCTAGGCCCTAATTGTATTAATATACTTTTTCAGTAATAATAAAAAAGATTAGGCCTAGCAATGTTTTCATCAGATGAAACCCAGCTTGTTAACTTAGCAGCCAAATTTTTACATTTAAAACTTTATTTTTCGTAAATTATATTTAAAATTTTAGTTGAATCTACTCTATTTTACAGATGTCTGCTGCTGATGTAAATATGTAGCAAATCTTGCTCTCAAACACTAATGTTTAAAGTTAATTTCTGGCCTATATTGATATATTTAGACATTATTTCACAATATCAACCTACTCATATTAAAGCCATGTTTATAAGTCACCTTTCTTTCACATTACTAGCATGAGCAGCTGATTTTACAGTCTTAAAATGATAGATTACCTTAGAATCTTTCAGTCTTTCTTATTATATTTCAAAAATCTAGATACTATAAGGCCAATATCATTATTATTATCAAAATATAATTAGGCTTATGTTTATGCCTAACAAATTAATGTAGAATTAATTCCTATCTATAGTTTACATTTTTAATTTTACACTACTAGGCCTACATATTCTTAATAATATTTTAATATTCGAGATCGGGAGATTTTAGCAGGGTTGTTAATAGTTTGACTAGAGCTTGTGTACACACCACATACAGGAATAACTATTACCTTTTACTAACTACTAGAGTTTGATATGAGTTATTGGCTAGCTAGTTTAGTTGCTCACTGTGTATTGCTGTCTAGGACCAAACGTCTCATGATGCCACAATAAAGATTCTTTAAAAAGTGAGGGCTGGTAAATTACTAGTAGTTAACTAAATGCAACTATGACTTGATTGACTTAATAATTACTATTATTACTAATGTCATTGCTAGCCCAAGCTGTACCCTAACCCTAACTTTTGACCAAAACACTAAACATGAGATTACAACAATATGGCTAACAGCCTAATACACATATAGAGTCCTATTGTGATACTTTTGTCAGAAATTGGTAATACTAATACTCTCAAACTTCAGAAGTTTTGAGATTAGTCAGTATTGAAATGAGGAACCCTAGCTTGATTTTAAAAAAATTTATTAAATTTTAATAGATAATAGATATGTATAATACTTGGGATAGCATTGCCTAGCAGTAGAGTGCTAGACTGCTAATGCGAAAGTATCGAGTTCAAATCCGGATTGAAGTCAGTACAATATCCCTGAAACCAACCAGCTCTGATGGTATCAAACTCGCGTTAGGGGAAGTAAAAGGCATAGAGGCATCCACACTATCCCTTAATATGCAGAGGTCACAGAAACAGATGAACTTTACTTCACTTGCCCCGTGGACCGTCAGGTTTGACAAGGGAACTTTACTTTTACATATGATACTAGAGAGGCGCGTGATGCAGAATTTGGCTTGACAACTCTTTTAAACAAAGTAGTGGGGAAAAATATTGTTAGCAACTGATTAAAGTAATTTTTCTACATTACAAAGTTGACTGCAGGCATAATGGAGCATGAACCAGGGGACAGTGATAAAAGCTCTGATGAAGAATCACACACATGCTCAACAGAAGAAGCAGAGGAAGACCAAGAAGATGAATCTCAGTCAGGTAGGTTTTCGTTAAGTAAATCTGTTTCGGATAAATATTAAGATTTATTTATCTGTACAAAATTTAATCCAGTTTATCCTGGTGCAAAAGATGTACGCTCTTGAAAGAAATATTGGCTGTTCTTTTTTTAATAAATATGGCTCCATAGAGCCTTATAGACCATTGGATGATTGTGTATCCAAGCACAATGTGTGGGCAGTAAGTTGAGAAGGGCCAGATGTTGCCCATGTAGAAGGCTCACTCTCTCCACACTACTAATAGACCATAGGGACAGGATGTTACCTATACAACTTGGAATCAGCATTGTAGCAGGAGTTGCTAAAAGGAAACCAGAGTAACCCTAACCCCTTAAGGGGCTCCACTCCGTTGTATAAATAAAATGTGTTTAAATATGTTGACTGGTAACACATAGAGGGAGTATATTTGCTTTGACTATCAATGGCACTGTTATCAGCAAACTGCAGATTTTTTTAGAAATATTTACTTTTTCATGATCTTAACTGATAGTCTTCAATTGATTACAGGAACTTGGATAAAGAAAGTGTAAAAATGTTGCATGTTCTCTTTTAGAATAATTGTTCTAAAAGTATATTTCTTTTATTAATATATAAGCAGAACGTATCAAACTCAAATCTGTAGAACATCTCTGGGTCCACCCCGATCTGATGAGTATCTGACTCATGACAAATAAAGTAACATTGCTGGGCATAGTGCTAATAATGCCATTATATGCCATGATCAAGAAACATGAACTGAACTCCACTTTATTTGCCATATGCACAGTTAGGTCTAAAAGAATTACTTTATTAACATATTACAGAGCTATTTTTAAAAGTTGTACCTGGGTGTATGTACGGTGTTTCTTTATAAGTGTGAACATAAATTACCCCTTTCAGAAATTGATGAGGCAGAATGTGAAAGAAGACGCCATGAGTATCTCAGTGATATGTCTGAATTAGAAAAACAGTTCTGTGAACTCAAAGAACAGTGAGTTAAAAGAAATTATTCTGTACTTATTAAAATATTTTTTAAAAATTGATTTTCAATAAATTATAAATGCTAAACTGATATTTTAACAATAAATATTTCATTTATAATAATTCCTATTCTATGATTTTATAGACATTATGCTTTTAAAAAATTTTAAATGGTACTAAAATATACTTCATATTTCCTATTCTACTGTTGTATAGACTTTATACAGAGAGGCTTCAGCAGATCGATGCTAAAATCATCGAAATACAAAATAATAAGGGATCTGAATATCTGCAGCCCTTGTCACAACTTGAAAAGCAAATGAGTCTCAAAAAAAAGGTTGCCTGTAAGTATTGTAAATATTACAAACTTCCTGTGGAGTAGTGTAAGAATTATTCATCTGAAATTTACTTGTTGCTTTTTAAATTTTGCCTATAATTATATGATAATGTTGCCAGGTAAAAATTTAAAAAACTAAAATTTGTTGAAATTTTGAATAGTTAATTTTTGTAGGCAGCTGTCATAGCTTAAAAAGAAGACTTTTTATTTATGAATAATCTGTTCAAATTTTAAGGCATAAGACGAGAGATGGCCCTTGCAAGTATTAAACAGAAATTTGAAAGTGAAGAATTAGCTGCTTTCCAGCACATGGAGGTAATTTTTTAATAATTTTTGTCTTATTTTTGTGTGTCTTATTACTATTATTTAATTTTACTCATCCACCAAGTTTGCCAGATAGTGTGATTTGGTGATAGAAGTAACTCTTCATCTTTCTGGTTAAATCAGCTCATCATTATAGTCAAATATTTAGTTATGTACTATGAGTGTAGTGATTGATAATAACTTCTATGCATCATATGCAATACATTTTAACTTTCAGTTGTGAAGTGAATGCAATTTACATGCTGTCAAAGGGAGATGACCATGTATCATTAGTAACACTACATTTTAAAAATGTTTTGAAACATTTTTTTTTTTTTGCAGAGTGAGAAAATACTTTTATATGACACAATAAAGTGTGAGTTAGAAGATAAAATCAGGAGGTTAGAAGAAGACAGGCACAATATTGACATTAATTCAGGTATAGATTTTAATGTCTTGATTACTCAGTGTTTCTCACTGTCATATTCTTCTTGATTTAATTGAAGTAAGCTCAGTTTTTAAATATCTAATTTATTCATTATATTGTCGTTCTGTTTATATTTCTTGATTGCTAATAATTAGTGATAACGTAACCTGTACACAACATCCTTGGTTTTTTTTAACTGTTTCCAAGTTTAATTTTTAAAAAATATTATTTAAAATACATAAATATAAAATTACAATTTTTAGCTGAATGTAGTTGTTTTGAAATGTAAATTCAGACATTTTCAACTACTTGCAGACTTGTGGCAAGAAACGCAGACCTTAAAAAAGAAAAAGAAAACCGACCCCTTACACCCAGAGAGAAGAAGAAAACCTCAAACTGTTTCTGATATCCTTTTTTATTTCACTAACTGTCATTATGTTGTTAGATCATGTTTCACAGCTCTTTTTGTTAAGTATTTGATTTCAGAACATTTTAATTATTTTGCTTTTCTTGTATGACTGGTATTGTTAAACTATTAGCACGTTTTCTATCAATAAAGTGGCAGATCATTTGCTTAATATCTATTTTTTTTCATTAATATATTAATGCTGCATTTTATTTGGTGTAAAGTTTTTGTTTTATTTTTAAATAAAAAGGCCTTATTATCAGAATTTGATTTAAATTATCTGCACCAACTAAGAGTCATTGACCACACCTATATTCCAGTAAGAATAAATAGTGTTCATAACTGTATTTTAACTTCATCTAATCATTTGGTTTTTAAACAAAATAACATTCTTAACTAAACGCAAGCCCTTTTATTGTATATATGCTTCGAGATACAGATGTTATGGATGATTGGATGGCTGTCAAAAAGGTAGGATGGTCTTCACATTATGTTTTTTTTTTTTTAATATTTTTTTAAGAAAATAAAGTTAAAATCTGATAAATTATTAATTTTTTTTCCCATGAATTAAATGTGTTTGTAGTTGCTGAATTCTATTTACATATTCAAGAATTTAATTAAAAACTGCAGCTGTTGGCTAAAACTTGAAATGATATATTTTTTTAGATGGAAGAACACAATAAATCAATATCTCTATCTACTCTTGGGTATTGGACATTAAAATTACTTACTCTGCCTCTAAATTTAAATGTGCTGGAAAAATAAAAGACTAGAATTTAAAAATTTTCAAGTTTCTGTCACTTTTAATATTTTTAGGCACTCAAGCAGCAGTACCAAAAGAGGAAAGCTGAATGTAAGTTATTTACATTTGTAAAACAATAATTTTATTTCTCAAAACTATTGTTCAAAACAGCAAAAGGTGCAGATCCATTTTTAACATTTACCCCAGATAGTTATTTTATTGATTCAGAGACACTTACCTGAAATATTTAGACTAATACTGAGTAATTACATAAATATCATTTGTAGCGGATATAATGATTTATATTCAGGTAGCTTAATGTCCTTAAGTCACCCCCCCCCCCCCCCCCCCCTACCGTTTGACATGTAACACTAGCTTGAGGCAAGTAAAAGGGTTTGGGCACAGTGCTGGCCACTTCATGTGCCAAATTCAAAGAATTAAGTGAACTCTATTGCATCTACCCTATCCAAAAAGGATACTTTACTTTTTCTTACAGGCAATTGATTAAACTGACACCAACTATATCAATATGTTCCATATACATTTCAAATTAATTTGGTGCTTGTTAAGGGGAAACCATTTTAGTTTATATCATACTAGAGTGGTAGAACTTTATTTCAAGCCTGATACTATTATTCATTTGTCTTAATTTTTCTAGTTATTATCTTATGAGTGTGATTTTGGTGGATTATCATTTTTAACAATAGCTTATTCTATATACATTCTTTATGCTTTTATGACTCCTACCAAAGAAACAAATATTGTAAAACCATAATTTATTTTTTTATTTTCAGTGTAATGATCTAGACAATAATAAAAAAAAATTGCTGAAAGATTTATTCCACCCATTCTACTTTGGTAAAGTTAACTATGCAACAAGAATGTTACTGTATTTGATGCAGCGCTCCTTGCAGTCTTTACCATTGAACACGGGCAAACATATGTTCAGACGTTAAAATTTGAATGACAAATGAATACTGAATACCATTGTAAAAAGTTCATAGATCATCTGCATGATGAGTCAGTTTTTTTATGCATTTAGATGTTTAAAAAGAATGTATGATTGTAATATATTTTAAACAAGTAGGCTACTGACCGTTGAAGTGATCATATTTAAGATGAAGTGTTTGAACATGAATCCATGGTACCACATTCAAGTTAGCCATAAAAAAAATGATGTAAATTGACTTGCAATATAAAGTATTCTTCTCATACATTTTCAGTCAAATCATTTAGTACAGATCACACTTTCATGGGTGTTTTTTTTTTTTTAATTCATGTCATTACATAATGCTTTTTGAATGTGATGTTTTTTTTTTAATTCAGTGTACATGTGAATGGATGATGACAAAAAAAGTTTGAATAAATGTGTAACTTGTCCAAGAGCTGCCATTTTTTTTCTCTAATAAAATCTTTGCCACACCCAAGTCACTGCTTTTTTTTTTTATCATCATTGTAATGATAGTGTTGAAAGATAAATAGTATGGTAGAGAAATTTGAAACACATTGAAGTTGAAAAAGAGAAATAAACTATCCTTAGTGATATGTTCAAGTAAATAACTTAAAGTGGACAGAACCTGTAACTTGTTTTATTAATAATGGCAATTTATAAAATTGTGTTATTCCTTTCTCAGCATATTTTTAAAAAAATTTGTTTTCCTTTAAATGAATACTATTACCCCAGTTCGTCAAGCAAAATGACTTCCACAAGGAGCTACCATTAATGATTTTTTTCCATGGAGAATAAAAGTTTTGTTAAATTTTGTACCTGGGTTCATTAAAACACCAGCATACATTCTTTAAGTTTATTTGATTTTTAGTAAACTTAAAAAAAATGAAAGCTAATTACTAATCTATTTTACTTTTTTGGACGAGACAAACATTTGTATTTAGCCCTCATCTGTAATTGTTGTGGATTATAACTGGTGGATTAATATTTATTTCTGATGGGCAGTATATTGTTTTAGTAGTCCTATACTTAAGGCGAATATGTATTGATACTGTTTTTACTCATTTAATCAAATCTTTTCTTATGCACTACTTTTTTGTGGTGGTATAAAATAAATAAATAACTAAAGAATGGTCGCAGAAATTTATTACATTTTATTGTCTAACAATGGAAGAACATTAAGCAGGGCAAATGAACATCAAAACAAAAATTTTGTTTTTATAACCTTAGGCACATATCGTATTGTCAGTGATACTCTAGTTCCTCTCTCAAGAACATCGCCTTCTTTGAATGAAATGGAATCAAAATTTGCTAACTCTTTAGAAACAACATCGGAAGTACGCTCTGAAATTCCATGCAAGTAGCTCGTGTACATGTCATCCCGCACCAAAAATAAACTCCGAGGCTCGAGTAAGACCGATAACAGATAACGGCTCTCAAGTGACGTTGGTACATTTTCACCAGAGTTGTCCCCCGTCTGCTGCACTTTATCTTCGCTAACTTTTAATTCAGTTAAACGGCTGGAAGTTTCCGGATCTATGCAGGGGTGAGCTTGGTGGTGGTAAAAATCTAAAACTGTATGAGAACCTAAGCTGATGGTGGATACTGTTGGAAAATACAACGGCCCGTCTTCATGTGGCTGAAATTAAAATTGATGTTATTTAAGCAAGTGCTTACTGTGTATTCAAATTTTAATATGTAATTAATCGAAGATCTAAAATGGTTGTTACCATGATACCTTGTCCAGGTAAGTATTCATTAACAAGAACATGGTTAGGATTATTTCCTTCAAATGGGTCCAACACAGCGATTTTGTTCATGTAGATTTGCAACCACTGAAAACAGAAATATTTTTGTAATACAAATAAAGGAAAGTTAAGTGTTTAATTAACATCCGTACATTAATGTATTTTAAAGCTATAATAATGCTAAGTAACTCAACAGTACTTAAGCACAGTTTTTTATGTGATTCAAAGCACTGTATATAAGTCACCTTAAGCACAACCATCACAATTTTGACTCAGCATTAAAATAAAGTTGAACGTTTTTTTTAAACTTTTAAGAAAATACAAATGACTTACATCTGGTAGTTTTTCAGGTATCATGCCTTTATCACGGGGTAGACCACCTAAATATTTTAAAAATGTTATTAATAAGACAGGCAGGATTGTAGCAACAAATATCTCCTTTTGAACACAATGTGACATGGATTGTCTATAACAAAAATGTGTAGGCACGGAGAGAATGTTTGTGAAAGTAGCCTCCTCTTGAAAGTGGTGTGCTAGTGGGACAAAGTGTGTGAACAAGGTAGTGTGTGAAGTAGTGTGGTGTGGCATCAAAATCGTGTACCTACTCATCAGTATTCTTCTTGTAATGTGTTCTTGTGTTTGATACTAATTATACACCCTTGATACAGATTCTCGTTGTGGATTGTATTTATTTATAATTGTTACACCTGACCCAAACAAGCCAAAAATACATAAGAAGCTGAGTGTAACAACAACATATGTGTATATGTATATATATATTCTATGTAAATATATATATATACACACACACAGATATACATATATATATAAATTGACAGTTAATAAATGCTATATATAAATATATGTATATTTAAATGTAGAGAAAAAACTAGAAATGATTTATAGATAAAACTGCTTTACCCCAGTTTTGTAGTTTTCTATGAGAAAGTTGGTCCCATTTTGGCTTGGGCGCAGAGTAAACTTTATTTAAAAGGAACTCTTCTTCTGCTTTGGTTATAAAATCAGGCAAATAATATAAAGTAGGAGGAGCCTGTAAAATAAAGAAAAAAATGACAATATTACTAAATTATTAGTATATCTCTCTTGATCATTGGTATTTTTAAAAAATTAGTTTCAATAAGTTATAAAATAAAAAATCTTTTTAAGTTACATGTAAAAAAAGTAAAGTGACACTTTCAAACCTGGCAGTCCATAGGGCAGATGAAGTAGAGTTCACCTGTTTCTGTGTCCTCAGCATATGGAGAGATAGTGTGTTCAGTAATAAGCCCAGCCACCTTTACTCTCTCTAATGTAAGTTAGGTACCCATAAGAGCTGGGTGGACTTAGGGGCATTCTATGGACTTCAGCCCAAAATCCAAGCTTGAGACTTTCAGGTTAGCAGTCGTACGTTGGTAAATAAGCTATAAGCCTAAGTTTTATGACACCGCACATTTTTAATGGAACAAAATAATTTAATTAATAAAAATGTCCAATCTTTGAGACAAGGCATAATAATAAAATAATACTTTTAAATTAAATTTTTGAACACTCCTAATCAAAAGTTAACAATAACAGGCATTAAATTATTACTGAATAATGTTAAACTATAATACTAGTTTTAGTCACAAAGAAAACCAGACCTACTGCACTCTTCCCCCAAATGACATCACAAACTTCTGTTTACTGCCTACATTTAACTTCAGTTTACAGTGCTTTCATAATTATCCTTCTTAATCTATTCACCCAACCCATTGTCACAAAAATCTTTACCCCTACCCTAACCCTAGGTGTGTGATGTCATTTAAGGAGGAGTGCTCTGATAAATTGATAATTAATGTAGACTACTTACACTTTTAACAATATTTTGCTGACATAAGCCAGATTTAGAGCTCATTGTAATAGTTAGTGACTAAGTTATTCAATACTGGTGGATATTTATATGTTGTAAATTCTTGAACTGAAGTTAAAAGTTTTACAAGCAGCTTCAGTTGTTTCTCATCCAGATGTAGATTAGACCTAGAGTCCTAGAAGAAAGAAATGAAGTAATCAAATATATATAAATTAATTATCTAAGGTCAAGATTTAGATACAAGATCTAGATTGTAGACTAGATACTAGATAGTTATTCTTTTTCTATAATAAAAATGGTTTTTAAAAAGTATTAGATTAGTAATTATTTAATGAGCTATTAGTTAGCAACTCCCTAGCCTATCCAGTAGACTTTAAAGTAAGTAGAGTTTTGTAAAGTTTGGTATGTTACTTACTACTAAAGAAAGTATGTGTAGAAAAATCTAGGCCTAGTGCTAGACCTTGTAATGTGTAGTGAGACTAGAGTCAACTGTTACTTTACTTTAGTACAGTGTTTCTTCCAGACTTTTTTCTCTGGGGGGGGGGGGGGGGGGGTGTCAACATTTTGGGGGGGGGGGGGGCACTAGTAAAAGTGTATGTTTATTTATTACGAGCCGACCCGCGGCATAACATACGCCGCTATTTAGTTGTTTCTAATTTTCAATAATTCATAATTTGTGAATTCGACAGTACCAACGCTGACACTGAAAATATTTCTTTAAAACACTATAAGTAGCTCGTTAAGGACCATAACCCCCCCCCCCCCCCTTCCTCCCCCCCCCCTACGTTTAAAATCGTTGGCTCTGCTTGTAAACATTTAGAGTGAACACAGCTCCCTAAAACCATGTAGGGGTGGGGAGGTAGGGAGAGCGTTTGCAGCTTGTTTTCTAACGGCTCGAAGAGGAGAATTATATATATAGATAGATATAAAATTATTATTATTATAATCCATCTCGTTGGGGGGGGGGGGGGGGGGGGGGGTGGGTGGTGTAGACTTTCTTTGGGGGGGGGGGAGGGGGCTCTCCCAAAGAGATGCCTGGAACTGGAAGAAACTCTGCTTTAGTAGTGTTAGTTGAACTTAACTTACAACTTAAGACTTTATTAATATTAATTATTAATCGTGTAGTGATGTAGTGAGTAGTAAGTAGACTGTAGAGTGTGTAGAGTGTAGAGCAGTGTTTCTTCCAGACTTTTTTCTCCGGGGGGGCACTTGAAATCTTCTGGGGGGCGGTAAACTTTCTTCGGGGGGGCGGACACTGTTAAAAGTATATATTTATATTTTCTATATAAATTATATGAATTTCATTTCGTTCGGGGGGGGGGGGGGGGCGGTAAAAAAATTTCGGGGGGGGCTTTGCCCCCCACAAAGAGATGCCTGGAAGAAACTCTGGTGTAGAGTAGTGAGTAGAGTTAGACTTAGACGGTCTTACAGTCTTACTACTCTTACTCTTAGACTAAGAACTGACTCTTAACTCTTAGACGTCTTAGACTTTAAAGTTTAAAGTTTAAAGTAAGTCTTGTTGTAAGAGTAAGAAGAAAAAAATACATAAATCATATAAATCTAGCAATAGCATTCTCTAGCTGTAGATTTAGAAGCTAGGGCTCACCACTATTTATCGTCTATGCTATTAGATATTTTGTATACCATATTTATTGATATTGGGATTTTGCATGTGCGGCTTCTGTCACTATGAAGGAATGTAGGATTAATAACTCTTTTACAATTATTTTATTCACCCGGCATTAGTTCCCTTATCTCGAAGATATACTAAATACCGTAAAAATGGCGTTCACTTACAGAAAATGGAATTTTAGGTTAAATTTAAATTAGCCATGGACAATAAAAATATAATTTGATAAATAAATTTATTATAAAACATTATTTTTAATTGTGACAATAGTAGTTAATAATATACAGCCTACGTAGACTATGCGGTATACCGACTATGCATAGTGATGTCCACACCACAGTAGCAGTGTTTCTTCCAGACTTTTTTCTCCGGGGGGGGGGGGGGGGGGCACTTGAAATTTTCAGGATGGCTGATGTCATTGGAACAGATGAACTCACCTGCCATTTGGCTCTTGGGCACAAAGAGAAAAAAAATGAAGATGATCTGTCGCACCGAGTGGCAACCGACATAGTGACACCACCGTAGACTATGCATAAGCTTATTATATTTACTATAAAATATTATTAAAATGATCCTTTCTATGACAGATTACTACTTTAAGTAACTATAAATAAATAGTCTAAGAAAAAAAACTGCGTGCCTGGCGTCTTTATAACGTTACGGTGTTTTAGTTTTTCAATATAAAAAAAGCGATTGCTTACAAAACAACACAGGACTAGATTTATTGTTAAGGGGCATCCATAATGATGGCATACTTTTAAAAAGATTTTTACCTTCCCTGTTCCCTATCAACACACATTGTCATATTATGATCTCGGTCAACTTTTGTGTATAAGGCCTGCATAGATCAAAGTTATTGTAATTACGACAAAAAATATTTTATATACGAAATAACAGTTACAAATTCATTTTCTAGCGTTACTTCTCCTCGCCACGCATGGTTACAAAAGTCCGATCCACCCCTCCCCCTCCAGGAGTGTGACGCGGTTTATGGATGGCCCCTTATATAAAAAAAACACATATTAAAACAGCTGATGATTCAAATCCTACTAAAACCCATATTTTGAAATTGTTTTATATCAAATAACATACATATTATGTTCATTTGTGATCATTTGCAATTTTTTTTATCTAAAAAATGAACAAGTCTACTTGAAAAAAACAAATAACTACAAACGAATGTCTGTATCTGTCTGTATGTTTGCCTCTTATACATTACTAAACGTGGTTGGAGGTACGACTTGATTCAACGATCAAAGTCAACCCGGCGCATCCGCCGACGCCCTTGTGGTTGGGTGACCTAGAGTGCTCCGCTGTGAGCACTATGGCGCCTACATTCGTTTTAAAGAGGACCCTACAATATGGAATCGGTGGGAACACAATATTTGATGACTAAACCGAATCACGGTACGCAACTGGTGCCCCTGCGGTAATGTACGGTGGTCCTCGAGAGTATCCCACGACGCCCCTGACACCTGGGCGGTCGCCGAGGTTTGTTCTTCCTCAGAGTTTCTTCCAGGCATCTCTTCGGGGGGGGGGGGGGGGGCTTTGCCCCCCCGAAATTTTTTTTACACCGCCCCCCCCCCCCCCCCGAACGAAATGAAATGTATATAATTTATATAGAAAATATATACTTTTAACAGTGTCCGCCCCCCCCCCGAAGAAAGTCTTACCGCCCCCCGAAAATTTCAAGTGCCCCCCCCCCCCCCGGAGAAAAAGTCTGAAAGAAACACTGTTCTTCCTCTTTATTGCAAAGGGGTCATCCATAAACGACGTCACGCTTTTTTGACGATTTTTACCTCCTCCCTCTCCTCCGTCACAATCGTCACAAAAGCCACAAAAATGACGTCACGCCTAAGCCTACACCCCTCATCAAAATTGCAGTTGAATTTTTCTTAAAATACGATATTTTTCCAAAAATCGTGTCTGAACGTTGTCAACATAGAGTATTTTAATCAGTTCATATTGCAACGTATTATAACGGTTTTCTAAATCGCGAAATAACGGCTAAAATTCGTTTTCTAACATTGCTT